GTAGTATTTAGGTGCCTTGAAAATCTATAGTGAGGTCTTTATTATTGGTCGACCTTTCCCTACACCTTGATCTACATGTTTAGGCCTTGAAATAAATTCCAAGCAACACATTCCAGACAATTATTTAGCCATCCTTCTTTATTTATCATGATAGTTAGACTGACAACACTTTGTTATAAATAGTGACTTTAACCCACTTCCCCCAATAAAAAATTATGTAATCGATAGGTTATACCTCCTTAAATTTAAATTGAAATTTAAACTTAAATTTTCAGTGCAGGCGTTCATTAAAAAATATTTTTACAAAGTCGCAAAGTCCAAATGTAGACTTCAAAGCTAAGTATGCATGAAAGTTTGATATGTTTGATGTCAAAGAACATATCGTATTAATTTCTCGAACGGTCTATAACATGGTCATTTCAGGCCAAAAATAAATAAACAAATTAGTGAACAAATAAACGTACAAATAAACCTCACTTTACAGCAAAGGACTTTCTCTTCTTTAGTGAACAAAATTATCTAAAAACTATAATGGTTATTATCGAATATTTCAATTTAATTTTGTTTGGTATTTCAAATTAAAACAAAATGTGTTTGTGAAACACTAATGTCCCTGTATGGCAGCTTTTGACAATGGTTAAAGTTTCTCAAATGCAACTCAAACTCAAATATTAATTAATAGCTGAAAAATGTTGTTACCCAAAGAAAGGACTCTCAGTGAATATATCTGAGAAATAAGAAATTCCAGGCACTAACCATTCAAAAGGTTTAGCTCAGGTTAAAGTTTTTTAAATGTGGGTCAAACTGCAAGGTCAAGGTCAAAGGGTCAAATTAAAGGTACCCAGGGTAAGGCTTTGTCATAAGAAATACACATGTAAAACATTAAAGAATTAGCACCAACTGTTCAAAATATATGGCCAAGATTAAAGTTTTTCAAAAGTATGTCTTATTCCAAGATAAAGGTCAAAATTTCAAGTATGTCGGAACCCAAAGAAAGGATTTGTCACAAGGAATACATATGTGGAAAATAATAGCCCTGATACTAATTTCTCAAGGTTAAAATTTTTAAAAGTTGGTAAAACTCAAAGGTCAAGATCAATTTTTTTAATATCCGTTCAAAGGTCTTGCTACTATGAATACACATAATAGTATAAAGTATGAAAGCCCTTGCACCAACTGTTGAAAAGTTATAGCCAAGGTTAAAGTTTGGTAAATTCTTGAAAAAGTGGAAAAAACTCAAAGATCAAGGTCAAAAAAGTCAAATATGTTAGAATCCAAACAAAGGCCTTATCACAAGGAATGCACATGTGAAATATGAAAGCCATAGGTCCAACCAATCAAAAGTAATGGGCACGTTTTAATGGGACAGACAAACAGGTGATGGGTATACAGACCCTGGTGATAGATGTACAGCTCTAGTGATAGATAATAGAGACCCTAGTGATAGATAATATAGACCCTGGTGATAAGTATACAGACCCTTTTAATAGATAATACCTTCCTTGGTAATAGAAATACAGACGCTGGTAATAGATATACGGACCCTGGTAATAGGTCTACAGTCTCTGGTGATAGGTATACACACCCTGGTGATGGGTACATACAGACCCTAATGACAGATAATACACACCCTTGACATAGATTTACAGATTTAGACCCTGTTCATAGATACCCAAACCATGGTGATGAGTATACAGACCCCTTGATGGGTATACAGACCCTGGAGATAGGTATACAGACTCTGGTCATTGGTATGCAGACCCTGGTGATAGGTATATAGACCCTGGTGATAGATAATACAGACCCTGGTGATAGGTATACAGACCCTGGTGATGGGTATACAGACCCTGGTGATAGTTATACAGACCCTGGTGCTAGGTATACAGACCCTGGTGATGGGTATACAGACCATGGTGATAGATAATACAGACCCTGGTGATAGTTATACAGACCCTGGTGATAAGTATACAGACCCTGGTGATGGGTAAACAGACCCTGGATATAGGTATACAGACTCTGGTCATTGGTATGCAGACCCTGGTGATAGGTATATAGACCCTGGTGATAGATAATACAGACCCTGGTGATAGGTATACAGACCCTGGTGATGGGTATACAGACCCTGGTGATAGGTATACAGACCCTGGTGATGGGTATACAGACCCTGGTGGTAGATAATACAGACCCTGGTGATAGTTATACAGACCCTGGTGATAAGTATACAGACCCTGGTGATGGGTATACAGACCCTGGATATAGGTATACAGACTCTGGTCATTGGTATGCAGACCCTGGTGATAGGTATATAGACCCTGGTGATAGATAATACAGACCCTGGTGATAGGTATACAGACCCTGGTGATGGGTATACAGACCCTGGTGATAGGTATAAAGACCCTGGTGATAGGTATAAGGACACTGGTGATAGGTATATAGACCCTGGTGATAGATAATACAGACCCTGGTGATGGGTATATAGACTCTGGTGATGGGCATACACACCCTTGTGATAGGTATACAGACCTTGGTGATAGGTATATAGACCCTGGTGATAGATAATACAGACCCTTGGGATAGGTATATAGACCCTGGTGATGGGTATACAGACCCTGGTGATAGATAATACAGACCCTGGTGATAGGTATACAGACCCTGGTGATAGATAATACAGACCCTGGTGATAGGTATACAGACCCTGGTGATGGGAATACAGCCCCTGTTGATGGGTATACAGACCCTGGTGATGGGTATATAGACCCTGGTGATAGGTATATAGACCCTGGTGATAGATAAAACGGACCCGGGTGATAGGTATACAGACCCTGGTGATGGGTTTATAGACCCTGGTGATGGGTATACAGACCCTGGTGATGGGTATACGGACCCTGGTGATAGGTATACAGAATCTGGTGATAGGAATACAGACCCTGGTGATAAGTAAAGAGACCCGGGTGATAGGTATACAGACCTTGGTGATAGGTATACAAACCCTGGTGATGGGTATATAGACCCTGGTGATAGGTTTATAGACCCTGGTGATGGGTATACAGACCCTGGTGATGGGTATACAGACCTTGGTGATGGGTATATAGACCCTGGTGATAGGTACATAGACCCTGGTGATAGATAATACAGACCCTGGTGATGGGTATATAGACTCTTGTGATGGGCATACACACCCTTGTGATAGGTATACAGACCCTGGTGATAGGTATATAGACCCTGGTGATAGATAATACAGACCCTGGTGATAGGTATACAGACCCTGGTGATGGGTAAACAAACCCTGGTGATAGGTATACAGACCCTGGTGATGGGTATACAGACCCTGGTGATAGATAATACAGACCCTGGTGATGGGTATATAAACTCTGGCGATGGGCATACACACCCTTGTGATAGGTATACAGACCCTGGTGATAGGTATATAGACCCTGGTGATAGATATACAGTTCCTGGTGATAGATAATACAGTCCCTGGTGATGGATATACAGATCCTGGTGATGGGTAAACAGACCCTGGTGATAGATAATACAGACCCTGGTGATAGGTATACAGACCCTGGTGATGGGAATACAGCCCCTGTTGATGGGTATACAGACCCTGGTGATGGGTATATAGACCCTGGTGATAGGTATATAGACCCTGGTGATAGATAAAACGGACCCGGGTGATAGGTATACAGATCCTGGTGATGGGTTTATAGACCCTGGTGATGGGTATACAGACCCTGGTGATGGGTATACGGACCCTGGTGATAGGTATACAGAATCTGGTGATAGGTATACAGACCCTGGTGATAAGTAAAGAGACCCGGGTGATAGGTATACAGACCTTGGTGATAGGTATACAAACCCTGGTGATGGGTATATAGACCCTGGTGATAGGTTTATAGACCCTGGTGATGGGTATACAGACCCTGGTGATGGGTATACAGACCCTGGTGATGGGTATATAGACCCTGGTGATAGGTACAAAGACCCTGGTGATAAGTATACAGACCCTGGTGATAGGTATACAGACCCTGGTGATAGGTATACAGACCCTGGTGATAGGTTTATAGACCCTGGTGATGGTATACAAACTATGGCAATACATAAACAGATCCTGGTAATAAGTATACAAACCCTGTAAAAATAATTAATTTATAAAAGAAATATATGATAAATGCATAAATAAATCAATAAATAAATGCAAAAATCAATCAATCAATAAAGAAATAAAAAAAATAAAGAAATAAATAAAAATACGAATAAATGAATGCATAAATAAATAGATAAATAAATAAATAAATAAATTAATTAATTAATAGAATACGAAATAAATGAAGGAATGAATATAATAAATAAATAAACAAACAAATAAATGAACTTCTTAATGAATTAATCAATTACTTAATTATTAGAATAATAAATAAATAAACAAACATGCATACAAATTAATAAATCAATGAATTAATTAATAGATAATTAATTAATGGATGGAATAATTAATAAATGAAGGAAAGAATGTTATAAATGAATTTAAAAAAAAAAATACAAATATATATATTTTTTTAATAAATTAATCAGTTACTTAGTTAATTAATTATAAGAATGATAAATAAATAAATTAATTAATAAGTAAATAAGTAAATAAATAAATAAATAAATAAATAAATAAATAAATAAATAAATAAATAAATAAATAAATAAATAAATAAATAAATAAATAAATAAATAAAAACTAACTGTAGAGTTGATTCATTTAATTTTCTGCTTTTTTAAATAAAAGTTGATCGAATTATGCAAAAATTTCTGCATCTGACTATAGTATCATTCCGCATTACTAGTTTCTATTATATATTCCGAATTTCCTCTCTGCTGTTTTCCGATCTCGATGGAAATTTATTTCACGCATGCGCTCTGCCTGGTTATAGAGGCATATTATGTGCTCAGTTACTAATACAATCGAGATCGGTATTCCTATTTAACGATCAAATATGTCTGCGCCCTGTTAGTACTCATGACAAGGTGAAAAGTTAAGAGTTGCTGCTTGCATAATATGCAAGATGTACAACGTAATTTGTGACAATTTCCCTATGGAAACTCCAGTGATTGACAAAAATGAAAGAATAGGTTTGTAACTATGCCTTTGTCCGATTACGTCGCATCCTTGGGGGATAACCCTTATTTCGGTGCCGGGTTTGGGTTATTTGGAGTAGGGTTTGCAGCAACTTTGCTCAGAAAAGGAGCCCAGTTTGGATTTGTTTGGTTTCGAAGAAACTGTATGATTACACTGGAAATTCCTAACAGAGATAAAAGTTACCACTGGTTACTCAACTGGATCACGACTCACGGCACCCGTACACATCATGTCAGTGTAGAGACAACATTCAAACAAACAGAAACTGGTCGCATTTACACAAAATTTGATCTCATTCCAAGCCCAGGCATCCATCTTTTCTGGTATAAAAACAACTGGATCCGTGTAGAGAGGACTGTAGAAAAGGGTGCAGTGTCGTTACAGACTGGTAAACCATACGAAAGTGTTCTTTTAACGGCTCTGGGGATCAATAAAACATTATTTTTGGACATATTGGAGGATGCCAGGACACTAGCCCTAGTGAGTGAAGAGGGCAAGACAGTGATGTATACACCCATGGGGGCAGACTGGGTTCCCTTTGGATATCCAAGGAGGAAAAGACCAATAGACTCGGTTATTCTGGATCAAGGAGTGTCTGAGAAACTTTTAACAGACATTAAAGAATTCATTGAAAATCCCAAGTGGTATTTTGATCGTGGTATTCCATACAGAAGAGGTTATCTCTTATATGGTCCCCCTGGGTGTGGGAAAAGTAGCTACATTACAGCACTGGCAGGTATTCTAAGTAGATGAAAGCCCTCGCTTCAAATTTTTATAAGATTTTGTTTTTATTTATTTAAAGCCATAATTTTGAAATACATTTTTAAAGAATTTGAAACTCTATTTTCCTAATTATAAAATCCTTTTTGTTAACCATCCTCCTGACAGATCTAAAAACAGCATGGTAATATTTGAGAAAAAATGTACAGACATGCATTCTCCTGGTTTTACAATGAAAAAAAAAAAACCAAATGGGTTAATGCATAAAATTAGGGTAACTGTAAACAAACATATTATTTCATGGGCCTAATGAGGTACACATTATGCATAAATCAGAATTTTTAAAAGTGCAAAATAACAGCTATATAACAGAATGACTTGAATATATTTTAAAATGCATATGTACATATTCAACATGTTTTATTGTTATACCTTTAAAAGTTGGTTCCTATATAAATCTATACTTTAAAAAGTCTAACATTTCCAAGTTTTAGTGCAAGTAAAGGGAAGCCAGCACAAGATACAAGTATATGAAAAAAAAATTAAAGGTATACTGTTGACTGTGTTTTCAGGCAGAATGTCTTTTGTCGACCCCTCGAACCAAACTGTTTGCCTTGGGCCTAACAGCATCAGGCAAACAGTTTGGTTCTTGGGTCTGACAAATTGCATGTTGCCCAAAAACAGAGTCAATAAATATATATTATTATAAAATACATGTATCAATCTGAACAGGACAGTTGGATTACAGTATATGCCTTATGAATCTGAATGACAGAGGAATGTCTGATGATCGTCTAAACCACTTACTCACCACTGCCCCAGAACAAAGTATCATATTACTAGAGGATATTGATGCTGCATTCCTCAACAGGGACTTGGCAAAAGAAAGTATGTCAGTGTTGCAAATGTCAGAGGAAAAAAATTAAGTCTCAAATGGGACTCAGAATTAATCCCTAGTATAAACGCTAGATAGCACACTAATTTCAATATGTAAAAGAGTAGTGTTAATGTATAAAGATATGCTCACATTTCTAAAAGATTCTGATGGAGACTTGTGGATAAGATAATTTCAGTGATTTGAAATTTAATCATAACATCTGTCTTGGGTATGTTCAGAGATATAAATAATGTTATTTTTGTCTCAGGTATATTACATATATGTATGTGCACACAAATGTTAAAGTTGAAAATTTTTTATAAGATGGCATTCTTTAAATTTTCAGATCCTACCATGTACCAGGGAATGGGCCGTTTGACTCTCAGTGGACTTTTGAATGCTCTAGATGGTGTGGCTTCAGCTGAGGCTCGCATAATATTTATGACAACAAACTACATTGAAAGGTAATAAATACAGGTTATGAAATGATTCTTTCCTCCAAAAATTACAAACATACATGTATCTTTATGTTTCCATGTTATGTTAGCAAAAAGTCTGACACTTTAAGAGTTTTTTTGTTTGAAGACTTGATGCTGCTCTCATCCGACCAGGACGTGTAGACTTGAAGGAAATGATTGATTATGCTACAGATTATCAATTAGAAAAAATGTACACAAGATTTTACCCTGAGGAGGGGGAAGAGGGAGGAAAGAAATTCAGTTCTCTTGTGAGACAACATAACAAGCCAGTGTCTGCTGCTCAGGTACAAGGACTCTTTCTGCAATACAAGGACAACCCGAAAGGAGCCCTGTCCAATATAGAACTCCTCTGGTCATCATGACGGGGACTTTGTGAAATTTACTTAATATGTGTTGATTTTAAACAATAAATTTAAAAAAAATATAGAAAGCAGATTGGATATATTTGTTTTTAAAACATATGCTTCAGAGTTACAGTAGAAATGTGATTTTCTTAATTAACATATTTTAACACATATCTGTAGACTGAAACTGACTTGACCAGATTTACAAAACAAAACAAAAAATCATGAACATCTTGATAAGTTTCACTAATAATAGACAAAATTATAAAAGTATTGAAAGTAATTAAAGACTGATCTTACTCTCTCTACTAGCATTTTTATTAAAAAGTTTTAACATGCCTTTATATACATGATTTCTTACGTATACAGTACCTCCGAATTTGTTGAAACAGCTTTTCTAGGAAAATTCTCACATCTTAATTAATATTTAATACGCATTGAAATACAAACATCAAAGATAAGCATTGGAATGATAAAGCATATACATTAAATAAGGCATGGTGAAGAACCAACATTTTTCTTTTGAAATAACCTGCCAAGTTTTGGATAAAATACAAGGGACGTAACTAGTTTTTTAAGAATTAAGTCTTTGTATTTACACATTGTATAAATTAGGAAAGAATACATAACATGATCTTTCATACATTGAATTATTATTCTTTATAACACAGAAAATGATAAACATAGGTAATCAAAGATTACAGAGCTCACCTCAAGCAAGTCAAAGTCCTATGCAGACCTAATAATCCAATATTAGTGTGTATCCTTGGATATGATATTTATGCAATTTTAATCCAGGCAGGGCTTGACGTTACTTAAGAAATAATGCCCGGGTCAGAGGAATTTTTGGGAAATAAACCCCTATAGTCAAGGATTTTGTTGGCAAATAAAAACTGAGCCCGAAGGGTGGGGTTTTTATTTGCCAAAAAAAACTTGAGACTGAGGGATATATTTTCCAACGATTCCTCCGACGGGGGAATTATTTCTATTCTTCTACGGTGATTATTTAAGCTTCTGTATAGAGAAATGCAAAAGCTAGATTTGGACATCGTCAAAAGTGTCTTTTGACGTCGCAATCGAATACTACTCCTCATTCATTTGTATCTCAAGCATTAGAAAAATTGCCATATAATCCGAACCAAAAGTAAATTTTTTCCCACCACTTTACATCACAATCAAAAGATACCTCAATCCTTTTCCTAGTAAACACAATCAAAATTAGAGGAAACCTGACAAATGTGACTTATTGGAGAATAATAGCTACAGCATCTCTTTGCGATAACCATAGTAGAATTGGAATTAAGACTCATTCTAAAACTTTAAACTGGTCATTCAACCAGAAAATGCAGGTCAGATCAAGCATACAAAGCAAGTCTGTTAGTGTGCATCTCTTGATACATCATCCATACAAGTTTGGTTCAGTAAGCCTTAAAGTTACTTGGGAATGGACCTGCTCAAAAGACTTACACCTTGTCACTGATTTAGAAAGCATAGGTCAGATCCAGCATGCAAAGAAGTCTGGTGGCATACATCCCTAGATTTATAATCAATGCAACTTTGCTTTGTGAAGGGCTAAAATTTAAACTGGAACAGAACTGCTCCAAAACCTTTAACTTGGTCACTCATCCAGAAAATGTAGGTCAAATCCAGCATCCAAAGCAATTCTGGTAGTGTGCACCCCTAAATGCATTATCCATGCAAGTATGGTCTAGATTGGGCTTGAAGTTACACTGGAATGAACCTGCTCCAAAAACTTTCATCTGGATAATTGAGTCAAATCTAGCATCCAAAGCGAGTTTGGTAGTGTGCATCCTTAGATGTGTCATTCCTGCAATTTTGGTCAATATAGGACTTTATATATAATTACTTTGAAATGAAACCTGCTCCAATAACTTTTACCTGTTCCAAAAACATTAGCTGGTCATTCCTTAGCTAAATTTGCAGCATCTGAAACCTGACTGGTACAATGAAACACACTAGAAGCATTGCCCATGCATCTCTGATCAATATGAGTTATAGAATTATTTGAAAAGAAAACTGCTCCAAAAACTTCAAGCTGGGAAACCTCCACCAAGGGTATTATATAAGCTCCCCCAACTCCGTTGAGTTGAACTTAAGTTTACATACATATCCCAGAATCAAACCAAAGAATAAATACCGGTAAATCCCTCTAGTTATGCCAACAAGGAAAGAAGTACACAAATATAAATTGTTTAATAAAATGTTTATTTTGTAATCAAATACAAAACATTTTTTAACAATGACTGACAAGATGATGACAGTTAATACAAAAAGTTCAAAAGATTAAAACAAAGAAATAAAGGGAACACAGATGTGAAGATTATTTCTGTAAAATAGTACGTGTGTCAGATTGGCCCCACTGTTCAGTGAACTTACAATCTACAGCCTCAGATATTAAGACTGTTATATACTGCTTAGTACGTGATTCAGTATTTGTAAAGTACATTATGTAGTCATAATCATATCAAGACTTTAATTTACTGGAAGGTAATGTCTACTACTGCTCCAGCCACTGAACTTTTTAAGTGAACACCTGCGATAACTAACCTATTTTTGCATTATTTTAAGCTGTAGCTCAGCGAGGAGAAGTCTGAACACAGGCATCAACCTTAGGAGCCTTACTTCTTTTAACTTTGCGTCGAGTTGAAGAAGGTTTTGATATACTGCCTGTGAATGAAAAAGTAGTTGAAATCTCACTAAACACAATCTGAGGAGGATGTTGGGTACAAGTTTGTGATTAATTTTGTATGTAAATCATGATAATAAAACTTATCACTAACAAAAACAACATTTAATGACCTACACTGCATAACAGTGCACATTTCAATATAAAAAATACATATACTTATTAACAAAACTGATTAAAAACACAAGCCTAAAAAATAAAAAAAAAATAAAGAAGAAATGATTCAAATATCATTTACAACCATGTTTTTCACTAAAAAAATTTCTTTACAATTAAAACCATATTCCATATCACTAGGTATGCTATAAAATTTAGTCTGAAAAAATAGATATCAAATCAAATTAAGACACAGAACACATCGAAATCCAGGAAGTACCTTTAGCTGGAGATTTCACAGGACTTTTGACCGTCTGAACTTTTGCTGGACTTTTACGAGGACTCTTTACAGGCTCACCATTAATCGGTGCTTGACTTTGAGGTGCTGAGACTTTCGGTGTGCCTCTACCTCTTGCTGTCTTGGGTGTGCCTTGTCGGGGCTTGGCAGATGGTTTTGGTGTAGTTTGACGACAGCCTGATGTGGCCACTGCTTTTGGAGTTCCTTTGACTTTTTCCACTGCTGTTTTCTTGGGACTGGAAGCTTCTGCAGCTACATCACTTTTCCTCTTAATTCCCTTCTAATAGAAAATTTAAATGCATATGCTTTTGCCTTATAGATGAAAAGTAACAAAATATTTTGTTCAAACTGGCTTCTGAGCACTCCTTTTTTTCCATCTGCCATAAAATTTAGTCCCATGCACTTTCCACATTTTGTTTAAATAAATCAAAATTTTATTTAAACTCCAGATACTGTGTGTCATATAAACATTTTTTGAGTAATAATTGGTCTTACCAGTGTTATATTTTCAAAGTCAGCCAAATTACAGTACCTCTTAATACAATGAAAAAAAAAAACCCGAGTATTTCACAGTTCTGGGCAGAGGTGCCTCAGGGGAAGTAACAATTGAGTTCAGAAATAAACATTGGTATTAAATTTGATGGACTTATAAAGATCCCTCTGTTACTGTTTATGTTGTTCAGTAATATGTGAAACATTTCAATATATATACATTTGCTGTGGTTTTCTATCAAGTCAACTGTGAAATTGATTTGAAAGCCATTTTTGTGTATACTCACACGTAAAAATATACACGGAGAAACCCGTGCTAAAGTGACGTCACATTAAGGCTACAGAGACGTTAATAAAACTATGACGATATTGAGCAGCGAGAAATTCAAACATTGAGTATATTTTTGGTGCATTTAACATGCAAAATGTAAATATAAGGAATGTTTTTTTAGTTTAGTGTGAATTATTGGTGTGTAAATCACACAGACTTGCACGTAGGCATACTTTTCATGAAGCGCTAGCACTTCCCCTTTATGCAATAATACTTTGTGGCATGTTTGGTTGAAATTGGCCCAGTGGTTCTTGAGAAGAAGTTGAAAATGTGAAAAGTTTACAGACAGACAGACGGACAGACAGATGGACACTGGACAAAATGTGATCAGTAAAGCTCACTTGAGCCTTCGGCTCAGGTGAGCTAAAAGAAAAGTGAAAATTCCAACCTGTGGAATTAATTCTCTATACAGAATAGTGTGACTATGTAAGATGATTTGAATATTACCTTTGATGGAGCACCAGCAATGGGAAGATTGAGCTTCCATTCATCTTTCACTCCTAATTTCTTTAATCCATCATGAAACAATGCCCTGTACTTATCATAATCTGGTTTCTCCTCATAACCCAATTTTGACACCAGGGTCAGAAACTTTGATATTTCATCTAAAACAGAAAGATACCTAAATACTTTATCACAATATTAATAAAAGTATGTTTTGAGCAAATTTAAATTCACTAGTTAGATTTTATATTTTAAAGATCAACATTTAGAAACACTAGAGAAAGATCTCACTGACTGTACTGTTAACCACCAGAGAATAAAACAAAAATCTTTGAATCTGATCCACCACTGGCATTAAGTCTGAGAAATGACATTCTTACTGCAGTGTTGTCTAATACCTTGTGTTTCTCCTTTTCGGAAACAAGCTCTTGTCAGTGAAGGAATGTCTTTCATATACCTACAAAATTAATCTGAAAAGTAACAAATCTTACCTAATGTCTTCTTATTTAAAAAAAAATTGGATCTTCATTTTAATTCCATCTTTATAATTGTTAATAATTTAAAATAAGGTACTGTACATGTTTCATGGCAATATACTTTACAGAGTAAAATAACTTGAAAATTAAAACTAGAAATATGTCCATAGGATATGAATGCCCCACCCAAAGTATATTTGTATTGCAACATGGAAATGCACTCTGTCTTACCAATTAGTACTTGTATACAAAGTTTTATTAAAATATCTTGAATGCTTTTTTAGAAACTCAGGTAACCGCAAAATGAAGAAATTCTGGATGTCAAAGTGAGAAAAAATGACACAGTCGAATTGCTCTTACCAATATGTATCAAAGCATATGAATCTTCAAAAGTGCTGTTTCAGGTAATGGAAATGTCAAAACATTAGAAAGGTCAGGGTCACAAAATTATGACAGGATCAGAGTTACAATACAGTTTAATATTTCTGATCAATATGCATCAATGTTTGAGTTTTTATGAAAAACATATTGGAGTTTCTTCTAAACTGTTCTCAATACAAAATAATGAATAGTGAGGCCACTGAAGGTCACAGGGAAGGTCAAGTCAGAAAATTTTGACACAGTTGAATAGCTCTTAATAATTTGTATCATTGTATGAAAGAACGAGGCTTTTTGATTGGCATTCGGCAGGAATCTGGGTGCACTTGAAAAGTGAAAATTTCATTGATCTGTTACATGAAATTTTAGCATTCTTTTGATGTATCGGGTTCCTGTGAATTAGGAAAGGGAAATATTTTCTCAATTTTGTATTTTGATATGCTAAGGAAGAACATGAAAATTGGCTAGATGAGTCATTTGGAACAAAATGTTACATTTTCAAACACCTTTTTCTAAAAATTTGCTACCTCTGGGTCATCTCTCCATGATTTTGAAATGTTATTTGTGTGCATTTTAATTCAAAGAGACTAACGAACATTTGTCAAAAATGGATCGAAGACCCATAGACTATAAAAAATTAACTTTTTTCAAAAAAAATTCCAATATGTAAATGCGGTGTTTCATTCTCGCTTTAAAAACTGTAAAGATTGTGTATCAGTGCTAGCTCAGTAGTATGAGTTACTCGTCCAGTGCAATGATGAAAAAATATTTTTGGTTCGATCCTCACATGGAGTGTTAATATTTTTTTTAGTATAAACAATCAATTATTTTCACAGTTTAATTTTATGTACTGATTTATCTTCAAATAGATAAATTCTGGTTCTGTTGCACCGAAAGCGAAAGCAATTCTTCCAACCTACTGATACTTTAATATATACATGTACATGTACTTGTAATTGCATTTAATTATACCCTATAGGTGTTTACTATTTATGTGAAGTGTTACTGAGTTTTACATGTAGTAATTATTAAGATAAGCGGACTGATATATTAAATTTAACAAAGTATTTCAAACTAAATGTAACATTTTTCCATGTGCGTTACTTTGTAAAGTATGTCCAGCTGTGGTCAGCCGACCAAATCGTAGACATTTAAACTATAAATGTTTCGTACGCCTTATTCCTGCAGATCACACACCAAATACACCCATCTTTTTTGATGAAAACTTCATAAACATGCCTTTGAAACTAAGATACATTGTAAATGCAAAATGAGGAATAGTGGGGTCAAGGTAATCTCTAAGTAAAATACATGTAAAATACATGTATTTAACCCAAATTTTACCTGCATTTTACATATCAAAATAAGATTATTAGTACCTAATTTTGGAATCAGCAACATAGTCTTTATCCAATAAATTATCTTCCCAGGGCAGTTTGCCACAGAGCCACTGTAACATACAGAAGGCTAAAATCTCCATGTCACCTCTACGAGAAGGAGCTGAAAAAAATACAAGAATTTTGGATGCTAAATAAAGTATACTCTTTGTAAACGAAATTATCTGTAAAAAAAAATACCATTATGCATACAACTTATCATATATTTGAGGAGAAGGTTGCAAAGAAATCAGATAAGAAAATGGCAGAAATCTGTTACTTTGCAACAAGAGGCCCCAGGGCCTAGAATCACTCTTCTGATAAATAGTGCAACCCTTCACTTCTATTCTAAGACTCTTAGTTTTGTAAATAAATAGAAAAAGCCTTGAAATTCCAAAGGTAGGTCATCATGACCTACTTTCAGCTTTAACACTCTGAGAACCAACTATGCATCAACTGACGAAGTTTGATGATTCTAAGCCTCTTATTATCTGAAATATTCAGATATAGCCATGAAATTCCAACAAAAGGTCCATGGGCCAGATCGCTCACCTGAGTACTTTGGCTAAGAAAGAATAGAAATTAGTTCATGTATTGAAAAGCTTAAATATAAAAGAGGTCGGGTGAGGGGGGGTTGGGGGGTTGGAACAAACTTAAATCTACCTGAGGATGCTTCTAAATTAATATGACTATTAATGGCTTTGCTGTTCTTGAGAAGAATTTTTTTTCTTTGCTTAACTAAGATCACCTTTTATGATCTCTCTATACTCCTGATTTGAACAAACTTGAAGCTACACTACCTGAGGATGCTTCCATATAAATATGACCAATCATGGCTTTGTTGTTCTTGAGAAGTATCACCCATTGTGCCCCCCCCCCCCCCCCCCCCCCCCCCCCCGGGTCATGATTTGAAGAAATCTGAGTCTACACTACCTGAGGATGCTTCCAAATATATATGACCAATCATGACTTTCCAGTTCCTGAGAAGAAGATTTTTAAAGGTTTTCCCTATGTATTCCTATGTAAAACTTTCACTGCCAATTGTAGCCCTGCCCTACCCCCCAGGGGTCATGATTTGAACAAATTTGAATCTACACAACCTGAGGATGCTTCCATATTAATATGACTAATCAAGGCTGTGCTGTTCTTGAGAAGAAGAATTTTAAAGGTTTTTTCCTTTTTATTCCTATGTAAAACTTTGATCCCCCATTGTGGCCCTGCCTTACCCCCAGGGGTCATGATTTGAACAATTTGAATCTACACTATGTAACAAAGGTTTTCTATAAGTTTAAACTTTTTTGGCCCAATTGTTCTTGAGAAGAAGATTTTTAAAAAACATACCACCAAATTTTCACTATTTCTCAATTATCTCCCTTTGAAAGAGGGCATGGCCCATCATTTGAAGAAACTTGAATTCTCTTTACCCAAAGATGCTTTGTGGCAAGTTTGGTTGAAATTGGCCCAGTAGATCTTGAAAAGAAATCGAAAATGTGAAAAGTTTACAGACAGATGGACGGACGGACAGACAGCTAGACGGACTACAGACAAAATGTGATCAGAAAATTCAGCTCAGGTGAGCTAATAAAAGGTCATGCTGACCTACTTTTTGGTTGATATACGAGATTCAAAGATGTATCAACTGACAAACTTTGATGATTCTAAGCCTCTTATTATCCTACGGTAAATATTGAGATTTAACTGGAAGTAGGTCACTGTGGCCTACATTTTTAGTTGACACAGTTGACCTAAGATGCATCAACTGATAAAATTTGATGATTTTAAGCCTCTTATTATCCAAGATATTGTGATAAAAGTGTGAAATATGCCCTGTTCACAGATTTGCATTGTGTGAAGTTTTTTTTGTTGAGATCAATCACTGTGCATTATCTTCACCTATTTCACCTACTATATACAGAGTTATTTTCACCCTTTCACATTTGCAAACAATTTTGCCCCATTTTATATTTGCCCAGAAAGATTTTTGTTTAAGATATAGTACTGTTAACTTTGAATTCACCCTGTTTAAAATTTGCCTACCGGTTCTTCCGACAAAGGTAAAAGGGGCGAATATAAAACGGGGGCGAAAATTTCCCTGTATATATTTCATTTTCACTATTTGACTAACAGAACCCTGGCCTAACTCCAGGCCCGGGGCCATAAAACTTAGACGAGCTCAATTTTGATCTCAGTCTCACTTTTCCATCATTAATTCCTTTGGTAAAAGTGAGACTGAAATGAAAAGTGAGCTCATCTAAGTTTTATGGCCCCAGGCCCCGGGGCCATAAAACTTAGATGAGCTCACTCTTGATCTCAGTCTCACTTTTCCACTAGTAATTCCTTTTGTAAAAGTGAGACTGGGATCAAAAATGAGCTTGTCTAAGTTTTATGGCCCCGGAGCCTGAACCAGAAACCTAACCAAGGGGCCAGGAATTTCACAATTTTGGAAGAGGCACCCTTACTTATCATAGACAGTCAGACGCCTGACAAAATTTGATTAGAAAAGCTAACTTGAGCCTTCAGTCCAGTAAAAAAACTACATCACTGTAGAGGCTGTTTCGAAAACATAAGATTACAAAGCTCACCTTGGCGATTGTTATTTATCTGTTAGGCAAATCTTACACCAATTTTTATTTAGTGTGCGTGCATCCCAAAACCAATTTGCATGCAAGTATGGTTTTGTTAGGATGTATAGTTACTTAGGAATGTACATGCTCCACAAACTTAACTCATCAGGAAAAAAGGTAAGTCAGATCTAGCATCTGAGGCAAGTCTGGTAGTGTCTCTACCTAGAAGCATCATCCATGCAAGTTTATTCATAACAAGCCATAGTTGCTTGGGAATAGAGCTCCTCCAAGAACTTTGACCTGGTATTTCAAATGGAAAATGTAGGTCAGATCCAGCATCTGAAGAAAGCCTTGTAGTGTCCATTGCTAGATGCATCACCAATGCAGGTATGGTCCAGGTAAGCCAGGTAAGGCTTATATTTACTTGGTAATGAACCTACTCTAACTTTGTCTCTCATCAGAAAATGTAGGTCAGATCCAGTATCTGAAGCAAGACTAATATTGTCTACCTTAGATGCATCATCTGTGCAAGTTTGGTCCATGCAGTTAGGGCTAATAGTCAATAATCTGGAAAAGCTAGGTCAGATCCAGCATCTGAAGCAGGTCAGATAGTGTATATTCCTACATTCCTATATGCATCATCCATGCAAGTTTGGTTCAGGTAGGCCTTAGAGTTACTTGAGAATGGACCTGCTCCAAAAACTTGAACCTGTTCACTAATCCAGAAAATGTAGGTCAGTTTGGTCCAAGATATGTCTTAACTCCCATTTGGAATAGTTAGAGATATTCAATTTTGCAAATAATGCCAAAATTAAATCATCACAGAAAATTCTCCTTATTCAGTATGATATCCATGTACATTAGTGAGGAAAAAAATATTTGCTAAAACAAATTGCAAGCGATGATTTTAATTTCATATTAAATACCATCATTTGCAACATTATAGATAAAGGATATGGAAATTTCAAATAAGAAATGCTTCCAAAACTTGAAAACAACTTTGTTAGACTTGGTTCTTATAATTAAACTGTAAGGACCTACCAACTCCTTTGTGAGCATCAGTGCTGGTAAATTCAATGGTTCCATCATGAGCCTTCTTTGGATCCTCTTTATATTCTTTGTGGGAACCATCTGGACTATACTTTAGAGCTAAACCGTAGTCCACCAGATATACCTAATAACAATTGGGACACTATAGATAATGTTCTTACCTTTGAATTATTTAACAAAATTAAACAAATCATAGGAGGGTTTGAAAAATGACATTTTACTCTTTCATAAAATGCAAATTTTAACAAATAATAATAACCATTACTGAAATAAAAAACATATGATAAAGTTGTCGTTTTTAAATACATGTAAATCTCTGAACCTCCACTTCATTAGTTTTATACTAATGAGTATTGAGATAAAAAGCAGAAGCTTGAAATTGAAAGAAAAAAAAAACAACATGTATGATTGAAAAAAAAGATCTACAGTCAAGTAGTGTAATGAGCTTGGAGGTAGTGGTACTTGTAAAATATCCAATAGATCAACCATAAGTTAAATTATTATACCTCATTATAATTATTCTATACAATGTGTTATCTGATTGGTTCTAGACTATCACGTGACAGGGCCATAAAACTTCATATTTCCCTGACGTCGTCATGCTTTTCATCGTAATCAACCTCTTCGGAGACCTAGTGCATTTTTCCTCAATAGTTATTGTTTGTTGAACGAAAACTCCCGAGAGTAGTAGACGTCACAATACCCTGGTTCACGTCACAACTTTTCTAAATTCTTCTTTCAGTAATCTTAAGTTTAAATTGAGAGTTGTGAAAGTTTATGTTTATTTTCAAAGTTTTTGCTTGTTTCAGTATAATAATTTATTGCATGAATGTTCGGGAAACATGAAGATTTATTCAGCCAAGAAATATCATATTCCCCTCAGGCGAAGCCCTCGGGGAATATGATTTTTCTTGGCTGAATAAATTTTCATATTTCCCTTACAATGATGCAATAAATGTATAATAAACAATCAAATAAAATTAGCTAGACACACAGGGCTGACTGCTTATAAAAGCTGTCAGCCCTGCCAAAGATCTACTAGCCCAAGAAAAATTTGTTTTTGTGATTATGTGACTGGGACCAGGTTACCATAGCTTCGGTCCTGAATCTATAGACTGAAGGATTCTGTTCCTTGGTTTGTTACACTTTGCTACTGATACTCTAGTTGATTTAAGAGAAATTTATAAAAAAAAAAAAAATATGAATTCTTATTATCAAAAATTTTAATATGTCCAGTTGGGCATTGACTCATGTAAATTTGTTCGCTGGAAGCAAAATTTAACCGGTCAGGCGCAAGGTTATTTCAAACACTGTATGTAAGTAAAACAATATACCCCCGGGATCTTTCGATCCAGGGGCATAAAAATGCAGATTCCTGTCATCAAATACATGTATATTGATTGCCTACTGCATGACTCAAATCCAGATTTCAAAGGACACTTTATATTGTGCCATAATGGAAAGCACAAGTGCTAATTATGCTTTGAAGGCTTCCATTTAAATAACTGGTGCAGGTGATACACAAGTAGTAAAGTGAGATTTACTCTTATTTTCTTGCTATCAGAATAAATTTAGTCAAGCATACAGCTTTGTCTACCATAGTAAAGCTTACATTACTTAGTGCGTGGTTATAGTTGTTGGCTGCCAACAATGTTATAGAAAATCTTGATTATGACAAGTAATTGATACAAATATTATTTTTATGGTGAGTTTCTAACACTGCTCACATGGCATGAAACTTAAGTTTTCTATTACCTGGTCTGGCTGCTGCTGTTTGTTACTGAAGCCTAGAAGCATATTTGATGCTTTAATGTCAGCATGGACATATCCATTCTCATGAAGATACTCCAGGGCATCCACCTGAAATATTATCAGCATTAGATAATGTATATATAAAAACAATGCAAGTCCAGAAAAAAAAAAATCTTGTGTATTAAATACATCTTTAATGACATCATTAAAATGGCCTCTATGAAAAGAAAGAAGGAATAAAGTATACCATGAATTTTTTTTTTAACTTATTGCAAATCAGAAGTTGAGATTGTGATCCCAATTTGATGTTCTGAATTGAAACCTGTTGCCCATACCATTCTTAATCCCAGAGCAAGAACTGTTTCCTTTGAGAATTGTTTCCCACAACCTTCAAATATTTTTTGCAAGTCTGTTCCAAAGCGAGGCATGATCATAAAACGAAAGTTTTCTTTATCTCTCTGGTGCATCCCATGGGCAATGTACTTTGGCACTCCTAGGTATTTTAATTTCTTGCTTTTTACCCAGTTATCAACTAAAAATGAAATATCGCAATTTAAATGCATTTGTCAATCATTTTCCTATTTAAAGCTTCAGTCAAATTGTATGAACAATAATCAAGATGAAATTTCAAATATGCATACTCTTTTGAAGAGTCACTGAGCTTCTATGAAAAACATTTCAGAAAATGGCAAAGCAAATGAAAAATTTTATCAAATGAATCTGGAAATTAATGGTGTTTATCTTATATTACAATGTACAAACTAACTCATCTCTGGTCTTGATACCCGTTGGTAAAAATGAAGTTCACAGAACAAAGGACCATTTGAGTGTGGTTCCTGAAATTTAATTGTTTGGAATTAAAATTTCACTTTACCAATCACAACTCAAAGTTTTAAGGAACAAAATTCTACTAGAATACTCTACACTATGTGTAGCTACTTAAATTACTTTTTTGTTAAAAAAGTACATGTAGGTCACTATAGAAATATAATTATACTTAAATATTAACATTTATAGAGACTTTTAAACTTACTATTTTTATAACATGTTCAGCTGTTGAAGTTACTGGAGAGCCTATGTCCTCTGATGCTGAAATGCAATCAAATTGTTACCAGAGTATTTTGTGAATACTTACACATTAATATTATCTGTAGTTTAGAATTAGAGTGTCTTTTCTACACTAGTTCGTTACAATATTACAATCAGCCTGCTACCCAGACATATGCGGAGTCCGATGTAATAAAATCCCTAATTAGAGCTATTACTTAAATAAGATGGTTTCACAATTTTAACCTGAATACATTGCATGTAACTACATATAATGTTGGTTTAAATTGACACAGGAATTCTGGAGAAGGTTGAAAATGCAAAAAAATTGTGAACAAGAGGCCCATGGGCCACTTTGCTTACCTGAACACTTTGGCTAGGAAAAAGCAGAAATCAATCATATTTGAAAAGTTTAAATATAAAAGTGGTCCAGGAAAGGGGGAGGAGGGGGTCATGATTTGAACAAACTTGAATCTACACTACCTGAGAATGCTTCCATATTCTATGACTATTCATGGCTTATGTAGATTGTTCATCGCCCGCATGGCACAGTGGTTAGAGCGTCTGCTCTAGAGTCGTGGAGTAAGGAGTTGATCCTTATCACGGGTTCGAATCCCACCGTGGGACGTGGAGACCGGTCCTTTGGTTGAGACCGTATAAACCAGGGTCCCGTGTCACAGTAGGTGCTGGCACGAAAAAGATCCCTCACTGCTCAATGGCCCTGAGTGCCGAGAATAGGTCAAAATTTATAGCCCTCCACAGGCAAGTGGTGGCATCTCCATATGAGTGAAAAATTCTCGAGAGGGATGTTTAACAACAATCAATCAAACAAACAAGCAAACATGTAGATTGTGCAAGTTCTTTTTCTATAGGTTTATCTTCTATTCTATTGTAAAACTTTGATCACTTACAGCGGTCTCTCCCTACCCCAGGGGTCATGATCTGAACAAACTTGAGTTTACACTACCTGAGGATGCTTCCATATGAATATGACAAATCAAGGCCTTTCTGTTCTAGAGAACAAGATTTCAAAAGATTTTTCCTATGATGTATTCCTATGTAAAACTTTAATCGCCCATTGTGCCCCCACTTACCCCCTGTGGGGTCATGATTTTAACAAACGTGATTCTACACTCCCTGAGGATGCTTCCATATAAATATGACCAATCAAGGCTTTGCTGTTCTAAAGAAGAAGATTTTAAAAGATTTTTCCTATGATGTATTCCTATGTAAAACTTTGATCACCCACTGCCCCCCCCCCCCACCCCCCCACCCCCAGAGGTCATGATTTGAACAGACTTTGACCTACACTAACTGAGGATGGTTTACGGTTCCATATAAGTTTCAACTTTTTTGGCACAGTGGTTCTAGAGACATTTTTTTTTAAAGATACCATTAATTTTCACTCATTCGTAATCATCTCCCCTTGGAAGAAAGCATGGCCTTTTCAACTGAACAAACTTGAATCCCTTTTATCCAAGGATACTTTGCAAGTTTAGTTGAAATTGACCCAGTGGTTCTTGAGAAGAAGTCAAAAATGGGAAAAGTTTACAGACAGATGGACAGACACACAGCTAGACAGACGGCCACCGGACAAATTGTGATCAGAAAAGTACACTTGAACCTTTACAATGTAGCTCAGGTGAGCTAAAAACAAACAATAATGGAACGATGGACATACTTTGATCAGAAAACATTACTTAGCATTTGCTCAGATGAGCTCGGTAAATTTTGCTTGATACAAAATGAAATTTACCCAGATAAATAAGACCAAATCCTCCTTTGCCAACTTCATCCCCTAATTTCCACTGTTTCTTCCTGAGATCTTGCAGGACAGTGCCTCTAGTGAAAGGTGCAGGAAGCTTTGGTCCTTTTGGTGCCCTCGGTTTCCTAGCTTTAATACAATATAAAGAATTCTCTATATTGAGAAGATGAATTTCCCACAAAATACTTCTTTTTTTTCAATTTAACACAAATTACACATCAATAAAAGATACTCTGAATAGTCTTCATATAAATTTTACATGGAAATAATGTGGCTTAAGGACATACGCAACGTAGTTTGAACTTTATTGTCTTTTCCCCTGGAGTTGAAGAGTTCCAATACTTAAAGGAACTGTGTGCTACATTTTAATGTATATATATTCTGTTGTACACTTCTTCTTAAAAAATTTTGGATAAACAAAACATCTAGAATATATATTAAGTTATTTAATGTATTTTTCTTTGAATTATAAAAGAATTTTCATCAACTGATATCTTTTTAAAACCCCTGGTAATGCTTGCTGATTTTTTGTCTATGAACATCTGATGGCACTATAATCTGAAATTAAGAATATCTTGAAAAATTATCAGTAGGTAAGGTACGTTGCGTATGTCCTTAATTACTAAAATGAAACTTTTCCTAAAATAAAAGAGCAAAATAATGTTTTTAAATGGACACTTGAGCAACAAGACACAACAAGATACATTGAAGTGAGAATATTGGATTCTGTTGAACAAATTTCGTTAAAATCTAACAAATTTTGTAATATCACTAGAATTACCAGGTGCTGCAGTTCCTGCTTTTCCCCTTGGCATGGTCTCTTCCTATTTCCTGAAATTAGAACATAATTAAGGACCTCTACAGGGTTCGGCACTAACATTAGTTTCAGACTAATACATTTTCATTCTAACTAATAAAATCTGTGGCTTATTAGTCTGAATGGACCAATAAAAATTTCTGGAAAACAAAATCAATAAATTACCGATGTTCAATTCTCAACAACTTTTACTGGAAAACCTGCTTTCTAGCTTCTTGGCGGGTAATTAGGCAATTCAGAGTCAATTTGGCCCTAAATTTTAGAACTGATTGATATGAAATTAAACATTTTAGCGATCATGATTTAGTATGGCTCATAAAGAAAGATGTTGGACATTTTAGATGTAATGTACGGAGAAAAAAGATCGGGAATACTATTGTACTTTTTGATTGTGAGATTGCAACGAATCTGTGGAATAAAACACTTCAGGTAAATGCTCTGTTTACTTCAAAAAAAAATTAAAAAGTACATTGTTATTTTTATTTTTTTAATCAATTGTTATAAAACATTGAAGTTTTCTTTTTTGACTGACTCATAAAATCGTGTGCGGACTAGTAAAAGTAAAGAAGCACTAGTCAGGATGGACTTAAGCCTAAAATTGATAGTGTCAAACTCTGCTCTTTACACCAGTACAAAATGTTTTTTGGACACTGAGAAAACTATATTGTATAAAGTGTAAATAAATAGCTTATCTATTTCATTTTCAATATATGGTATTTACCCCTAGGACAAATGTTCAAACACAACCAAGAATCATAATCAATGAACAGAAATCATTTACTTCAGTGGAGCAAATACATGCAAATAAAGTATTCAATTTCAATTCATTTATCTTTGTCTTTTAAAATGTTAAGAATGCTTTAATTGATTATAAATTGAGCAAAACACTGTTGATTTCAATTTATCTGAATTTAGTTCCAAGGGCAGATCACTCTAACTGCAGAAAAATACCATAGAATCAGAACTCTTTGTTACCAGTGTAGGAGGTTCTTAATCTTCATTTTATAATAGGGGTGTGCAATATTACTAATATATCAGTATATTTCGGATCACTGCTACATGTTGGACTAATAACAAAACATGAAAATGTCAAGATGGTATGACTGTATTGTATTCATAATTGATAAATAATATCATAATTGGCGTAATCAGTCCTCAATTATAAAAGAACATACATTAGCAAGCCTCTGCATATTACTTAATAATTCAGAAATGATAGTAAAGTGTAGACTTGAATTTTCTTTTACAAAAACAATGGTCATTATAAGTTAACCACAAAATAATAAATATCATATAAATTAACTATAACACATTAATAAGCAATTTTGAAGCAATTTAAAGGCCAGAGTCTAAATCAAAATCATCCTGATAACTTAGGTTAAGTGATGTTCAGAACAGATCATCAAAAACAGATATTACATATACACTTGTATATATATATATATCCAGGGTTCTCCATGAGCTGTTTTACTGTGTTGCTTCCGACACAGTAAAATTTTTTCCGACACAATAACGATTCAAATTTTACGTATATGACACAGTAAAAAAAAATTGCGACACAGTAAGATCCGCTCCGCTGAAAACGAAAGTAAAAGCAAAGGGGAGTTACTCTAATCTGTTTACCGTGTCAACGACAAAGTTGTTTTAACATGAAGCGCTGGTGTTTTATTGCAGGTGATCTCTGGTCATTCATATAGGGGTGTAATTACATAACTGACAACCTATACTTAAGCTCTTCAAAGTAAGTAGGTGTTAAGTGAACCGTATTTCTCCTCAGATAATGTAGAGACTTGCCAAACTTTTTTGATCGTTAAACATCAAACAAAAAAATTATGTGGAAACAAGTCAGACATTCTTCTGAGCCATCAAAGCAGTCAAATTTAAATGCATTTCTTATTTTCAAAGACGATAGTGATGATCGAAACTCAAAACGACAGAAACTTGAAGATCTTCTAGAGAAATCCCTAAGGTTCATGACAAGTTCATTTTAAATCTGGAGAAGAACCTGAGAAACAGATTTCCAGATCTAGGAGTTTTTTCTAAGCTTTGTCTTGTTATCCCAGCATCAACAGTACAACTGAAGGTTTACATAACTTAGTAGAAATTCCATTTTCTATTTTAATTTTTTCCCATGCATTGCAATCATAATTATTTTTTGTAGATTGTGAGAGAGGATTCAGTGCCCTTAAAAAAATTAAAAGTCAGCTTAGAAACAGAAAGATTCTTTACTCTTGGTATCAACTCAGGGACCTGAACCTGAACATTTTAATTTTGAAGAAGCTGCAGCCATTTGGAAGAGTTCTAGACCAAGTCTTGTGGATGTATAAGAAACCAATTTAAATTAAATGTTAATATTTGTTATTGAATCTGTGTATTAAAATGTGGAAAATGTTAATATAATGAATTATCTTTTTTCATTCTTATCAATGTATTATAGTATTATAGAGTATGGTATGATGATCTCATTGAATTGTCGTGAAGGCACTTCGCGCACAGTCTGCAACACAATAAAATTTCAAATGATGGAGAACCCTGATATCTGAACTATATTCCAGGGCTCGACATTAACTTTTTTTTACTACTTGTCCATTCGGACAAGTCACCAAGACATTTACTTGTCCGAACTTCAACTTCACTTGTCTGAAAAATTTTCAATAAAGATCTAATACTGTTAACTGAAAAACTAAAAATAAAGTACATTACATGTGCATGATGTTATTTTCAAATACAACGAACACATAAAACAATATTTTATCTAGACTTTCTGTCCTGACAACATAAATGCTGTCAACATAAAACAGAATCCGAACTCAGTTCCATGCCTTTGCAGTAGTATGCAATTAGTGAACTTCAATCCCGATCGAGTGTACTCAATTAGGGCGCGTCAATTTACCCAAAAGGACCTAAAAGAACCCAAAATAACCCAAAAGGAACCCAAAAGGACTCAAAAGGAACCCAAAAGGACTCAAAATGAATATATTGTGATATACTGAAAATTAATAATTTGAATGAAATAATGAATATTACATTATAAATTTACATAAAAGTTGGCAAAAACATAAATTGATACTGTTGCAACTTTTCTTTGAGAAATAACATGCCTTATATAACACATCAAACTCTAAATCTGGTTAGATATGCTTTGTTTTATTTGAGCTGAAAATAACAAAATATTATTATATTTCCCCTTCTATTGTACCATATCTTACTATATGATATATAATGAAGCAATAAGTTTTATTTTATGACTTGTTCTAGGCATATGGTATCGGGGGTGGGGGAAGGAGGACCCCCCACCCTAAACACACACTCCCCCCCCAAACTACTGTTTTATTTTCAATAAAGTATGAAAGTGTTCATTGAATATCCAGATATCCCCTTTACTTCATGTCCTTTTGGGTTGCTTATAATTTACTTCTGGATCCTTTTGGGTAAATCGACGCACCGCTCAATTACATAGCGATCTATGTCGGGATCAAAGTTCGGTTTTTATGTACTGTTTCCGTCTTAAAGTACCGGTTAACTTTTAACAGTCGTTCTTTTAAATACTTAGAGTCTTCTTTACATAAATATGCACTTGTCCTATTGGACAAGTGCCGAGCAATATTCACTTGTCCGTATTTTTTTTTCACTGGTGCCGGACAAGCGGACAAGCCTTAATGTCGAGCCCTGTATTCCATCATCGAGGAAAACTTGAAGCAAGAAAAAAACCATAAACTGAGAACAGTCAAAGTTTTGATTTTTAATATCTTGATTTTTGCTAGCTGCAGAACTGTAAAGTTACGGTTTTTATATTCTAGTCTTTGACCATAATGCTACAGATCCCGTAATTTAAATAAAGTGCAATTTACAGCTCAAGATTTTCTAAGCACTTTGGGGATGTTTTTCCCCATTTTGCAGCATTGGTCAATCAACGACCTTTCATCCCCTAATTCTAGACATATTCTATAACCAACCTGTATATTTTATACACCTCCTAACTGTTTATAGTCGCCTCTACAGACCAAAAAACCTTACGTCATCCAACAAGAAATTCACTGCAAGCGAGTTTATTGGTCTGTAAAGACAATGGCATAGAAAATCTTGCGCCGTAAATTGCACGTTATGTACATTATGGGACCTTTAGCATTATGGTCAAAGACTAAAATATAAAACCATTACGCTACAGTTCTGCAGCTAGATTTTTGTTTCATTTATTTGCTTAAAAATTTGTAATTTTGTGTAACATTTAACTTCAAAAATATGATGAAATTTTTGTTTGATTATCAAGATTTTCAATAGTTACATCGGTCTGAAATACTGACTTAAGTCTATTCTCAGTTTATGGTCTTGGAGCCAGGTCCCTAGAAAAACTTTCATTTTCTCAAATGGAAAAAAAACTGTAATTGATGATCTATATTTTGCTGAAAATAATTTTCATTATTTGTTGAATATCATACTCTATTGGCAGGAATTGATGATCTCGAATTCAAGTTATCAACATTCTATGGTACGCTGTAAGTAACACCAAGTAAGGAACTTTATGGAAACTTATTTCGTTCCAAAACAACGAACTCCGGAAGTTCAAAAACTTGCGCCAGTAGATTTTGTAAGCTAATTCTTGATTGGTCAATGAAATTTGAGACACCAATCAGATTCGTTTTCACAACATTCGTTTAGCACATGCGCACAATTCAGATATGAAGAAGAGAAGCAGCTGACGATGAAAACGTTAACAGATTAACTCGATAATAACGACAAAATGCATGAATTGTAGATCAGCATGCCAAATACAGGTTAATTAAAATATGTCGGACTCAGGTAATAGTGCCTCTGACAACAATGGGGAAAATGAGGAACCCCAACAGCTGCCGGATGTTGTTGGAGTTGTGCCCTCCTCTTTTGAAGTTTCTGTTCAGGAAGTAAACAATCAAGATGTGCAAGATGAATCGGAAAACAGAGATTGCTTAACAGACAACGACAAGTCAGAAGAATCAACACCATGTCAATTCAAACGAAATGTAACATTCCCTGAAGATTCCCTAGTAAAAGGATACTTAGATCCTCCAGATCCATGGAGAAATGGTAAATCATTGTTGATTAATTTGTGCTTCTTAGTCTTGCACAACAAGGTCATTAAACTCGTTAATACTACTCCTTTATGATAATATGCTTTATTGTCTTTGGAGGTTTGTGTGTCGCTACCTTAAGGCAAGACGACACGTTCCTCAATAATATGTAATTTTTTCGAAGAGTTTGTCATTGAAGTATTGCTACTTTAACAAGTTTCCTCACAAAAAATTAAGATACCTTAACAAGCATTTTTGCAAGATACCAGAGATGCTATTTACTATAGAATTCTATTGAAAATCACTAGCTTTGTCAATATTACAAGCAATTGGTGTCCTTATCTACTAAGATATTTTGAAAACAGTTTAAAATTAATAAAAATCACAAGTCAATGATAATTATGATTAATTTGTTGTATATTATAAAGAAATACCAAACAGATATTCAAGCAACGTATCATCAGACCTTAATTTGATCTTACCTCTTTTGTAAATTGAACTACTGTTTCATTTTGTAAGTTATACCTTGGTAATAAATATTTTTTCTTTTAATTAAACTGATTGTTTAGAAAAATAATACCTTTATTGATTATTTACATCTCATTCAAAATTTTGATGTTTACCTGATGCATTTTTGAAAAACAGGCCCTAGGATCGTGACCTCAGCGGAATTGACATTTCAAATAGGGCTGTCACGGTTCCCCGAAATAATCAAAAATCAAGTTGTTCGGTTTTGGTTCCATTTTTCCGGATTTTGGTTCGGGTCTGGTTTATATATTAGAATATTTTTTATACAAAAAGTGGCATTGAAATTAAAAGAATGATGACGATAACAGTGATAAATAAACATCACAACTGAACGATACTTTATTCCATGACAAAACACTTGTCAGTTGTCATGAAAAGATTAGATAATTATCAAAACAAGCAAGAATAGTCATGTTGTAGCTAATAGTCTGCCTAGTAGTCTTAAATACTGATGTCAAGACGTTAACATGGATAAGATTTCTTTTCAAGGTGAATGTAACGTAACAAATAAAGATTTTTTTATGTTAAATTCATGAAATTAAGGTTTAAAATAGAGGTAAATAACCAAACCGAAAAACCCAAAACCGAAAATTTACAGAACCGACCCGACCTGAAAAATTTTGGAACTGTGACAGCCCTAATTTCAGTGGCCAAAAATTCCTATTCAGATACAGTGTTTTCCTTTTATTTTAAAGTAAAGGGTTAAAGATTAATTGTAACAGGCTTTGGGTTGAGGTTTATGAAAAATCTCTGTGGACCTTACAAAAATTAAATTTTGATTTTTTTTTTAGCTCACCTCAACCAAGTAACTGCAAGCCCTATCAGATCAAAATTGCATAAATGTTGCATCTAGGGATGCACTCTACTAGATTATTAGTTTAGTGTGGGACTTTGCCTTACTTAAAGACAACATTTGTTGAGGTGAGCTCTGTAATCTCTGATTGAACTTTTATGGGAAACTGTCAACCTTTTACCAGACCATTTTTAAGACTTCGAGGAGCCTTGAATCATATTGAGTTGCATGAAATCAAAATTGTTGTCAGTAAAGATTTCAAGATCCTCAAGAGTTTTTGCCCTTGACAAAATTGCTTGCATTTGCAACTTGCAAGTGGGCAAGTAGTTATTTGCATCCCTTGTAGAGTTGGGATACCTTTGGGATATGAATTTGTTTAGTTCAAAATTTTTTGCTTATATTGTTTTAAGTAGGCATTACACAGTTAATAACCAAATAGTGGCTTTATATAAGGCATAATATCTTTGGAATCTTGTCCAGCTCAAACCTTGACCTGTTGTTAAAAAGTTAAATAAATACAAAAATTGAATTTGATTTCCTTGATACAGCAGAATGGAGAATGTAAATTTGAGTTATGACAAGTAGGTCCTACTTGAAGGTTTCTGTTCAACAAAATTAATGCTAATTTTATAATGTTAATGGCATTTTTGCCTTTATTTAAAAATACTTTTTTTAATTAACAGCTGCCAAATGGACAACAAATGATCTCATAGCTGCATATAAAAGAGGTTGTGAAAGTCATGGAGTTAAACCCCTCAATAAAGTTTTGCAGCAGCTTCAGGTTTGTATGTGCATTTAAAAGTGGAAAAAAAATTAATACTAGAAAACTCTCATAGTGTTAAATCTAAAGCAAACTAGCATGGCGCAGCACCATGCCCTTTTCTCTCGGCGCCATGCCCTTTTTCCAGCGCCATGCCCTTTTTTCCTTGCAAAAAAAAATAAATATGCCTAGCAGAGGCAAGATGGACTAGCAGCTTTGTTTATTCAGTGCATCCTGATTAGCCCCTTTGTTTATTTAATGCACGCAAAGGTGTGAATTCAGGACAGGAAATCACTTCTCGCTTGAATGCACACAGCCACCTGGCCAGTTAACATGCCTCAGGCTGTCAGGGTATAAGAGATAACACGAGAAAACATCATTTGATTCCATTGATTATGCAAGAATTAGCCCAATCAGGGCCCTACATTAACTTATTTTCCTACTTGTCCATTCGGACAAGTGACCAAGACATTTACTTGTCCTATCTTCAACTTCAAAATTTTTAACTAATGATCTAATTCTGTCAACTTGAAAACTAAAATAAGTCCATTATACATGACATGTTCTTGACTGATTTGTGATGTTATTGATGAATACAACAAACACATAAAACGAAATTTTATCTAGGCGTTCTGTCCTCATTTGTCCTGACAACATAAATGTTCACAAGTGAACCTGTCAACATCAAACAGAATCCAAACTTAGTAAGACGTAAGTTCGTAAATTCCATGCCTTTTCAGTATCGTAGCATTCGTACCGGGATCGAAGTTCGGATTTTATGTACTGCTTCCGTCTAGAAACTACCGATGAACTAAAACTTTCAACAGTCATTCTTTTTATTATTTAGAGACTCCTTTACATTAAAATGCACTTGTCCAATCGGACAAGTGGCCAGCAATATTCACTTGTCTGTAATTTTTTTTCACTGGTACCGGACAAGCGGACAAGCGTTAATGTCGAGCCCTGCCAATGTCAAAGATAGATTAATTTGTAAATTAAAATGTTACACATTTTAAATCTGGATCTTTTTTTTTAAATTGAAAGTAGAAAAAACAGAGTTGATGAAGAAATGTGAAAAATAAAACTGCTGATGAATTAAGTCAGCTTACAATGTACCAAAAAAACTGAATATTATGTGTGAAATGGGCTAGGAAACAACAAAGTATGAAGTGAGTTTCTTTCAACATGTTCAATGGTTCTGTATTCTAACTTTTTGAGTTGACACCCTGAGGCTCAATGTTTCTAAGCCAGAAAAAAAGTTTTAACCAATTTATATATTATTTCAACTTTAATTTTTTGGTATGATCAGTTTTCACTTGATTCTGTTGGTTGATTACTTTCAAAATAAAGAGAATGCCCTCTACATTTATTATCCAAGTAGCCCCCCCCCACCCTTTGCAATTTTGTTCTGTTATTTACCTCATACACAAATAACAATATTAAAGCAAGGAAAAAAATTCATACCCCAAATTAAAATAATTCTTGAGCAAGTGACAAAAAGATTCACACCTATTACTTTTTGTGTCATGGTGCGGTACTTTTTCTTTTGATGTTAGCCATACTTTAAATCAGATAGAAAACCTTTGGCTGAATTCCAACGTACTATAACTTCTAGGGGGCGGAGCTTAGCCGTACAATAACTTCCAATGTACTGTACAATAACTTCCAAAGGAACTCAATACTTTTTGAATTTTTTTTCCTTCAATTTCTGTAAGCATATACAACCTATCCAGAGGAAAAATGAGAAACCTCACAAAATTCACCCCCCTTCTTTCGATCTGAAAATGTATACGTGAAAACCATTTTCATGAGGATTACATGTAACTCATTAGTTAACTAATTTAAACATATATTTTAAAAATACACAGACTTTCTTAAAATACTGTATTCAAATTAAAACAGATAACTGAAATCTAACAATATTGATAACGCGCAGTTCGATGATTCCCTTAATAGCAACTGTTTTCTGAGTTCTTTGAGTTACATGCAAACTGATTCATGTCCGTATATACTTGTATCTGGACTATTTCACACTACATTCCATAATTTTGATACCTGTGGCTACAGTGCTTGGCTCGGATTTCCTCGGGACATGCAAGCGTATCCCTAGTAACAGTAATGTAGCGAGTCATAGTGCGGGCGGATCCAGGTTTCCAGTATTGTGCCTGTATTTGTTATGGTTTTATGAAATACTCATACTGCTTAAATTAACCCATCAAATACAATTTCACACTCGTTTAACATTGCTTGATTTTTCAATGCAACCATCTCATTCGTACTTTCTGCTTTGTTTGAACACCGGGCCTGTTCACTTACGATGGACCTAGGCCTATGACGTAATGTCGCGTGCAGTTTGGTGCTGAAGGAGTGACTATGCAAATGACCATGACACAAGACATTTACAGACACTTTCTTTCGTTTGTAAGGAATTTATTGTACAGAGAGGCGTGACAGTCTCGTCGCTGCGCGACTCGACTGCCCCGCCTCTCTGTACAATAAATCCCTTACAAACGAAAGAAAGTACTGTAAATATAACTTAAGCATAACATTGATAACCATACTAATTTCTGGATTAAAAAATTTGAATTTAAATTTTGGCAATAATTGCCCTCTCAGTGTGTATTAAATGAATTAAGCTTTATAATTGCGATTGTTAAGATTTATAAATTTTTCTTTTAGATACTTGTATAACTAAAGATTTCAGTATTAAATAATAATTAAAGTACATAAACATGATAAAGAAAATATTTATAATTTCAAAGACGTTAAAAATGTGCCCTCATGAAAACTTGTTGCGGCGTAAAGTGCCCTTTTGATTATTGGATTACCATGCCCTTTTTAGGGTCTGAATTTAACACTCTCTCATAAGATATGGAATGTGTGAATACATCACAAAGATACTCTTATAAGGAAATCAAGTGATATTGTCTGATCTTCTAAGCATAGGAGCGTTTATGATTTTAGGTCACCTGAATCACTCAGGTGACCTGTTGCTATCTGTTTTTGTCTGTCTTACTGCATTAACATTTGAACATCATTTCTTCTTCTCTGGAATCACTGAACTAATTTAAACCAGTTTTGGCATAGAACATCTATGAGTGATGAGAAACAAATATTTTGAATTTCATGGTCCCTGTCCCCTGGGGCCTTAGAACTGGGGCTAAAACCATCAAAAATCTTTAAAAATCTTCTTCTTTACTCCTGAACATCAAGCAGTCAAACTGTTTGCATGATTGTAATAAGCATTGAGCCCTCTATCAAAATCGTGAAATTCATGGCCCCAGGGTTTGGGCATCTTCGCTAGCCAAGGGTTTCTGATACGCTACTCTCCTCATAAGCCCTTGGCATATGGTGTTAAAAAAAGTTGGGATTTTTTCTCAAGTTGTGATTGGAGTTGATCAGCATCGTTCGACCAATCAGCAATTGTTTTTTGTAAATGACGATATTTGCGTTCGGGATGTATTTTGACTCTTTAATATCGGGAATGAAAAACACAAGTAAACAACGATCCGTGCCATTCTATGAATAGCTATATGGTGTCATTCAATATCTTAAGCTATGTGCAAAATATGATTAAGAATCAGTACTGAAGATGTAGATTTGCATTTTAACATGTTTAAATAACAAATTAACATAACTCAATACCTTCTTGTTAATTATTCTTTAAAAACATTATTTTTTTAAATACGCTTTTTATTTCTGTCGATGACGCAATCTGTGTGTACCTGGTAAGAATCGTGATCACGTGATGAAAACAACCCCTTCTTTTGTCAGCACCGTATGCCAAGGCTTTATGAGGAGAGTAGCGTATCAGAAACCCTTGGCTAGTGAAGATGGGGTTCGGGGTACTTGTGTCAGGCTGGGGCTCTAGTGATCATGTAGTGATCATTCACATAAATTATTTAAAAGTCTTCTTCTCTCCCCTTCTGTATAAATCAGATAAACTAGGTGCATGGTTTTGATGATCAAGCCTTAGGGTGCATCTTCCAAAACTGTGAAATGTTCAGTCCCAGGTTGAGGGGTTCTGTGGGAGAGGGGTCTACTGATTATATAGTTTAAAAAAAACTAAAAGTGCTTTATTTCTTTGAAAATCATTTTCTCTTCTTTTGTGTATCAAGCAAACAGGTTGATCAAGGATGCTTATTTCAAAATTGTGAATTTCATGGCCACTGGGTCAGATGTTCTGGTGTTAGGGTGGGGCACTAATGATTATAAAGTGAAAATGCATTAAGGACATTGGCAAGGTTCCTGGTTATTGTATAGAATTTTTCAAGAACTTTTGAGTAGGTTTAAATGTACTAAATAGGCTATATTCTGGATCGTTTTACCTACCAATCCAGCATTCTTTTTAAGATTTTGTCAAATTAGTGTTTTTACAATTCTTAATGCATTTCCTATGTAAAATGTTGATAAAAGGGACCTACATAATTTTTTACCAGAATATTTCTTCAAAACCCATTTATTTCATACAGTTTTTGTATTATATACATTATTGTAACTTCATTTCCTATGACTTCTAGATATTTTGGTTGAAAATGTATATATAGAAAAAAGACATGGATACACCGGCACTGATCATCATTTTTGAGTTGCGTCCCTTAACAGCTAAAATTGGTCAAGTGACTGGTTGATTGTTTTTATCATGTAATTGACTGAATTGATTGAAACACGTTGTCATAAAAATATTGGCATGGATTTATTTTTAACTTTTATTCGTAATAACTAAATGCTGATTCCTTCACACGACCTAAGACCTGTTCTCAGTCGGCATGGTCGACCTACCTTTCAGCATATGTCACATCTTTGCCCTTCCCAGCATACTGAGCATAACTATGGTAAATGACGACCTGTTTGCTCTTTGTCCCTGAATACAATGTACAACAAAGCCATTACTACTTTTCAATCTTGCTGTATAGATGATTCTACACGTTGAAGGAAGTGCACATGCTTTTGTTTACCTCTATAACATACGCTTTACTGGTTTTCACCGCTTAGAGAATTCTACACTGGAGATCACTCTCAATCACTATTTTACAAGTGAAAAAACCCATGTATTAAACCTTTTTTCTCCGGATAGCCTGACTTGCCAATGTCCTTAATTCATTCAAAATCTTTTTCTCTGCTTCCAGGTAATTAGCAAATGATATGATAATCAAGAGTGCTTTTTCCAATATTGTGATTCGTGGCCCAGGTCAGGGGTTGGGGGGGGGGGGGCACTATTGATTATATAGTGAAAGTGCATTATTTCTTGAAAATCTTCTCTGCTGCTGGGTTTTGAAAAATCAAACCAAGTGCATAGTTATGATGAGCAAGGGTGCCTTTTCCAAATTTGTGAATTTCATGGCTGCTGTGTAAGGGCTATGGTGTTAGGGCAAACTCTATTGATTATGTAGTGAAAATGCATTAATTCTTTGAAAATCTTCATCTCTGCCACTGTGTATTTAGCAAAAAACTAATTGCATGGGTATGATGAACAAGAAGTAATTTCATAGTTTTTAATGGTTAAGTAGACTTTTAAATAATAGAAGTGGGACAAAATAAAAGTGGGACAAAAAATACCACTATCTTTATATATGAAATGTTCTTCAAAGACTAAAAGAGACCAATGTGATAGGGAATGAGATCGGTTTACAAAAAGTACTCAAGAACTATTGGGTTTTTTGTTTAGCTTGCATGAGGATAGTGACAAATGGGGGCAAGTACAGGCAAATAAATAGATCAACTTTAAGATTCGCTACTGAGCACTAAATTATTTATTTTGCTGATACCTGATCATCCTATTTCCCTTGCTTTTGGGCAACATAGCTTCATTTATCAGCTTATTTTGTTTTATTTTATGTCCAATCTATGGAGCCTTTAATTATAGTGATACATTATACTCAGGTGACTGTTAAGGCCCTTGGGCCTCTTGTCTTAGATATATGTATTTATTTAGTAGGGTATAAGAATGTTCAATGACAAACATTTGACTGTTTTAGGGTATTGAGTTTACTGATGGTAGGTTTGAAATTCTGAGTTTACGAGGAGAGCGGCTAGATATGAAACAAGTAGAGAGTCTCGAGTCCATCCTTAAAATGCTGCAGTTTCGCTGTTTGGATTTAGAAGCTACACATCTTGATGATGAGGTATTAGAGTAGTTTTGTAAGAATTTTGCTGTTAGATGATGTAATACACAAGTTTTTCAATAGAAAAACAATAAAGATGATGTATCCAAGGATGTTATTGTCTTACATTGCAATAATCTTTCAAAGTCAACTTCAGTGAAAATTGATTGGTAAAATTGTTGTTGGACTTATGAGAAATTAAGCTAGTATAAAAGGCTTGTGAAATTTATGCCAAGATTTGAGGGCATATAGTTTTTCGTCTTTCTCTTTGTTAGCTGCAGAACTGTAGCTCTCTGGTTGAGAAAATTCGGACAGATAAACCAGAGAGGTACAGATTCAAGCATTGTAAAACCCTTTGATTTACGCTATCACTTTTTTGTCACTCACTTCTGGTATTATTTCTTGTATTTTATGTGTTCCACCGCTTCAAACATGGTATCCGATAATAAATTATATATTTTTCTCCCATTCCTGACACTGTATTTACCTTTCAACCATTCCAAATGGCTATATGTAGTCTTAGAGTATCAGTTTAAAAGAGATTGCATTCCGAACTCCATGTTGGTGTAATGCTAAAAACAACACGCCTGACCAGTTTTATACATCTCATTTTTTCTGACATACATATTGTTTCTTTATAGAAAAGTGAATATACATGATAATTGAACCTCCAAAATTTTTTAATTCAAATTTTCTCAGCAAATGGATGTTCTTTTGAAAACTTTTTTCGCACGACTCCCAACATGGACGTCAGGATGATAAATTTTTAAATTGATATTCCAAGACAACATAGGGCCATTTGGAACCGTTGAAAGGTAAATAAAGTATTAAGAATGGGAGTAAAATACATATATATATGATTAATTATCGTATACCTTTTTTGAATTGGGGGAACGCATAAAATACAAGAAATAAAAGCCGAAGGGAGCGACATAAAAGCAGCAGCGTAAATCGAAGGTTTTTACAATGCTTGGATCTGTAGCTCTGTGATTTATCTGTCCGAATTTTCTCAACCAGAGAGCTACAGTTCTGCAGCTATCTCTTTGTCTGTTAAACTGTTTGTCAGCAAAAACTTTAACCTTGCCCCTAACTTTTTAGTGCTAGGGTTTTCATATTTGACATGTATATTCCTGGTGACAAGACCTTTCTTTTGGTACCAACATATTTGGCCTTGACCTTAGACTTTGACCTAATTTTACAAAAAATTTACCAAACTTTAAGATTTGGCCATAACTTTCGAATGGTTGAAGCCGGGGCTTTTATATAATATTTCACGTGTATTCCATGTTTCCAGACCTTTCTTTGGATACCAACATTTTTTACGTTTCAGCCTTGACCGTTGAGTTTAACTTGCTTTTGAAAAACATTAACCTTGGCCATAACTTTTGAACAGGGATGCTAGGACTTTCATATATCACAAGTATTTCTTGTGATAAGACCTTTCTTTCAGTACCAACAACTTTTGACCTCATGACCTTGACCTTAGAGTTTGACCTATATGTGAAAAACCTTGGCCTTGAGCTGCCATATGGGGACATAAGTGTTTCAAACAAACACATCTTGTTTTTCTACCAATTACATAGTAGTAAATTTTGAATTGCATATAGAAAGAATAAAAAAAATTATGCAGCACTAGTTCCTTATTTTTCAAGAATTAAATAAAATAATTTCAAAATTGTTTAATTAAAAAGATCAGTATCTACAAATCCTACATCTATAAACTTTTTCTGGTTTTACAGACAGCAGTGGCATTATTTGATATGGTGGAGTATTATGAAAGTGCATGTAAGGTCAATATTGCATTCAATAAGAACATTTCAGCAAGAGGATGGCAGGCCTGTGCTCGTATGATTAGAAAGGTATGGAAAAATTAGTAATTCGGGGGTTCAGATTGCCAGTAGCCAGTACCAATCAAAAGAAAAAAATGGTAGGAAAAGTTGTTTTTTTAATGCCAAAATGCTTGACTTTCTTCTTTCCAATTGGTTTTGTAGAGGAAAAATCACTTTTCTTAAATTAGTGTTTTGCTCAGTTTCAAAGAAACTACATGTATTCAAGATATTCTTATGAAACCTTATATACTTACCCTATTCAACAGCATCAACATTTTTAGCTCACCTCAACGAAGTTGGGGGGAGCTTATGCGATACCCTAGGCGTCAGCGTCCCAGGTTTAAGTTTTAGGAGAAGTTTCCTTTTTATGTACTTCTATGCCCAACATTAATCATAGATGCATGTAAGGTGCTTTTAGTGTGTTTCATTGTACCAAGGTCTCAGATGCTGCAATTTCAGCTAAGGAATGACCAGATAATAATTTTAGAGCAGGTTAAGATTTTTTGAGCAGGTCTCATTTCCAATTAACTATAAGCCCCATATTTACCAAACTTGCATGGATGATACACCTAAGGATGCACACTACCAGAGGCCTTTTCAACACAGCGAACGTTCACGAGGGCTCGCGAACATTTCTATAGAGGAATAAGGAAATTTGGCGAGCACTTGCGAACATTGCTCCATTGAACAGGCCCCTGGCTTGCTTCAGATGCTAGATTTGACCTACATTTTCTGGATGAGTGACAAGGGTAAAGTTTTTTGGATCAGTTTCATTCTTAAATAACTATAAGCCCTATGTTGACCAAACTTGCATGGATGATTCACCTAAGAATGCACACTACCAGGCTTGCCTCGGATGCTGGATCTGACCTAAATTTTCCAGATGAGTGACCAGGTGAAAGTTTTTGAAGCAGATTCATTTTAAAGTAACTATAAGCCCTATGTTGACCAAACTTGCATGGATGATATATTTAGACTAAGGATCCACACTTTTGGACTTGCTTCGGATGCTGGATCCAACCTACATTTTCCAGATGAGGGACCAGGTTAAAAATTTTTGAACAGGTTCATTCTTAAGTAACTAATTGCCATACCTTACAGTTTTTATACATTGGGGAAAATAAACAATATAGAAACCCCTTATATAGTTTAAAATAAATTAATCATCGAAAACCAATTCATACCAGTTTGACAACTTGTAACAAATTTATTGCTTTCTTCTCTTCTGTTGTAGACACCTTGCCTAACATTTCTTGATGCCAGGAATTGTGAGTTGAATGAGAGAGTTGTTCCAATTTTGGGCCGGTCCCTGAGAATGGGATGTTTTGTGACAACTCTTCATTTAGAGAACACTTTTATTTCGGGACGTTCTATGGTTATTTTAGGTATGTATGTACAATTTCTTGAATCAGATCTCCATGCATACTTAGAGTATCAGACAGTGTTGATTGAATTCAGTCAATCAGTGCATTTCTATTTGAAGATAAATAACTCAAACAAAAATTTGATGCAGGGGTTGATTAATATTTATGTGTATATGTATCCTTTTCAAAGGGGAGACATTGTTTTTGTCATTTTTGACTGATTTTGAATAAAGATGACATAAATAATATAAAGAAATATTAAATTTTCTTAGGTATTCAAATATGCGATTTTGTGCCTTTTTTCTTATATAAATCTGTACAATTTTTGCACACATTTATAACATTATTACAAAATCTTCCAAAATTTCCTAAATCTGGCAAATGTTTCATTATGATCATAAACATATTAGATTTATTGTTGATTTCTGGGGGAAAAAGTTGTATGATTTATCCTTAATTTAAATAAAAATAGTTTTAGGATGAAAACTTTAATATTTACATGTAAATGAATTCATAGAATCTTATTAATGTACAAATGCTTTTCCTTGATGTTCTCAGAAGTAGTATATTATTGTATTTCAGTGGCAGCACTAAAGATGAATGAGATCCTAACTGAGCTCTTTCTGGCAGATAACAAGCTCATGCCGACTGATGGCATACAACTGGGAAACCTCCTCAAATACAATCATAAACTCCAACTTCTAGATGTCCGAAATAACAGTCTACAGGTGAATTGAGGAATTACTTTACTAAAAATTTCATCCCTGAACTTGACTGAAACCCTTGAATTTTGTGTTATGTCAAAGTTGTTTCTTTTATTTTCATAAATTTACATTTTATAAACACATTTCAATTCATAAATGCAAGAATACTTACAGTACTATAATCCCATCCAGTTAAACAAAATTTATATGGATTGTGAAATATTGAAAGATACATTTATATCAGCATGAATAGAAATGTAAACAAACATACATTATGAGTACATTGTTAATCATTTTTAGCTCACCTGAGCAGAAGGCTCGGAAAAATCTTTACATTTCCTTCTTTTCAAGAACAGCAAAATAATGATTAGTCATATCCTCAGGTAGTGCTGATTCATATTTGTTCAAATCATGACTCCCAGGAAGTAGGTGGAGCTACTATGGGCGATCAAATTTTTATGTAGGAATAAAGAGAAAAAATCTTTACATTTCTTATTCTAAAGAACAGCAAAGTCATGAATAGTCATGCATGTATTTGTTTGGAAGCATCCTCAGGTAGAGTAGATTCATTTTTTTTTTCAAAATCATACATCAGGGTCGGGCCTTGATGGGTGATCAAATTTAAATATGAATATATATATATATATATATATAAAATCTTTCTCTCAAAAAAAGCAAAGCCAGGATTAGTCATACTTGTACAAAAGCATCCTCAGATTCAAGTTTGTTCAAATTATGACACCTGGGGGTAGGATGGGGCCACAATATTTTATCTTAATTTTAAAAGGAGTATATAGATAAAAAATCTGCTGCTGAAGAACAGAAGGGCCATAGTTATTCAGGTGAGCATTGTGGCCCATGGACCTCTTGATGAATATTTCCAGTCTTGTTATAACTGGCATTTGTTTTGCTATTATTGCATCACATCAAATGACCTATAATGGACCCCCCCAAAAAAGATGTTTTGACATTTTTCTTTCTCATAAACCTTGAGTAGAAGTGAGTTCCCTAATTTCAATTTTCTTATAATTCACGAGTTGCATACTATATACAGGAACAGTTTTGTTTTTGTTTTTGTTTTTTTGAAAAATACACTGTATAATGTCAAGGGGGGGGGGGGGGGGGGCAGTTTAAACAAGTGGACACTGGCCACAAACAAATATTACAGTTGATTAATGCTTAGATTTTGCAACTTTGCGATGGTTGATGCTGATTAACAGTCGCATAGGGTTTACCTGCAACATGTCAGCTGCATTGCAGTAAATCAGGCATTTATTGAACAATTTTTTTTAAAAGCAGATATTAACTTATATTCCACTACTGATTTCTTTGACAAAAAAAATTCATGTTTTATTTGACAGGACATAGGTGTGGGTCATATTTGTGATGGACTATATGAACAGACTTTAGATACTGGACTACTGACCCTTGTCCTGTGGAGTAACCAGCTCACTTATCAGAGCATGTCAGCAATGTCTAAAGCATTAGTGAGTACTGGTCAATCTCTGTCTTACATACATCAGTAGAATAAACCTCTGTTTGAGAGGTACTGTAAATAAAAATATGTTTCTTTTGGACTTTCTAAGTTTCTATTGATACATGTATGAAAGAAAAATTACATTAAGCTACCCACAGCTTAGATAATGCTGTATTTTTAGTTCACCTCAACGAAGTTGGGGGAGCTTATGTAATACCCTCGGCGTTGGCGTCCCAGGTTAAGGTTTTTGGAGCAGTTTTCTTTTCAAGTACTTCTATGGCCTATATTAGTCAGAGATGCATGGAGGATGCTTCTAGTGTGTTTTATTGTACCAGTCAAGGTTTCAGATGCTGCAATTTCAGCTAAAGAATGACCAGGTTAATGTTTTTGGAGCAGGTTAAAGTTTTTGGAGCAGGTTAAAGTTTTCGGAGCAGGTCTCATATCCAAGTAACTATAAGCCCTATATTGACCAAACTTGCATGGATGATACATCTAAGGATGCATACTACTGGACTTGCTTTGGATGCTGAATCTGACCTATATTTTATGGATGAATGACCAGGTTAAAGTTTTTGGAGCAGATGTCATTTCCAAGTATCTATAAGCCCTATATTGACCATACTTGCATGGATGATACATCTAAGGATGTTCACTACTAGACTTGCTTCGGATGCTGGATCTGACCTATATTTTCCGGATGAGTAACCAGGTTAAAGTTTTTGGAGCAGATCTCATTTCCAAGTAACTATAAGCCCTATATTGACTAAACTTGCATGGATGATACATCTAAGGATTCACACTACTGGACTTGTTTCGGATGCTGGATCTGACCTAAATTTTTGGGATGAATGACCAGGTTAAAGTTTTTGGAGCAGATGTCATTTCCAAGTAACTATAAGCCCTATATTGACTAAACTTGCATGGATGATACATCTAAGGATGCACACTACTGGACTTGCTTCGGATGCTTGATTTGACTTACATTTTCCGGATGAGTGACCAGGTTAAAGTTTTTGAAGCTGATGTCATTTCCAAGTAACTATAAACCCTATATTGATCAAACTTGCATGTATGATACATCTAAGGATTCACACTACTGGACTTGCTTCGGATGCTGGATCTGACCTACATTTTTCGGATGAGTAACCAGGTTAAAGTTTTTGGAGCAGATCTCATTTCCAAGTAACTATAAGGCTTATCTGAACCAAACTTGCATGGATGATGCATCAAGGGACGAACAATCTCAAAACTTGCTTCGGATGCTGGATTTGACTTACATTTTCTGGATGAGTGACTAGTTTTAAGTTTTCAGATAAGTCTATTCCCAAGTAACTGCAAGCCCTATCAGGCCAAAATTGCATAAATGTTGCATCTAGGGATGCACACTCCTAGATTATTAGTTTAGTGTGGGACTTTGCCTTACTTAAAGACAACATTCGTTGAGGTGAGTTCTGTAATCTCTGATTACCTATGTTTATTTTTCCCATATACTCTTTTATAGACTGTCATACATGTTAATTGCTTGGTATGCAGTAAAATAAAATCATTGAATTATACAGTACTTTCATAAACCATAATTTTCATGATAAAGTATCAATTGGGCAGTTATTGTAGCAGTGCATTAAATTGAAGGTTCTATTGAATTGCAGGGTAGTACACATAATTTAGAGACTTTGAACCTTGGACACAACAACATAACAAACGAGGGGATTCATCTGCTGAAGGAGGGTCTACTGGTCAGTAAATCTCTACTAAGACTAGGCCTTCAGGGAACAAAGATCTCTTGTGAGGGTAGGAAGGTTTACTCTCAAGTTTCAGAGATAACAGTACACAGCTCACATAAAAGCACAAGAATTTAAATTTTAAAAAAAAATGGAAAAAGATGTACTACAGGTGCATATTGATAATTTTGAGGTATTTTACTTAAAATCTCATGGCAAATCCTATTGGGATTTTTGTGCATATTTTTGTAATTATTTTGAAATTCGTCTTGGTTTTTTTTTTATTGTACAGGGGCTGTAGCTTTGGCAGAGGTTGTTGCAGATAGTCCCCGTCTACTTCGCTTAGATTTGAGGGAAAATGATATCAAAACAGCAGGACTGATGGCTTTATCTTTATCCCTTAAGGTCAACCAAACTGTGACGAGGGTTGACCTGGACAGAGAGACAAAAAAGGAAGCGGTAGGTTATAAGCCAAGTTATTTATATTGATGAAAGACTTTGATGAGAAATGTTATTTTAGATGTATTTTCGACATCATTTGATTTTATTTACATTGTTGTATAATTTCCCTTGTTAATTTTAATCAGGTGGTAAGTGTCTGTGTTTTAGTTCTTATTGTTTTGAATGCTTGCCTGGTTTAAATTTTCTTAATTTTTTGGCTGTCATTTTAAAATCGACAGAAAAAGAAAAAGGTATGGCACAGATAGCATGAAAGCAGCTATGGCAATATTTTTTATTACTTCTGTGTATTAAATGTACCTCATTGAGAATTTTTACATTACTGTTGTTTCATCATTTTTTGTTGAACACCAATTTTCATTATGGTCGAGCCAGATAAAAGTAATCAAAGAACTACAATTTTACTAATCATAAAATTGTATCTTTTGCCAAAACAAAGAAATTTGGTCCCACAAAGATTGATGAAACCACAGTATTATAGTTCACTGTCAAGATACATGAATGTAATTTTCTTCATCTAAATTTGTTAAAATTAACTTCATTGTTTCCAGACTAACTGCATCGAATAACCATCTCTCTCACATGGCTTTTTTCTTTAATTTTTCATAATTCCTTATTTCAATTTGTCTATATTGTGCAGTAAGTTTAATTTTCAGTTTGTAGCATGAATTGTCAACAATTTCAGACATGAAATTCATGTAATAGTCTTTGGCTGTTTTCATTTTCTCGTATGAAAACTATCATTTGACAAATTTATGTACACTACAGATGCTCTATATGATTTCTAAATTAGAAATACATGTGCAAAACCATTTTGAAAATATTAGTAAGTGAAATGTTGGATAAAGTGCCTGGACATTGACATATATGTATGTATGATGTTTATATCACTTGTATTATTCTTTTCAATCTAGGGAGTGAAAGACTACATAGAACAACAGAGAAGACTTCAAAATGACATATATACATTCACTGAAAGAAATAAAGAGGTGCAACGTAAGACAGAGGCGGAAAAACGAAAGATTCAGAAGGAGCAAGAAAAGAAGGATTCTGAGAAAGAATTAGTGGGACTGGGAGATGATACATTATCACTGCTAAAACAAGGTTCTACAGTTAGAAGACCTTCTCTGTTAGTGATAGAGACAGCAGCAGAAGCTATGTTAGACTCTCCTGTGTCTAAAGATGTGTTCATAGCACCTGATATAAATCCTATTTTGACAAGCACACCCCCAGGGGAATTACTTCTAAGTCCCCAGTACACAACAGCTGTCAAAGCCAAAAAAATATTTACTGTGTCAAAAGTAAACATTCAGTCCCTTCTCTCACCTACTGGGCCAATTCCTACAAGTACATGTATACCAATCCTGTCTCCTAGTTCTCTTCTGTCAGCGAGCTCTGCATTGTCTCAGGTAGACTCCAATCCAACAAAGATTACGCCATCAACTCTACAAGCTATTCTAGCGAATCCAATACTCTGTGCACCTCTAGAAAGTGTGCCAATACAACCAGAATCTTCAAGCAATGATTTACAAATACATGTAAAACCTGAGGAAACTGTCAGTGATTTTGTCAGAGATATATTGGTAGATTTAGTGGATAGTGCAGCTGCACAGTGTGATCAGTGCCAACAAAACCGTGGAGAAGGTCTAGCTTCCAATGTCCACACTCATACAGACACAAGCAATAACAGCAAAAACACAGAAGACACAAATGTCAGCATCCCAAAACCTATAAGAGACCTGAAAGTGGATAAAGATTCGGGATTTGGGAGTTATGAAAATGAGCAATGGACTCGGATCGAATCCTCAGAACTTCCCCCTTCCGTCATGAATGGCCATGCAACTTTAAGTAAAGCAGTGGAAAATCCAAATTTCCAGTCTTCTCTTACAATGAATGGACTGACTGAGGAGTTGGCAAGTGTTCTAGAGAGCATTGAAAGCAAATCAGAATCAGGTACAGAAAAATCATCATGTTTGGAGTGTCCAGAGGGAAATATGATTATTTGTACATGTATGCTCAACACTGAGAAATACGTTAAATGTTGATTTTTTTTAATTTGGTTTAAAATTGTGCATATATAAAATCAACTGTATGAATTAATGAAAAATGTCAAGTTAACTAGTATGTTGAATATACTTTTCATGTACATGTACTTGGAAACAAAATGGAAGCAAAAATTTATGTCACTCCAACTGGAAGGAGTAACAGTATTTAAATACATGTAAAAATAGAATTTTTGTAAGATACTGTAATTAAATATTATTGCTTTATCCACATTATCATTTTAAAACTAGAAATTAACTTCAGGAATAAATTCTTTTCCATATCTGACTGCTATTGACAGATTCAGTCACCCCTCCTGATGACTTTGAGCGAGAGCTAGATGCTATGTTAGCAGAAGTTCAGTGTGGAAATAACATTCCTTTTCCTTCAGGTAAGTATATTTCTGTATATACAATACATTAACTCAACAGTCAACATTGCCTTTCACGGCACACCAAAGAGTTGTAATTCTGTTGTATTTTTATGCAGTGATCTGCTCTTGGATCAAAAATTTTAAAAAAAGATAAATCTTGATGTACATCTATTACTCTGATTGTAATCGAGCATTCTTACCATTTTATTAGGCCAAGAGGAATTAATTGAACACGTTTGCATAATTTTTCTCATATAGAAGCAATTTCTGTTCATCAATACTTTGTTGTCTGAACATTGTTACTGCCAGGACTAAAAGACAGATGCTCTATGTTGAAAATAATATAAAGTTACTCAATATTAACACCTTTATACTAATGAAATAATTTTCTCATTATGTGTTTTTTTAAAAAAAAGCATTTTCCGTTAGTGCATAGAGAGTTCCTTAACAAAAATTGAAATTCTGTGGAAGACATATCTCCTCAAATAAGACAAGGGTTTCCTGAAATTTTGTGTTTCTAAGGATTAACAGTTATTGAGACGTCTTGACCATATGTCCATATGGAGTCCTAAGGGTTGATCATTATGATATTGGCATCATAATTGTATACATATATAAAATATTTCCTCTGTGTTTCCTTACAAAACCCCACTGCACATCATATCAACTATATAATAACATTGTGTCATGCAGATCAGCATACAACTGTCATATCCCCTTTGATCATCAAATAAACCACACTGACACTTTTATGACCTGCTCATTTGCTGATGTTTATGAGAAGATTAAATATTAGAAAAGAATCATATAGAAAATAGGTCTAATGTGTGGATTAATATATAGATACATGAATACGTATGTATGCATTGAATTACATGTACTGAGCTCTTTAGAAACCAAAAAATGTCATGCAGATACAGTGAGATTTTACTTTGTATATTACTGCATGTACTCCTCTTTTTTTCCACAGATGCTCAGAGACATCCAACTGTTCAGGAAGTAGCAATAGATCCGTCTTAATATCAACAAGAATTAGCACCGATATGTGATAGAAGACCTCTGGAATAGTGCTCTCATCTGTCTTTCACTTTCTGTAGAAATATGTAGATAGAAATTTTATCAATCATGAAATAATGATTTAACTCATAAACTTACAGCGACTCACTGAAATTTGATATGGCATTTCATGGTTTGTTGATGCAAGCTGCTTTTCATACATAAATTCTTGTCATTTTTACTTGATGTTTAGTTTGGTTTTGTGTTGTTTATCAGCATTTAATGCTGTTGTTGAAAGAATACAGTACTGTTATACATATAGCTTTGTTTTATATGAAATAGGAGACTGAGACCATTTAGCTATTTTAGATAACAAAAGCTGGATTTTAGTAGCTTGTATCATAATATATCTGATAACTTTAATGCACAGCTTTATGCAAATTACAATATTAATTTATGGAATGTGACGTTATTTTGATTGCATGATTAAATTTTAAGTGATGTATCTATATTAATTATTCAGTTTTTCTGGCAATGACTGGGTCATTTCATTTGATACAATGTATTTGATTAGTTTGATCATATTTAAGACAATTACGAGTAAATAGTTTACATATTTACGGTAACCAAAAGCAATACTTCAGAAAATATTTTAGTTTTCATTGTTATGACGTACACTTCCCAAAAGCAATAATATTTTAATTTTCATTGTATTTTGTATATAGAATTTATTAGCAAAATCATCTGTGATTTATTTAAAGCTAGAACTGTCATTGATAGATTTGATGATGTATTGTTCATCCGATTAGATATATTTTTTGAGTATTGATGTATTTCTTAGATTTTGAGCATAACAGAAAAAACAGTCTGCATGGGCCTCTTGTTTGCGCAAATAAACACTGGTTCTTGTGTAATTTTTTCTTTGTTTATTTTCTACAACTTAAAAAAAAAAAAAATAAATAACTTTGCACCAATTGACTATTTGTGTTGTTTCTTAATATTTTGAAAGAATTTGTTAAAAAAAAAAAAAAAAATGTTACAATTACTTTATTTATCTAAATATTGATACCATTTTTATGTCTCAATATATTGATTTGAAATGTTTCATCAATGACAGTTCTGTTTAAGGCTTTTTTATTGTTCATGTACTTGTAGTGCATCAGATGGTTGATTGTTCTTTCTGGGGTATACATGTATTATCAATTATAACACCTTGATCAAAATATGGGAAACATTCCATTATAATTTTATTACAACAAATATCTGGGTAATGCAGAAATTTGCATTTTATAAAAATATTTATTTAAACCATTTTTATTAAAGCCCGCACCACATGTGGTTGCCCTGTAGTAATCACCAAGTTCATCCTTCAACACTTTTATATGACTTGATATAAATGTCAGAAGTCAAAAAGTTACATTAACATCACCAAATTATGTAAAAATAAAAAATACGTGTATGGTAGTAAGTATGTTTCAACTTGCGGACCTTATTTATTACACATATAAAAAAAAAAAAAAACCGTAGAGATTTATGCTACTTGCTCAGAGATCAAGATTTATATTGATATAAATATACTACAGGGCCTTGTTTGACTTTGCTGGTTTCTAGATTTTTATTTCAAGTTCAGGATAACTAAACCATTTCAAGTACTCTGTGACTGTCTTTTATGATTTCTAATCATTGGGCTCAGCAGACTTCAAATTCGTCTTGACTTACTTCACAACTCTTTTTTTGGAATTGTTATCAGGACAAATAATGGTTACTGGCTAGAAAACAACATGGGTGTTCGCTTCTGTCTGGGAACTGGATATGACTTTTTACAATGGCATTATAGGAATTTGTTTTTGCACACATATCCCAGAATTTTTTCTAGTATTTTGTTTATGATTATATATTGTGCACAGGTTTTCCGACATCTACCTCATTTTGAAGGTTGTGCATATCACATGACCAGTTATGATGTAGATCACATGACCTGTGTTACATTAGTATTATGTTTGAATACAAACTTACATTTACAGTTATAATTACTAATTATTTAACATTCCATGGTTTCCTAGGAAATCAAGGGAAGGATGTTATTAAGTGTGTACATTGTATATAAATGATCTTACCAATGGTTGATATATCGGAGATCATTTTGGCAATACAAACTTTACTATTTTGTTGTATAGCTTTGTTAGTCCTTACTTTAATTATTACAGATTTAAGGTATTGGAGGTTTGTTGAGTGTGGCTGCAAAAATTTCAGTGAAGATATTTGATATCAAAATGCTGAAGTGATATATTGAAAATAAAAGAGTTATTGACATTATTCTTTGTGTTTTATTACAGGGTACAGGAGTTAGATCCAACTCAGTTTAAACATGTTCAAACCTACTGACCTGAAGAAATAAGATTCTGCAGGGTTTGGCTTTGAGTGCCCATCCAATTGTGAAATTTTTAAGCAGTTAGATGCTTTTTTTCAACTTTATTCCAATTTATCATATGCAGAATGTTAAAGGTGGAACTTGGCATCTGGATATGAAAATCCGATTATGTAGGTTTAAGGGAAGTTTTAGAGATTGACCATCAAATTTTGGCATTGTTAGCAATGTTTTTAGTAATGCTAATGAAGAATATCAATAATAAGTAAATTACAAATATTTTCAATAAAAATAAATATAGTTATAAAATACTGAAATGGCTGAAAAATTAATAATAAATGCCCACTTCCTTAATTTGCCAATCGCATAAATAACCTCTTGTATTGCATTGTGACTGAGAAATAGGCCATACTCAGTGTTAATTTCACTTAACATAGCTTTGCCTAGTCAGCCCATGCCAGCATCACAATCTCACATAATATCACAGTCTCGCAATTGGGGTCAAGATTATCTATGTCTGGAATGTGAGTACACAGTTGGTTTGGAGTTTTAAAGACTACCAGATTTTGTCTAAATTATATTATTACTCAATGAATGCATTTAATTAAAGTAACATTCAACCATTATTTATGTTTGGGTTTGATTGCAAATACCAACACTAAATGTTTAAAAAGAAATGCATTCATATGAGTACAGACTTAATTGATTACATGTATAATGGTTATATGCTACGTACAGACTTTTCCACTTTGTACATTTAATGCATGTATTCACTTGGGCTTCAAACCCTTCTTTTCAACTTAATCATATTGATTTTTTTCAGTTCTTTTTTTTTTCAACTTAATCATATTGATTTTATTTTGAAAAAAAAAAGACCGTAACAGAACATATTAGATCTGTCAACAAATTTATTCAGTCCAACTGGCATTACATGGCGCTCCAGACATTTCTTTATAAATAAAAAATGGCCTTGCGAAACTTATTTAAAATCAATTTATGTCCTGTATTTAAAATCAACTAGACACTAGATTAAATTTCTATAAAAGTGGATGGGAATATGCTGGAAAACTACACGAAATCCGGAATTACCGCTATTGTTCATATCATTTTGACATTTACATACATCTGCTTATTTCCAGTGTGAAATCTAATATTTTATTGGTTAAAAAGTATACTACAAGAATGCCACTTTTAGAGGGATTGAGTTACAGCAGCGACAAAAATGTTATCGTATTTGAAATAGGAGCTGCATATACACGGTAATTATAAAATAATTTCGAGTGTGATTTTCACGGATGACCAGCAAATCAATATGACCTCACCCACAGTATCGTCGGAGGCTGGGCCCTAAATATCGTTATAGACTTAGAGTCATGTCCCTTTGCATGCACTATTTTGCCAATTTTGTGATAGAAATATTCTTTTTCCATTATTTTTTTGGTAAAACCAGGGATCTTATACTAGTATAGTAGGTCCCTGGTAAAACTTTTCAACAAGAAATCTGTACCCATGCATGCTAGATCTAGAAGCAATCGTTAAATGATATTGTCATACGGACCTGGTTTAAAAGGGGTGTTGCTAAAACGCGGAACGGAAAGCAGAATGAAACAGAAAACGGAAAATTTGATGTCAAGTTTTTCACTAAGCACAGCTATAATTCAGACATAGGAAGTAGTATTCTTTATCTAATACATGTAGTTCATATCCATGCCCAGATCTAGAGGGGGGTCAGAGGTGGATGGGTCCGGTGTCCCCCGAGAGAAAAAAATTCCTGGATCCGCACCTGATATCTAATCAAAAGTTATGGTAACCATGTGATTTAATTTATTCCTGATTTTTTCCTTCAACACATTTGGCATATACATGAAATGGTCAATAAAATACACACTAATTAGACTCACATCCCAATTATCTATCACAATGTCTCATTAATCACTCATCCAAATCTGAATTTGAAAAAAATGGCTTATTCATCAAAGGTTTACATAGATGTACGTTATCCACGCTTAAGGTGCATGGGTACATATGCATTGCAAATTAGGGAATTTTTCGCTCATACGCCTCATAAGGATATTGAATACCTGCCGTGCATATTGATCATAATGATTTTCAATAAAGTTTTCCCACTTATCCATATTTTACTACTGTAATAGCATGTTACATGTATATATGCATGATATGTATGGCGTTAGATATTTTCTGTTCCGTTTTTCTGTACCCTGTGCTTTTTCTATGTTCACGGAGATCTTCATGAATAATCGAATGATCATGACTAAATCAACTTGTATTTTAATAATTTAGGATTAAACATGAAAAATCTGTATGGTGTAAGGTGAATTCACTTGCTTGAAGTTGTCCGAAGCAAGGTACGAGTCCGATGCATGGTTAACTCACCCTATACTGTTTCTAGTATGATTTTTATATTTTAAATGATTTAATCTGGAATCATATTTTCCGTTTTCCATTCCGTTCCACTTTCCGTTCTGTTTTCCATTCTGCGTTTTAGCAACACCCGTTTAAAAGGGTTTGGACACAGAATTAAAGGTTGTTTTTTTTTAAATTATCAGTATAATATCATCACTTACATATTGCTATTGCCGATAGGGCCATCTGCAAAAGTGTAACAGCGGGTGTCAATGCGCCGGCGCAGAGTGAGATTGCACAAGCATAAAGTGACAAATGCACCAGTGCATTACTAACAACAATAAAAAATTAAACACACCCAGTAAAATGTAAACTTTAAATAACAGGGCTCATGACTATGCTTATTTACAAACACAGATGTTTGACATAATGTGAGGGCAAGTAGTATCGAGAGATAGATAGAAGTCGTTGTCATTGACTTTAAAGAATTTTCATTTAAGTTCAGTTCATTAAACTGAACCCAGTTACTTTTTTAATAAAATAAAAATTTTAAACAAAACAGCAATGCAACTGTGTCCAGGCCCCTTTTAACAATAGAATTCAGAAATGTAGCAAAATAAACGGGGACAGAAAATTTTATTCTATGAATAATTCAAAGGAGTTCCGAATGGCATCATGGTGTATAAATTTGAAGTGAGAATTACAAAAACATTGAGAAAATGTGTTGATTTTGAGTTATTAGGTATAAACAAGCTCAAAACAGGTTTGTTATGATTACTTTTGTGGTATTTTCGGTTCTACTTTTGTATTCTCCAATATCCTGCTGGAACGGACCCAGTACAGTTTGCTACATTGCAATTATATGGGACATGTTATGGTTATACACTGTCGTTGTTGCTACCTAAGCAAAGAGAACTGGCAGACTCTCTCCACATGGACTTGATCAAATTTTCCAGGATACAGAACATTCTTCAGATTTCAACTCCAATTCTCTCCATTCATACATCTTTCCATTCATACAAGTAATCCATAGGGTTTGTTGTGCAGACAGTGCTTTGCTCCACTTGTTATGTTTGTTTTTAACTAATGGTCTAAATTTTAACAGAAGATCATTTAAGTAAATGACATTATGCTACTTAATTTTGAGAGCAACATATTTACTATACTAATTATGAATCTTTTATGCAAATTGGCAGTTGCCATTAAACTGTACAAATTGCTTTTACATAAAGTGCTGACATGAAAAGTTGTGATACAGTTTGGAAAAGTTCTATTTATCAGAGTAGTTGTGTAAGGTGCTGTTATAAGGTGCCTAATGGAGGAATCTTGCATCCATTATTTATGATAATACATGACTCTGTACATATCTAACACTTATTACATTAAATATTTACTTTTTCAGATGTGGATTAGCTGGTGAAACAGGCCCTCGGTGTATTGTACCAAGCCATGTAAAAAATAAAACAACAGGAAAGGTATAGTATAATGGCAAGGATTTGTTCAGATTCTTTTTTTTTTTTTTTTGCCATGCCTCTTCATTTCTATACATGACAAACACAAATTATGTTTTATAATTATATACATGTACATGTATCTATATTTTAATATGTATATCTGGTTTGTCATTTTTTATTCTAGCCTTTGGATTTAAATAGAGAGAAGCAAGTCAATCAATCCAATACTCCCACTTGTAACCAAACGGCAAAAGTCCATGTGAAACAAATATTATGAGTTGACTCCCTCATAAAACACAATGATAACTCTTAACTAAATGATAATTTAATTATATACATATTGAATCTCAAATAAATTTATTAATTTGTGAATTAAGATGCAGAATAAAACTTGAAACAATATAATTTGTCACTGATATCAATACATGTTATTTATTGAATTTTTTTTTAGAGATAATCATATTAATGAACTCCAAATTATTGTCTCAATAACCAAGAACTATGATCCTTTCTCATTAACAATGGTCCAACATTCCTGTGTTATATGTTAGAAAACTATGAGTATTTAATAAAGAGTCCTATTGCTATCAAAAGTGCTTGCAGTCAGGACCCCCCCCCCCCCCCCCCCCCCAATATATACATCCCGGGTCCAAGGATATTTTTATTTGTCTTCTTTCATAATTTAATCTTCCAGTTATAATCTAGTACACATTTACAATGTATTCCATACGAAAAATAAAAAAAAAATAACATACAATATATGTTTTATTAAAAAATCATAATATGCGGGGATGATTTTTTTTAAAATAAAACATTAATTCTACATTATATTTTGGATTTTTCATATGGAATACATTGTGAATGTGTACTAGAAGATTTTTGAAAGAAGACAAATAAAAATATCCTTGGAGCCAGGGTGTATATGTGGGGGTGGGTTCTGTCCAAAAGCACCTGTGATTGCTATCTGTTTTCATCCTATTGTTGCACATCGTCTGTCATAAACTTTTGAACATTTTCAGCTTCTTCTCATAAACTCTTGAACCAATTTTGACCATTTAAGGTGTATAGCATCTATTGGTGAAGGGGAACATAAATTATGAATTTCGTGGTTTCTGCCTCCCTGGGGCCTTAGGGATGAGGCCAAAACCATCAAAATTAATATTATCTTCAATGTTCTACTATTCTGTTCATTTTCTTTGCTTGCAGGTTGAACAATTATGGGAATTTGAAACTACAGACCAACTGTATGAAAATTTAAAAGACTTCTTATTTAATTTGTATTTTAGGTGAGAAACTCATTCAAATTAAGTTTCATTCATGTTTTCTGCATTGATCAGTAATTACAGGTTTTTTTTCTTTTATCAATAATATGAAAACTGTGAGTATTTGTTTGTATTTGGCAGACATTTGCTTGTTAATGCTAAAGACAGACGAGTTGTGATTTGTGAATCTATACTGTGCCCTTCAGCGTTTCGAGAAACTCTTGCCAAAGTTCTTTTTAAACACTTTGAGGTATGAATCAAAAATTGATATAAAGCTGTGAAGATGCATATGAGCATGCCGTTCATATGCTGAATTTGATATTAATCTTCAAATAATCATGATTTTATGGAATTCTACCAAAAGTTGAAAAAATATATGCTTTTTTATATGAATCATATATATCTTGGAATTCATTCCTAAAAAAAAAAAAAACATACCATTGTTTGCTTTTGTTATCTATTTTGATGTCACTCAATTTCAGGTTTCTTCAGTACTGTTTGCTGTTGGACAAGTGAACTGTTTGTTAGGACTGGGAACCAATACAGGACTGGTGGTCGATGTCGGTTACAATGAGACCATTGTTCTACCAGTCAGTACAAGCCAAATTTTACCTTCACATATATTTGATATTATTTTAGATTGTTCAATGATATTTGTTGTTATATAGGTGTATGAAGGAATACCAGTAATTAAAGCCCTACAGAATGTACCTTTAGGAGGAAAATTGATTCACAAGTATGTTTTAAACAATATTTAAAGCTACAAATGTATAAACATGTAGTACAGTTTGTCATGTATATTTTTACAAATGATATTTTTGTATGAGGGTTGTCCCAGAAAAACATGAACTCTTTGATTATTTCATAAACTACCCAACCAAAAATGTAAATTTTTTGCACACTGTTGGGAAATGATATTTTTGTCATTTTCACAAAATATTGTAACATTGCAATGTTATTTGCATGCAGAAATAACATTTAAAGGGTGTTAAATATTGGTGGTCTGTGCACAGCGATTTATTCAACTGAGAGGAAAATGTTATTTATGGAGATATAAAATTGAAATTTCTGTGTATTATTCTAAAAATTTTTATTATGTTGCATGCCAATTTTTAACTTTATAGTATTTGTGAAACAAAAAGTGTTGAAAACTTTCATGTTTTTACGGGACAACCCTTGTATTTTTAAAGCAAATTCACTGTGCAACGAGTTAATATGTCAGGTTTGAACTACATGTATATCTAGTATTGAAAACTTTCACGTTTTTCTGGGACAACCCTTGTATTTTTTAAGCAAATTCACTGTGCAATGAGTTAATATGTCAGATTTGAACTATATCTATAACGTATGCTCATCTGGGAAGGGCTTTTTGCATTTTTCAGGGTCGGTACTCCCAATCTTTCCTTTATTACATTTCTTCTAATAACATAATTTTCTATTAGTTAAAACAGTAACCTATTCATAAATTACCAGGATTATTTAGATAGTGATGTTTTTTCCCCTTAGTGTATATATTAATAATTTAAGAAAACTAAAATCTTTGTAAAATTTTTTGCAATGAAATTCTCTTCAACTTCAGTCATGATGTCTGACCAAACATCAATAGCAGCTGAGTTGAATTTGAAGGTTTTTGTTTAACAACCTCTATAAATATTTTTTATCATATATATGTACATGTATTTCCCATCATATCCAGATTTCAGTACCCAATCATACATTCTGAAGCAGAAAAGAAAGAAGCCCATACTCATTATTCCTATTTACAGCTTTATATAGTTATCCCCCCTTCCCTTCATGACAGGAGAACCAATCTGTATCCACAATTTTTAATATCACTATTTGTGTTGAAGATTTTTTTTCCTTCTTTTTTAATATTAAGTAAATGTTTTATTTTCCTTCTTGAGTACTTTTACATAGATTTATTTTTTGTTATGAAATCTTGTACAGGAGGATAGAGACTCAGCTGAAAGACTCAGGAATAGTGACCACAGGAAGTGAAGAGAAACCTTTATCAACTTTACCAGGTATACTCTCCTATTTCCTATGTATACTGCCCATTTTACCAGGTAAACCTCCACTTTACCGGGCACAATGTGCAGTTTACCAGGTATTCTGTCACTTTACTACCGTATATACTCGCCTATAAGTCGGTTTTTTGGGAGTTAACTTTTGGTCTAAAAAAAAAGCTTGGTATTTTTCTGGACCACAAAATGTAGTATTTTTTACATAACTCCGACGATTATCGTTGAGAAATGTCTGGACGTATCATATTATTTATGTACTCTAAGATTATGAATTATAAATAAAGTATAAATAGATTATAAATAAAGTACAAGTATTTACCGATGTCATATCCTAACATATTATTTGAACACAGATAAATACATTAGAATATTGATATGAAATTTATAAGAGAAGAAAAAAAAGAGAGATAAAATATCGGCGTAATTCTTCAAAATATTATTTGAAAAAAGTTAAAACATTAGAGCATTGATTGAAATTGTCCACCGATTCTGGCAAAAAGTTGTACCGACTTATAGGCAGGTCAATTGCAAATCCCTCCAAAATGACCTCAAGAATCACAACCGACTTATAGGCGGACCGACTTATAGGCGAGTATATACGGTAGGTATACTGACAATTTTATTAGATACATTTTGCAGTTTACCAGGTATTCTGTCCACTTTACTAGGTATACCTAGGTATACCAGAATATTCTTTAATTCTGTGTGAATTTACGCTATGTATGTGGACACAAAAATTCAGCAGAAATTTGTCAAAGTGAACCTAAAGTACAAATGAGACATGCATTGGCAATCCAAACATCTGCATATTTTTATAACAGTGGATTGAACAGAAATTGGGATTCCACAAATTATGACCAGGAAAAAAAATATGTTTACAGTATGTCTAACTATTGTCCACTCTATGCATTTTGTAGAATCTAATTTCTTCAAAATTCATCTACATTACTGTGTATTTTTGAATTTCAGATTGCATAAATGAAGACATACTGGAAGACATCAAAGGTACAATATAGATACATGTGCATTTGCCTGTATATTTTACATACGTAAAATATACATGAACATGTACATATATATTCTACATATGTAAAATCCTTAAATATAAGAAAAAGAGTAGAGTTTATGCAGTGATTTTTATGCTATTAATGTAATTGAATAACCAATGAATTTTTTAAAAATATTTAGACTATCTTTGTGGGTTTTTTTCTTGGGGAGGGGTCTTATTTTTAACAATTTTACCATTCTACATGTACATTTAATTGTCTCAAGAAATCACATTTCAAAACAAGGTGGGATAATTCTGTAAATATTTTGTTTGATTTTTAACTCTGACATGAAAACATGTAGTAAAATGCAAGTTTGCATTTCATACAACATAAAAATGAGGGCCACTTCTTTTTCTACCATATCATGCAGCATGATACATGTATATCCTTTATTTGAGGAACAATTTAAAGGATCCACAATTCTTTGCATACTTGCATTATATCATTATTAAACTTGTTCTGAGGAGTAAAAAAGTAATACTTGAAGTCTTGTAAAAACAAAAGTTAAATTCCTGTTTCATTGGGTGTTTTTCTACACAGAGTTTACGATACAATCATTTTTTTTTTCAGTGAGATGCTGTTTCGTAACCAATTTACAACGAGCCAGTCAAATACACAAAGTCATCCAGTATGGAGAAGACAAATCCAAGGTTTAAGATCCCACAAATTTATTTCACTTTATTTAATGCAATTTGTTTGAAATCTTTTAGAATTATGCTTTTTATAAATAAAAGTTTATTGTTAAAATTCATTTTGCTGGATTAGCTCCCTTCACCACCCCCAGGTGTGAAATATCCTATAGATGGTGATCATCTACTGCTGGTGAATGGGGTCATCAGGTAATTAACATTACAGACACAGCAAATGTCAGTTCTAAAATTATCTCTATTTTTAAATTCTTAATCATTCATGGTTTGTATATACAAGGGCTGTTCAGAAATTATTGAGACATTCTGTTTATTCTCCTTTCTAATCTGGGTCTTTGATGAAAATTGGTACATGTATATAAATCAGATAAAGAGAAGGGGAAAGCTATCAATGTGACCAGGTTTTCTTTTGTATGAACAGTACTGGTATTTTTCATATGAATTATTAAAACTTTCTATTCTGACATCCCAACAAGATCAGTGTACCCTATGAACTTATATTTGAATCAATTCCATACATATCAGAGTTGTGTATATTACTTGGATTTTGATTTTTGGTAATATTTACGAGAAAAATACAAGCTGTTGAACTCTCTCTTTTATTTTTTTGGCAAAGTATTGCATATAGGGTGCATCATTTGTCTGGATAACTTCTCCTACAGTTTTCAAGATAGGAATTTATTTATTTTTCAGATCAATTGTACATATATCAGAGATGTGCACATTACTTGGATTTTGATTTCTGGTTATTTATGAGAAAAATACTGGCAGTGAACTTAGTCACTTTCTTTGCAAAATATTGCATATAGGGTACGTCATTTTCCGGATAATTCCTCCTACAGTTTTCAAGATAAGAAGTTTTTATTTTGCAGATCTGTTGTACATATATCAGAGTTATGCATGGTACTTTGATTTTGATCATTTTTGGGGAAAATACTTTTTGTTGAACTTCTTTTTTTACATGTTTCATGCAAAAGATGCTAATAGAGTACATTGAATGATTTTTTGGGGAGGTCACCTCCTACAGTTTTCAGAATAGAAAGTTTTTAAAATTCATGTGAGAAATACCTGTATTGTTCACATAAAAAAAAGGTTTGATGTCACAATGACATCTTTCCCCTTGTTTATTTTATTTTGACTTTTGTGTAATGCTAGAATTTCAGTTAGAAATACAGAGATTATAAAAGAATTTCATAAAGATGACAAATTAGGAATTTGTATACTGTAGATTCCTTATTTAACGTGAGTACTTAATATCGCGAAATGGTCCAAGGGCATCAAATCGCGAGAACAATAATTCGCGAATGGGTGATTTATCTAGAGATTTTACATAAATCGAAGCACCATAAAAATAAAAGCGAGTAATTTTATTTCGCGAGTGGTGCTTCTCGCGTAATTACGCGATAATTTATTCCTCGCGTATATTTAGGAATTTACAGTATTTGTTTTATTTGTTCTTGAAAAAATTTTGGTGAATTTTCATGAATTGGTATCTTTCTTCTACAGAGCTAAAATTTTGGTGAATTTTCATGAATTGGTATCTTTCTTCTACAGAGTTAAAAGAAGTGTTTCTATAATTTCCAAACAGCCCTTGTAATGATTATTTTGTTAGTATATGTACCAATTCCTGAATTTAACTATCAAAGAGAAGTCTTACATTTTCAAGGTGAATATTCAAAATTCATCCCAAAAATTGTGTCTAAGATTAAACAGAAATTAAACTACTGTAGGTCCATCAAATTACATGTAGTTAAAGATCCAGGAACTCATAAAAGGAATTATTTCATTTGATTTTTCTGTAAAAAACATTAAGTGGTTGGGTGGGTAGTTAGGCTGTGGAGGCAGTGAATGATGGGTCCATTCACTGTGGAAGCAGTGAATGATGGGTAGTTAGGCTGTGGAGGCAGTGAATGATGGGTCCATTCACTGTGGAAGCAGTGAATGGTGGGTAGTTAGGTTGTGAAGGCAGTGAATGATGGGTAGTTAGGCTGTGGAGGCAGTGAATGATGGGTAGTTAGGCTGTGGGGGCAGTGAATGATGGGTAGTTAGACTGTGGAGGCAGTGAATGATGGGTAGTTGGGCTGTGGGGGCAGTGAATGATGGGTAGTTAGGCTGTGAAAGCAGTGAATGATGGGTAGTTAGGCTGTGGAGGCAGTAAATGATGGGTAGTTAGGCTGTGGGGGCAGTGAATGATGGGTAGTTAGGCTGTGAAGGCAGTGAATGATGGGTAGTTAGACTGTGGAGGCAGTGAATGATGGGTGGTTAGGCTGTGGGGGCAGTGAATGATGGGTAGTTAGACTGTGTAGGCATTGAGTGATGGTTAGTTAGGCTGTGAAAGCAGTGAATGATGGGTAGTTAGGCTGTGAAAGCAGTGAATGATGGGTAGTTAGACTGTGGAGGCAGTGAATGATGGGTAGTTAGGCTGTGAAAGCAGTGAATGATGGGTCCGTTCACTGTGGAAGCAGTGAATGATGGGTAGTTAGGCTGTGGAGGCAGTGAATGATAGGTCCATTCACTGTGGAAGCAGTGAATGATGGTTAGTTAGGCTGTGAAGGCAGTGAATGATGGGTAGTTAGGCTGTGAAAGTAGTGAATGATGGGTAGTTAGGCTCTGGAGGCAGTGAATGATGGGTAGTTAGGCTGTGAAAGCAGTGAATGATGGGTAGTTGGGCTGTGGGGGCAGTGAATGATGGGTAGTTAGGCTGTGAAAGCAGTGAATGATGGGTAATTAGGCTGTGGAGGCAGTGAATGATGGGTAGTTAGGCTGTGGGGGCAGTGAATGATGGGTAGTTAGACTGTGGAGGCATTGAGTAATGGTAAGTTAGGCTGTGAAAGCAGTGAATGATGGGTAGTTAGGCTGTGGAGGCAGTAAATGATGGGTAGTTAGAGTGTGGAGGCAGTGAATGATGGGTAGTTAGGCTGTGAAGGCAGTGAATGATGGGTAATTAGGCTGTGAAAGCAGTAAATGATGGGTAGTTAGGCTGTTGAGGCAGTGAATGATGGGTAGTTAGACTGTTGAGGCAGTGAATGATGGGTAGTTAGGCTGTGAAAGCAGTGAATGATGGGTAGTTAGGTTGTGAAAGCAGTGAATGATGGGTAGTTAGGCTGTGGGGGCAGTGAATGATGGGTAGTTAGACTGTGGAAGCAGTAAATGATGGGTAGTTAGGCTGTGGAGGCAGTGAATGATGGGTCCATTCACTGTGGAAGCAGTGAATGATGGGTAGTTAGGCTGTGAAAGCAGTGAATGATGGGTAGTTGGGCTGTGGGGGCAGTGATGCAGTGAATGATGGGTAGTTAGGCTGTGGAGGCAGTGAATGATGGGTAGTTAGGCTGTGGAGGCAGTGCATGATGGGTAGTTAGGCTGTGGGGGCAGTGAATGATGGGTAGTTAGACTGTGGAAGCAGTAAATGATGGGTAGTTAGGCTGTGGAGGCAGTGAATGATGGGTCCATTCACTGTGGAGGCAGTGAATGATGGGTAGTTAGGCTGTGAAAGCAGTGAATGATGGGTCCATTCACTGTGGAAGCAGTGAATGATGGGTAGTTAGGCTGTGGAGGCAGTGAATGATGGGTCCATTCACTGTGGAAGCAGTGAATGATGGGTAGTTAGGCTGTGGAGGCAGTGAATGATGGGTCCATTCACTGTGGAAGCAGTGAATGATGGTTAGTTTGGCTGTGAAGGCAGTGAATGATGGGTAGTTAGGCTGTGAAAGTAGTGAATGATGGGTAGTTAGGCTGTGGAGGCAGTGAATGATGGGTAGTTAGGCTGTGAAAGCAGTGAATGATGGGTAGTTAGGCTGTGGAGGCAGTAAATGATGGGTAGTTAGACTGTGGAGGCAGTGAATGATGGGTAGTTAGGCTGTGGAGGCAGTGAATGATGGGTCCATTCACTGTGGAAGCAGTGAATGATGGTTAGTTAGGCTGTGAAGGCAGTGAATGATGGGTAGTTAGGCTGTGAAAGTAGTGAATGATGGGTAGTTAGGCTGTGGAGGCAGTGAATGATGGGTAGTTAGGCTGTGAAAGCAGTGAATGATGGGTAGTTAGGCTGTGGAGGCAGTGAATGATGGGTAGTTAGGCTGTGAAAGCAGTGAATGATGGGTAGTTGGGCTGTGGGGGCAGTGAATGATGGGTAGTTAGGCTGTGAAAGCAGTGCATGATGGGTAGTTAGGCTGTGGAGGCAGTAAATGATGGGTAGTTAGACTGTGGAGGCAGTGAATGATGGGTAGTTAGGCTGTGAAGGCAGTGAATGATGGGTAGTTAGACTGTGGAGGCAGTGAATGATGGGTAGTTAGGCTGTGGGGGCAGTGAATGATGGGTAGTTAGACTGTGGAGGCATTGAGTAATGGTTAGTTAGGCTGTGAAAGTAGTGAATGATGGGTAGTTAGGCTGTGGAGGCAGTAAATGATGGGTAGTTAGACTGTGGAGGCAGTGAATGATGGGTAGTTAGGCTGTGAAGGCAGTGAATGATGGGTAATTAGGCTGTGAAAGCAGTAAATGATGGGTAGTTAGGCTGTTGAGGCAGTGAATGATGGGTAGTTAGACTGTTGAGGCAGTGAATGATGGGTAGTTAGGCTGTGAAAGCAGTGAATGATGGGTAGTTAGGTTGTGAAAGCAGTGAATGATGGGTAGTTGGGCTGTGGGGGCAGTGATGCAGTGAATGATGGGTAGTTGGGCTGTGGGGGCAGTGATGCAGTGAATGATGGGTAGTTAGATTGTGGAGGCAGTGAATGATGGGTAGTTAGGCTGTGGAAGCAGTGAATGATGGGTAGTTAGGCTGTGAAAGCAGTGAATGATGGGTAGTTGGGCTGTGGGGGCAGTGATGCAGTGAATGATGGGAAGTTAGGCTGTGGAGGCAGTGAATGATGGGTAGTTAGACTGTGGAGGCAGTGCATGATGGGTAGTTAGGCTGTGGGGGCAGTGAATGATGGGTAGTTAGACTGTGGAAGCAGTGAATGATGGGTAGTTAGGCTGTGGAGGCAGTGAATGATGGGTCCATTCAATGTGGAAGCAGTGAATGATGGGTAGTTAGGCTGTGGAGGCAGTGAATGATGGGTCCATTCACTGTGGAAGCAGTGAATGATGGGTAGTTAGGCTGTGGAGGCAGTGAATGATGGGTCCATTCACTGTGGAAGCAGTGAATGATGGGTAGTTAGGCTGTGGAGGCAGTGAATGATGGGTCCATTCACTGTGGAAGCAGTGAATGATGGTTAGTTAGGCTGTGAAGGCAGTGAATGATGGGTAGTTAGGCTGTGAAAGTAGTGAATGATGGGTAGTTAGGCTGTGGAGGCAGTGAATGATGGGTAGTTAGGCTGTGAAAGCAGTGAATGATGGGTAGTTAGGCTGTGGAGGCAGTGAATGATGGGTAGTTAGGCTGTGAAAGCAGTGAATGATGGGTAGTTGGGCTGTGGGGGCAGTGAATGATGGGTAGTTAGGCTGTGAAAGCAGTGAATGATAGGTAGTTAGGCTGTGGAGGCAGTAAATGATGGGTAGTTAGACTGTGGAGGCAGTGAATGATGGGTAGTTAGGCTGTGAAGGCAGTGAATGATGGGTAGTTAGACTGTGGAGGCAGTGAATGATGGGTAGTTAGGCTGTGGAAGCAGTGAATGATGGGTAGTTAGGCTGTGAAAGCAGTGAATGATGGGTAGTTGGGCTGTGGGGGCAGTGATGCAGTGAATGATGGGTAGTTAGGCTGTGGAGGCAGTGAATGATGGGTAGTTAGGCTGTGGAGGCAGTGCATGATGGGTAGTTAGGCTGTGGGGGCAGTGAATGATGGGTAGTTAGACTGTGGAAGCAGTGAATGATGGGTAGTTAGGCTGTGGAGGCAGTGAATGATGGGTCCATTCACTGTGGAAGCAGTGAATGATGGGTAGTTAGGCTGTGGAGGCAGTGAATGATGGGTCCATTCACTGTGGAAGCAGTGAATGATGGGTAGTTAGGCTGTGAAAGCAGTGAATGATGGGTCCATTCACTGTGGAAGCAGTGAATGATGGGTAGTTAGGCTGTGGAGGCAGTGAATGATGGGTCCATTCACTGTGGAAGCAGTGAATGATGGTTAGTTAGGCTGTAAAGGCAGTGAATGATGGGTAGTTAGGCTGTGAAAGTAGTGAATGATGGGTAGTTAGACTGTGGAGGCAGTGAATGATGGGTAGTTAGGCTGTGGGGGCAGTGAATGATGGGTAGTTAGACTGTGGAGGCATTGAGTAATGGTTAGTTAGGCTGTGAAAGCAGTGAATGATGGGTAGTTAGGCTGTGGAGGCAGTAAATGATGGGTAGTTAGACTGTGGAGGCAGTGAATGATGGGTAGTTAGGCTGTGAAGGCAGTGAATGATGGGTAATTAAGCTGTGAAAGCAGTAAATGATGGGTAGTTAGGCTGTTGAGGCAGTGAATGATGGGTAGTTAGACTGTTGAGGCAGTGAATGATGGGTAGTTAGGCTGTGAAAGCAGTGAATGATGGGTAGTTAGGTTGTGAAAGCAGTGAATGATGGGTAGTTGGGCTGTGGAGGCAGTGAATGATGGGTAGTTGGGCTGTGGGGGCAGTGATGCAGTGAATGATGGGTAGTTAGATTGTGGAGGCAGTGAATGATGGGTAGTTAGGCTGTGGAGGCAGTGAATGATGGGTAGTTAGATTGTGGAGGCAGTGAATGATGGGTAGTTGGGCTGTGGGGGCAGTGATGCAGTGAATGATGGGTAGTTAGGCTGTGGAGGCAGTGAATGATGGGTAGTTAGGCTGTGGAGGCAGTGCATGATGGGTAGTTAGGCTGTGGGGGCAGTGAATGATGGGTAGTTAGACTGTGGAAGCAGTGAATGATGGGTAGTTAGGCTGTGGAGGCAGTGAATGATGGGTAGTTAGGCTGTGGAGGCAGTGAATGATGGGTAGTTAGGCTGTGGAGGCAGTAAATGATAGGCACCTGTTTTATTTCAGGGAGCATAGTTGTGAGGTGTTATTTGAGCAGGACAATGAGCATCAGTCCATATCTACCATCATACTGGATGCTATTATTAATGTAAGAAAAATTATATATTCAAGCAAAAACTAAAAATAAGTCTTTTATTCGGGATTGTTGACTATTTATTTGTAAAAGCATCAACTTTTCTTAAGTTCTGTAAAGACTGGAATTGCAAATATTTGATTCATTTATGCTTCATTTATCTTGTAAAATCATATCACAAAATGAAAAGAGCTGTCAGTTTGATAAACAGAACGCTCATCTACAATAGAATCCTACAAAATGGATAATGTTTGACTGATTTGTAATTGCTTGCAGTCTCCCATTGATATGAGAAGGGACCTGGCAGAGAACATTGTAATTATTGGAGGGACCCCAATGTTACCAGGCTTCCATCATCGACTGTGTGTAGAACTCTACCACCTTCTGAAAAACAACAAATATCAGAACGAGCTGTCTATCAAGTTATTCAAGTTCCATAAACTCCCAACAAAAGAGAACTGTGCCAGCTGGTTAGGAGGTAATTTGCTGAAGTTTGTGAATCTCTTGATCTAAGAAAATTTTGTTGACTGAAAAGGTGGTAAGAAAATTGAGTTGACTGTTAAGGTGGTAGGTTATTCAAATTCCACATTTTACCAGCTTATGAGATTGAGAATGTTAGAGAAAGGTTAGTTTACATTCCTACATCTCTCATCCAGTATTATAATAATATTTTATAAACTAGTTCACAGGTTTTCAAATTCCACATTCTACCAGCTATCAAAATAGAATTGTGCTAGCTGACTTAATGTAAGAAAATGTTAAATTGGAGGCCAACAAGAAAAAGCTGCATTCTCTGATAAACACAAGCCATCACTAAATATTAGATTATAAACCACGGGCAGATCTGAATGGGGGTGGAGGCAGAGGGTCTAAACCCTTCCCTTGATTTTTCAGAATCATTAAATTTCTATGTCAAAGTAACAAAACATCTCCTACAAGACACCCCCCCCCCCATACACATACATACTGGTAAACACAAAATTGTTTTTTCAGGTTTGAGCAAGTTTTTAACATTTTTTTTCCTTGTCAAAAAATTTCCAAGTTTGACTTGTGGAACCCCCACTCCGGAAAAATCTTGGATTCACAAAAAAAGGGGGGTTAATGACTTCTTGATGTATTGAGTATATACATGTGGACCTTTTATTCAATTGTAGGCAATTTTTCATATGAGGAGAATTATTAACAAGATTCAGTAGAAATATCCTATTGTCTCCTAAAAAAATGTTTGTCTTTTTAGGAGCCCTGTTAGGAGCACTGGAGACCCTCCCTAGCAAGTCAATAACCAGAGATGTCTATCTACAGACAGGGAGACTTCCAGATTGGTGCTGTATATCCGAGGAGACTGAGGAACAGGAAAAAATGGGAGCAAGGAGCTAATAAGGATATAGCAGGGAGGATCAGAGAAATCAAGGAGGAATCAGTGAGTGTGTTGTCTGCAGTCTGGTTGAGGGCTACACAGTGCTAAAAAACAAATCTATGTGCAATAATTTAACTTTACCTGTATATTATGTACAATTTATTGGTTGTAATAAATAGATAAGACTTTATTTTGTATTTTTTTTAATTCTTTAGCTATACTGGTCAAAGACCAGATGGCAAGGTGTCCATTGTCTGCCTGCCTGTCTGAAAAATGAAAAACAAGAGGCCCAAGGGCCTTGAATTGCTCTTCCGATAAATTGTACAACCTATCACTTCTATTTAAAGCCTCTAAGTATCCTGTATATAAAGATACCGCCTTAAAAATTCCAAAATAGGTCATAATGACCTACATTTTGGTTAAAACACTCTGAGAACCCAAGATGCATCAACTAACAAATTTTGATGATTCTAAGCCCCTTACTATCTTAAATATTCAGATAGAGCCTTCAGATTCCAAAAAGTAGGTCACAGTGACCTTCTTTTTGAAAAGGACACTCCAAGACCCCAAAATCCAACGACTGAGAAAGTTTGATGATTTTAAGTTTCTTATATTTTAAAATATTTAGATATTGCCTGGAAAAAGATCACTATGACCTACTTTCTAGTTGACATATTCTGAGGATTCAAAATACATCAACTGACAAAGTTTGATGATTCAAAGCCAATTATTACCTCAAATATTTAAATATACACTAAGTGAAAATTGCTTCCTAATTGATCCCCCTATTGTGGCCCCACCTTAAAGATGAGATAGATTTGAAAAACTTGAGTCTGCATTTCTTGTGAATACTTGCATGTTAATCAGTAATCTGGCCCTGCTGTTCTTGAAAGGAAAATTTTAAAACATTTCCCCATATATTCTCCATGTAAAACTTCAATCCCCTATAGTGGCCCCACCTTACCCAGGGGACCATGATTTGAACAAAAGCTTGAATTTGTTTTTCTTGAGGATGATTGTAATTTAATATCAATGTTTATGGTCCTACTTTACAGAGAAAAAGATCTTTAAAGATTTCCTAGTAAAACTTCAGTCTTTGGTCCCCTAATGTGACCCCACCCTACCCCTGGGGGTTATGGCTTGAACAAACTTGTATGTGCACTACCTGATGATGATTGCATCTTAATGTTACTCCTGTTCTTGAGAAGATTTTAAAACATATTTTCCAATACATTACAAACTTTAAAACTTTGATCCCCCTATTGTGGCCCCATCCTAACTTGAACGAACTTTTATCTACACTCTGTCTGGAAGCTTCCACATACGTTTCATCTTTTCTGGTCCAATGGTTCTGGAGAAGAAGATTTTTATATGGCCCCACTCAATTTTCACTATTTCTAAATTATTTCTCCTTGAAAGAGGCATGGTCTTTCATTTAAACAAAGTTGAATCCACTTCACCCAAGGACGTTTTATGGCAAGTTCGGATGAAATTTGCCCAGTGGTTCTGGAGAAGAAGATGGAAATGTAAAAGGTTTAATGACAATGAGATGACAGACAACAGAAAATCTCGAGTGATCTTTTGGCTCATATTTTATTAATACATTACCAATTAACCATGGTTTAACTATGCTACGACTAAATGTGGGAGAGGGTAACCAGCCCTTTAATAAACATTTTCAAAAGCAAAAGATTATGTTTGGGAAAAAAGTGCCCCCCCCCCCTTCAATACTACGTGCATGAAGTCAAATACATCGGAATCATTAACACCCCCCTTTTTTCTGCATAATTTCCAATCAATTTTGTTATATGAACATGTACTAACTATATGATGTAGTATTATGTATAATTTAATTGTACCTTGTACCTGTGGAGAGGGATTATATAGGCTATGCCTGCTGTCCAATCCATTTATGTTTCAGTACATAATAAAATATGTTCAAATCGGAAAAAAATGCATCGGAATATCTGATCTGTGTCAGATTATTAGTTACATAGTTTTTTAGTGACAGGGTACGGGATGATACCTGGTTAGTAAATTTCATACCTGGCGAGGCGAAGCCGAGCCAGGTATGAAATTTACTAACCAGGTATCATCCCGTACCCTGTCACTAAAAAACTATGTAACGAATTTACCCCACCGATAAAATATTTATGCATTGTCTGTGGTTTGTAGAATTGTTTTCCTCACTCTATATATGTTTCATCACTCATACAATGCCTATTATGACGTCACGTTGTGTGACGTAATGTTGTTTTGAGATTGTTTTGTGCTGTTATAACGTACTGAAAGTTTTGAAGACTTTCAGTAAAGGAAAAAAAGGTTCCATCTTCGTTACTTACATTAGTTTACTGTAACATTGTCAACAGACACTCGGCAAATCGCGTGAACTCAGTTGTTCTAACGTTACAAAAGAACGATAACTCCGTATCGACCATGTATTGATTTTCAAGCGACTAGGTATAAGTAATACACCCCCTTCACGTGACAGACTTCAACCAATCGTAAGCCAGGATTTCATCAAAAAATTAACAGAGGTGGGGTAATTAAATATCTTACCCTTGTAATATTGTTCAGACCTGACAAGTGTATGACTTACAGTGAATTTGAAGAAAAACAACAAAATACATTTAACAAGGGTTGCATTTGGAAGGGAAACTATTCAAGGGAAACTTAGAAGAATAAAAAAAAAATTCTTTCAACTGTTTTCACCCAAGTTTTTATAAATACATGTAAACAATGTTTGGTACAGTACCGTAAAAAGAAACACCATAAAAACATTGTATAAAACATTGGGGGCAACGTTAAGGAAAGGTCCCGTGATGGAACCAAATACTGACGTCATAATCGTTGCGCCATTTTAAGTTTGGATACAAGTTTGGAAATATGGGTTCTGCAGTGAGCAGGGAAGAGACTTCGAAGCAGAAAGATCGAGGAAAATACAGTTCTGCTTCCGGAAACAGCGTGAATTCAGTTGGCTCTTGCAGTCTCCATTTGGACATCAGTGAAAATGATTCTAATTCGTCCACTGGTTTTGACAAGGTAGAATTGAACAATGATAGGCCTGTGACAGTTCCATCAATTCAACCAAATGCTACTCGAGACGATAGTAGCCAATCAGTACTTAATGACAACGAGGTTTCCATTCGATCATCACCTCCTGTACCTTCAGACAAACTTGATGACCGGAAAATGGTAAATGAAACAAAACCCAGCGATGTTCTTCCACCGATCAATTCAGGGGCTTCAAGCATTCCCAACCAAGCACAATCATCGGAAGAAAATAAGCCTTACGGATTTAGCAACCTTAGAAATGCCGATATTTTGTGCATGAAACGTCGGAATGATCACGTATGGCCAATTAATATGGAAAGGAAAAACATTGAAACCATAACTGAGCAGGCAAAAATAATTGATGACTTAAACCGCGAAGGACTGATTGGAAGAGGGAGAAGTCCACAAATAGGTGTAGCCAAAGATCGGTCTGGGGGTACGGAGTACACCCTCACATTCGATACTCCAAAACGCCATCTACCTCGTCTGTTACCCATCAACTCCGAGAGAAAAAAGGACAATTCCTATAATAAGCCGCCGTGGGAGAGAGAGATATTGTTCGCCGACAATCACCCTTCACAGAATCAGGAGAGTGAACCTCTGAAGAAGTCTATGTCAAATCCCACAAAACTGAAGATCAAAATGTTGAATCTTGATCTATTGTAAATACGTTAATTATAAACAAATATATACGAATTAAAATCAGATTCCCTTAAAAGATTTGTAACTTGCATTTCAATTCTCTTGCAAGTTGACATAATTTATCTTGCATATGCTACCATACGAACCTTAAAAAGATCCTTAAAAAATTATTACTATAGAGGAAAACTACATTATTACCCCCAGCCCCACTCCCCGGAAAACAGGCTTTCGAATTGGATTTCTTCGCGTAAAATAGACCATATAGTAGGATCTCCCCCGGAAAACTGACACTAAAGTACGGAAATCCCATACCAAATTCAATTTTTCAGGGGGGGGGGGGGGTCCTACTCAGTTTAATATATTTATAGAGTGCAATTGATCCCCCTAAAATATTCATTTTTTTCTAAAGCACATTTAAGGCTTAATTCAAAATGAAACTGACTTTTCGAGTAATGATGTATCTGCGTCTGTCTGTCCGTGCTTAACTGACCCGGGACGACCCATTGTTGTAAGTGTTCCACCGACTTTTCCACAGGTGCTCTCGCTGTTGGGATAATGAAACTTTCCAAAAATTTCAACATTTACATGTAAATTTTCAAAATGGCGACCAGTTCCATTTAAACATACGAAATATGAAAAAATTATTTTTTTTTCTCAGTGAAAAAGTTTTTTTTAGCATTATATAGGATTATTCTTTTCATCGAATCAAATGAATCAAACCGATTCTTGAAAAAAAAAATACAACTGTATTGGAATCGGTTGAACAAACTTTTTCGAAAGTATATTAAACGGATTATTTTCTTTAATGGTATTTCAAACCGCAATAAAATTGATGTGTAAGTGTATCCCAAGTTTCTTGGGTTTAAAATATCCCAAGTGGCTTTCGTTGCCATGGAACCAAAAATGGGTCACTTTTTATAAAAAGAACTAGGGCGCTTTTGATTTTGCTTCGGCGGATATCTGGGCGCACTTGAAAAAATGTCATTGATGAAACACATATTTTAGTATTTTATGGATGAATCGGTTTCTTGAGATATGGGAAAGGTTTAATATTTCCCCAATATTGTGTTTTGATATGCATTGAAATATGGTACAAAAGTTACTCGTTTTTCTATAGTATTTGGCATCGTCGGAAACCCACGGCCAATTTCGATTACGCTTATTAATAAGTGTATGCATGATTTGCCGTGGGTTTCCGACGATGACTATTTGGCCCTCCAAGAACACAGATTTGTAAAAATGGAGACAAGAGCTAGAGGGAAAAACTTTTTCCAAAAAAAAAATTACATTAATGATTCAAGGATATCAGGAGTTTTGTTTATACAATGATGCGCATTGAAATGGTAGACTTTTCTGTTTGAGCTTCTTTTGAAAATTGATTGTTACATAATAACATTTCCTCAGAAAGGGGAAAACGGTTTGTTGCAGGGGCGAGTGGGCGGGAAACGCCAGTGTGCACTGCGAGAGACAGGCCACGAGTGTCGTAAATTTTTAAAGAAGTATTCAATAAATTAATATAAATCAGATTGGCTGTTAATTTACATAAGCACCGAGTAAACAGGTGTTCGACTGATACATGTGAAACTTCAACAGTCGGAAAAAATACATGTAAATATGTACATATTCGTTGATACGTGTTTTACATTACAGAAGAGTCTCTCACTCTCTCTGCCAACTTCATAAAATCCCAATTTCTGCAGAACTCGCGTTGCTAACATCAGAGAGTAGGGTCTTAAAATATTGCGAGGAATATTCCTCTCTCAATTGTAAAGAAATGGGCGAGTTATTAGGTAACAATAGACGTTCGATAAAAAAGACCCTAACTTTTTATTCAAACGAAAATTTTACCACTTCAATGTGCATCACTGTACATTGAACAGTGCTTGTCTAATTTAGCTCCTTCAGCTCCTCTAATATACAGAAATTCAAGTGGTACTAAAATATCTTTGAATGAGAATCCAGAGACCTGTTCAACAGAGCATTTCTGTTAGACAGATAAGAAATTTTGAGGAGCACTTGATATTGGAACAACTCTGTTGATGGTATTGCTTATATTATTCCTCTTTCACTTTTCATTCCCTCTCAGTTAAAATTTCTCTGAAGTAGAATAATTTATAGGCCCATAGTACCTGAGGACAGGGATGGGGTTGGTCCTCCCATCTTGTTTCTGGGCTTTTGCTGTCATTTCTATATGGAAATTGTCATTCAAAGGCAGAATCCCCCCCTCCCATTTTACTGCAGTATGGTCGAGCCAGTACCCCAAAAATTCTGCTGAAAATGGGTGGAAATCTTCATGCCCTGAATCAATATACGGTGCTGCAAAGTGTAACTTAAGCAACACAATTTACCATATATTATAACAGGTTATTATATGGTATATTGAGTGTAACACAGACTAGCATCCACATGGATACCAAGTAGATGTATTTTGCACATTGCAGTCAGATTTATTTGTGACTTCAGACACATTACTTCACACAAGTGAGAAGTGATCAGAATCAGTTCATATTAAAAAGACAACAGAATCATCAAAGACTTTATCTGAGGTTTATAGTAGTAAACTATAAATGTGAAATAAGTCCTACTCTTGCCAGAGAGTCCACAACAAAAATAAAATGATCAAATCTAACAAGACCAAATAAAATCCTCTCTTACTCACGTACATGAATACAAAAAAAATTCAAAACAATCATTATGGACAGGTTTTTGTATTCCTGAGAGTTCAACAGTCATGATACATCCATGTATCTACATAAGAATTCAAAATTAATCATGTACACAAATGTCAACATAAAACAGTTTGTGATTTTCACAGCTTTTAAAACAGAGCAAAACTTGTTCCAACAGTTTCTTTTCCACCTTCACTTCTTAAAACATCAAACTTGTTCAAACAATTCTTTTCTTTTACAATTTTCACTTTGTAAACAAAAAATAAAAATTACTAAAAAAAACTTCATTCCTGGGTTTCCTTCCTTGAAGACAAAAATTGTTGACAGTGTTCCATTATTAATCTTTACTGTTTCTGGGAATGAAAATTCCTCAAGAACCATTCCTTTTCCAAATTCTACTGCTTCTCTGAACTGCACTGACATTTGTATAACAGGCAGCTGTTAACTGTGTCATATGAGTAGTTTCACTGTTCTCTGTTCTGACTTCAGTTGTAGAGTTCATCCTCCTTCTCCTTGTGTCGCCTTGTCTCCAGATGGAGCTGCAACAACTGAGGAGTCTGCCATGTCATGTTACACAACCTACATAGTATGGGTTCCCGAGTCGTGGCACTGTAAAAGCATTGGTTAATATCAGCTACATATAAATCACTTACTAATTCATGTATTATGACAAATTACCATAAGCTGTTTATTCTAACACATTTATTCAGGATAATTACAGTATTTATTTTAATATCAGTGAAAGTTAGGCATTTCTGATCAGGAGATTTTCAACAGACGACTGCAGAAATTAATTACAACCCCCCCCCCCCCTCTCCCCCAGCTTGAAAAGCTGGGGTATATAGTGATGGCAGAGTCGTCCCTCCATCCATAACACTTGGGGATACCCATCTCTTATCAAAAAAATCCTCTTATACCACTGAATAAAATTTAATGAGACTTTCACAAAATCTTTATTACTTAGTGCCATTGTGTACCTCCTATTTTAAGTTTTGATCAGACAGCCATTTGCTGTTTCCCATAGAAAACGTTTGACACTGCCATTCATTCTTTCTATAATGTTGGGGGTATCCTTCTCTTACCCACAATTTCTCCTATACCACAGAATAAAATTTAACGAGACTTTCACAAAATCTTTATAAGATACCAGTAGTGCTATTGTGCACCTCTTATTTTGTTCTGATCAGACAGATATTTAGGATTTCCCATTGCAAAAATCAGACTTTGCCATTATACTCACATGAGAGTGGGTGGTATCATTTTGTGAGCTCAGTGCTCACAGTACCTCTACACAGTACCTCTAGTTTAATTTGTGAACTTTGTATTTTTGATTAACTTGTCAAACTTCATTTATTAGCTATATCAATTAATAAACCATTATCTCAAGTTAAATATTTCTTTCTCTTATTAAATTTTTACTATTTTTCGCTCCTTCTCTTTCAGTGACAATGTCCATTTACTATAACAATTTTGGTGTCAGAAGTCGGACAGCACTATCATGTAACAAATTTTAGTGTCAGAAGTTGGATAGTCATAGCACTATCCTGTTACAAATTTTTTCATCAGAAGTGGGAGAGTCATAGCACTATCATGTTACAAAAGAGTCCTGTCTACCTTACTTCATTAATAACCATCTTTTAACCATCATTTAAAGAAGTAAGCAGAACTTTTTTATTTCCTGTGAAATACAACTCCAATACCTGATTTATTCAATCATTCACAACATGCTTCCTGGTTTGTGTTGAACAGATCTTTATTACTCTTAATTATGATTGGACTTGCATATAGAAGTAGACTTACCTCCCAGCAGCCTGATGTAGCCACTCAGCGTGACTTACCTTTCAGCAGCCTGACGTAGCCACTCAGCCCGACTTACCTCTCAGCAGCCTGACGTAGCCACTCAGCCTGACTTACCTCTCAGCAGCCTGATGTAGCCACTCAGCATGACTTACCTCTCAGCAGCCTGATGTAGCCACTCAGTGTGACTTACCTCTCAGCAGCCTGACGTAGCCACTCAGCCTGACTTACCTCTCAGCAGCCTGATGTAGCCACTCAGCATGACTTACCTCTCAGCAGCCTGATGTAGCCACTCAGTGTGACTTACCTCTCTGCAGCCTGACGTAGCCACTCAGCATGACTTACCTCTCAGCAGCCTGACGTAGCCACTCAGCCTGACTTACCTCTCAGCAGCCTGACGTAGCCACTAAGCCTGAATTACATGTACCTCTCTACAGCTTGATGTAGCTACTCAGCATCACTCTATTTTCTAAGATCTCCTTGGACTTGAAACAGAAGTAGACTTACCTTTCTGCAACTTGATGTAGCCACTCAGCGTGACTTACCTCTCTGCAGCCTGACGTAGCCACTCAGCTTGTCTTACCCCTCAGCAGCCTGACGTAGCCACTCAGCCTGACACACCTCTCAGCAGCCTGACGTAGCCACTCAGCGTGACTTACCTCTCAGCAGCCTGACGTAGCCACTCAGCATGACTTATCTCTCAGCAGCCTGACGTAGCCACTTCACGTGGCATCTCTTTTCTAAGATCTCCTTGGACTTGTATACAGAATCAGACTTACCTCTCTGCAGCCTGACGTAGCCACTCAGCGTGGCGTCTCTTTTCTAAGATCTCCTCCTCCACTCCAGTTTCTTCCTCCTCTTCTTCTTCTTCTCTATCTGTTCTCAGATACACACCTTTATGTAAATGTAACAAAACCACACTGTCAGCTGGTGTATTGTGTAGATCATGTTCTAAAATGTCAGCTGGGTCTATCTGCAATTTAAATCAAATAAATCCATCTTCAACACTTCTCTCACCACTCCACAAATACAAGCACATGCAATCACTCCTAGTTCAAAAATAACATGACTGAAGAGTGCGTGTGTGTATGTGCATTTTTTGTTGCATGCATAAACGTGTACATTACCTTAATAACAATATAACCAGTATCTGTGTAGTAGAAAAAAAGTTCAACATGGTGCACTGTCAATTTACTCAATTACATAGTAGTCCAATACATCATTCAATCATTATGTATAACATAGTGAAACCAGTGGTACCCATCACCTTTTACTATGTTTACTATGTTCACTATGTTTGGAATTTTTTAAAACTCTTCTCCCTGACTAAGTAATTTACCTGATCCCATCTGTAAGGAGTTTCTGTTGCTGGTGCATCATAATGTTCTCTGGCTGTTCCTTGTATAACACTAGCAAAAAAACAAATTAAGTAGCAAACTACTGTTCCGATATAAATAATTTATTAAAGTTCTGCATGTCTGTCAAAAATACTGTCTCAAATCACAAGATGACATACCTCATGAGTTTCTTGCGAGCGGAGTCTTGAAGTTTGTAAATTGCATCTTCACCCCAGTTGGACACTGCCTGTTCACTTCCTAACACAATATTGATGGCCATTCTTACACCATTTATCTATAGAACCAGGTAAATGGTCTGATACAGCATTATAAACTTAGAAAAATTGCCAAAATCAAGAATACTTTAATGGGCCGATCTGGATACATTCAAACTCTCTAGAATAAAAAAAAAAAATTACCTTGAAGATATCTTCTAATGTTATAGGTATGTCAAAGGCCACCTCCATATCGTGGTCAGGCATGGCGGGTTGTCCTGTAAATCTGTCCAATCCCAAACCACAAATTGTTCCAATATAGTGCTCTTTCCTCTGGTCAACCCTGACAATGAAAAAATCTCAATAAAGTACACATACACTTGAGTATGACACTATATTAATGATTAAAGATGAACCATTATCTTACACTGATAGATAGACTATATTTTAATTTAAACATACATTAAAAAATTTCAGTGACGCCACCCATAGCGATTTATGCATTGTTCAACAATTCATGAATAGCTAGGTATCTATTCAACTGGTAGCAGTTGAATAGATACCTAACTCTTCAACAGCTGTTCTCCATTCATACTTGAAGTGATCACAATTATAGAGATTTGCATGAAAAAAGAGCTACAGAAATTTTATTAGAAAACATTTTAAACTTCACTGACAATTCACTTTCCTGGATTTCGAAGAAAATTTTGAATCCTCAATCTTTTCAATGATTGAAAGACTCATATTATATTTCACTTTTCTGTATTTTCACACACATTCTTTTAATTACTTGAATTATATCACTACCTATCAAAGTTCGTATGTGAAATGGACCTGACTGCATTGGAACGTTGGCAAGGTTTTTATTTGCTTTGGTTGGGTGCAAGCATATTGAATAGTTCAAAGAAAACATCCCACCTCGAGTCTTTCGGCCCTTGGTGGAGATTTTTTCTCTGAACTATTCAATACAGTCTGGATATTTTATCCATTATTATCTTACCGAAATTCTGCAATTGGAGCAAACAGCAAAGACACTAGCGCTGGTAAGCCTGGGATGAGGGGCATAATTGTTGTATCTCGAGCGATCATTGTGGACCCTGCCGCATTCAGCCCCACATATCCCGCTATCATCATCCTGGCGTGTGGAGATTCAGGTTCATCATCAATGGCAACAGAGTTCACACTGTCTGGGTCCACTTTTGCTGCCCTATGATGTTTATTTTTCTTTTTTTTTTAATTCAATATCAGATCTTACTTTGAATTCCAAAATTTTTTTTTTACAGAAAAATTAAGTACCTAAGTCTCCCAACATTTGTCAAACTGTAAAACTGCATTTCATATGGATTAACTGGTCCTTTAAGGTGTATCTGAAATAAATCAATTGTGTATTGTAATACATGTACGTACCTTATAATTATATTAACATATGAAAATTTCAAGAAAAAAAACTTGTTAGAACCAACTGACCCTTTGACCCCTGGTTCGTGTGAGAGGAGCTGCAGACAGGGGTGCAGATGTCCTGATGGCAGTCCCTAACCAGTCCTCTGAGGAATGGTTTCTATGTTCCTGGGCCCTTACTGTCTGGGGAGCTTGTCTCTGCTCATGATCTTTCTGAAATCAAAGAGAAGACAACTGAAACTTCTTTCAGAATCTTGAAAACAAGAGGCCCATGTGCCACAACTCTTTCCTGAGTCACCATAGCCCTGCTTTTAATCATCAGCTAATTCTGTTCCTTATTATTCCAAGAAAAGTTTTGTCCTATGTTCTGACCATGACCTCGCCCAAAGGGGGTCACAATTTATTTGAACTGGAATCACATAAACAGGATGCTTCAATATCAGTAAGACTAACATTGTCTTGCTGTTCTGGAGAAGATTTTGTAAAAAAAAAATTTTTACATTGCAGTTTTTGAAAAGATGATTTTTAAAGATGTTTTCCTTTATATTCCCATGTATTTTCCTTTATATTCCCATGTAAAATGTTATCTCCATTTGTGGTCCCATTCTACCTTGGGGGCCATGATTTGAACAAACTAAAATCTGTACTTACTGGTGTTGCTTGCATATCTAAAATATGATATGATTAATCATTACCTTGCTGTTCTTGAGAAGATTTTTTAAAATCTTAACCATATTTATTCCCATGTAGAACTTTGATCCCTTATCTTATCCTGTGGGTCATGATTTGAACAACTTGAACCTTCACTATCTGAGTAGTAAATTAATACAACTAATAATGGCCTTGTCATTCTTGAGAAGAAAATTTTTTCTTATCTAAGCCTTCTCAAGTCACCAGTTCACAGAATGACTGGCCATGCAAATGAGAGGTATAAATACGGGCTAGTTTTAATACAAAGGAGAAATGGTCAAAAGATGGTCCATGTGTGTATGAAAAATTGAATTAAAGCCAAGATTTCATGCCTTTGAGAGGTAATTCTCCTCCCCCCTCTCTCCGTAACCAAGGTTGATCAGCTCCTGGCGGAAGGACACCTGTCGCCCATTACCACACGATGCTATAAGGTCTACCCTCAGAGTATCTCGCACAGTAGAATACACCTGTAAGGAAAAACTAGTGTTCAAGATAAATGTCACCTGATTTACTCCACAGCAATATCAGAAATCATATAACATGTACATCTATATAATTATATTGGATTTCCTAATGCACTTTCTGCTGAATAATGTAGCTTACTCATAGAATATTATTTACCTTTATAAATAATTTTGAGAGAAATTACAGTGGACTTGCAGAAACTTTCATTGGCCATTGAAACTCTGATGTTGTGCTATATTTTTCAAGAGGTTTCACAATATCATTGTATGTATGTATTTGAATGAGTTTTGATCTTTTGTGTAAAAGCATGACACCTCCAAAACTGACCAATATATATATATATATGGATGACAGGCCTGGACTTAATGATCCCCTCATTTCTGCCTTTGCTGGTGACATAAAAGTGTGTGCATTCACATTTTGTTTGAAATATGTTCATAAATACACGTCCCTTACATTGTGCATAATCTCTTCACATAAAATGTCTCAGTCCCTATCACCTCAAGCAAAATCATAATGTCTGTAGTCTAGTTACTTCTGACGACAGGCACATAGACCACAATGCTCACCTGAGCATTATTAAGCCTGCTATTCTTCAGATGATTTTTAAAAAAGATTTTTATATTCCCATGAAAAATTGTCCTCATATCATGGCCCCACTTTAACTCTGGGGGTCACTAAAGGGATGTTTCAATACCAATATGACTGATCTGGCCTTGCAGATATGAAAAATGAAATTCTTTTTCTGTATATATTCATTATATAAAATTTAATCCCCATTTTAGCCAACTTTAATCCAGGGTCCATAATTTTAAAGAAAAAAAATGAATGCACACAACTTGTGAATGATTCTATTGTGGTTCTTGAGATTTTTAAATTTTTTTTTCTTATATAGTCCAATGTAAAACTTTAATCCCCATACCCCACCCTACCCTTCGGGGGTCATGATTTGAACAATTTAATATCTACATTACATTAGGAAGCTTTCACATTTAAACTTTTTATGTCCTGTGGTTCTTGAGAAGAGGATTTTTTTAAATTCCCCTTTTTATTTTACATTTATTTTATTTTACTTTTTATTTTACTTGTATTTTATTTATTCCCATGTAAAGCTTTGATCTCCTAATGTGGTCCAACCCTATCCCCAAGGGCCATGATTTGAACAATTTAGAGTCTATACTACCTCAGGAACCTTTCACATGAGTTTCATTTCTTTTGGGCCAGTGGTTCTTGAGAGGAATATTTTGGAATCACCCTTAAGGGCTCTCACACCACTTTTTGGGAATGGGGCCGGGGCCGTAAAGATTGGGAAAATGGCAACCTTTTGGGAAATTTTGGGATAACTATTATACTTTAAAATCATGAAATATTGGGTTTCTGGTCTTTGATATCAACTAAATTTTTGTTTTGAAATACAGAGGAATATGAATAGCAAGTTAGTTATTACATATCCAACTATATTTTCTTTAATTTTTGGGAGAAATGCCGATTGGGAAAATTAACACATTCAATTGGGAAGAAAGGGTACCTTTTTTGAATTGGGAATGGGGCCCTTGAACGGCCCCAATTATAGACAATCGAGAGCCCTGCCCTGGTTTTTTTTTTTTGCCTTTCCTTGCTTATCTCCCCTTGGCATGGGGCTTAGCCCTTCATTTGAAAAAATCTAAAGTCTCCTTTGCCCAAGGATGCTTTGTGTCAACTTTGGTTAAAATTGGCCCAGAGGTTCTTTTTAATAAGAAGTTGAAAATGTGAAAAGATTACAAAGAGAGGGATGGATACACAGCTAGACAGATGCTGGACATGAGTGTTCAGAAAAGCTCACTTGAGCTTTGAGCACAGCTGAGCTAGAGCTAAAAAAGTTAGTCACATTGTACTGGTGTGGCATAGTGTCTGTGTATAAACTTAAAACCATATAAAGACATTGTCTGTTTGTTCATTACATGCTATTCAGAGCCACTCTCTACATATCTTATAATATACAACAAAGAAGTAATTCACTCACCTGTCCATATAGACTTTGCTGGTCCACCCAACTTCTAAAGAGGTCTGTGGCTTCTTTTGTCCACCGTCCATCAGGACACTTCCGCACAGAGGGACGGAGTTCACACAGAAAACATTCCACAGCCTGTTAATTACTCATGATAGTTTTTTTCTTTTCTCATTGCATAAATTATTAAATATTTACATCCACTGAATATTTTCTACTTTATTTCTTATGAAACTCACTGCCCTTATTCAATCCATGAACTCAACTAGTTAAAAGGGGTTTTCAAAAGTCACTTTTTGAAATTCTTAAGCAAAGGATTCTTCCTTCAGTGAGACATACCATGATGTACAGATCAATAATTCAATATTTTACATACTTAAACCTATTTTATACGATTATTTATACAGACATAAATACAAAAACAATAAAATGGTTTCTTTGTTTGATAATGCAGGATTAATGGTTGCAACCATTGCAGAAAAAATCTACATAACCCGCAAAAACACAACTCGCTTACACAGGTTATGTATTTTCTGCATCAATTCCTGCACTAACAAACAAAGAATTTTTTGTTTAAATTAATATACTATGACTAAACATATACAACACTTAGCAAATGTAAGGACATTCACTTAGTACGTTTACCATTAAAATTTTTCACAGTACAATAATAAGGCAAAATGAACTATCCATACTTTTGAAGTTACAGTAAAACAAGCTTAAAGCAGTGCCTGGGACAAACAGTTTTAAATTGTTATTAACATAAGTTAAATCTGTTAAGTTCACATGTTTCAAAACTATAGGAAATGAAAATCACTTCACTATAAGGGTGACTTCATCATAAGCATGTTTGTTATAATCATGTTTTACTGTATACACTCTCACTTATTATGTTTTGTCCATTGTTTTATCAATTATTACTCACCTGAAATGGAATGTGAGTGATGGATTGAGGACAAACTCTTAGTGCTGCCTTATCAACTGTTTCAGTGTTTCCATAATCAACAAAAAACACCTGTATTAAGAATAACACTGTAGAAGCACAAATTTTCATGGAGTTAAAATTTTGTTGATTTCTCAACTAGAATGGTTTCGTTGGCATTTGATTTTGTTGTTTAGAAAGTAACCCGTTTAATGTATAGTAATATGAAAATTTCTTGTGGGATTTAATTTCACTGATAATTTTTAACAACGAAATAAATAGAATTTAATCCCCAACAAATATTTCTGCTTTTACAGTATACAATAATCTAAATTGTAAGATTTGTTTGGAATCACTAAAAATTTCTGAACTTGTATCTTTCATGTCTAGAGCCTACGAAATTATTTATTCCATTAAACTTAAACTTATTCCAATAAACTTAGCACTGATTTGTCTAAACTGACCGTAACAACATCAATCCATCTCTCCTGTCGTTTTTGTCGGTCAAAGCTGTTGATCCTTGCCCGATAATACTGAGTCTCCCCCTGCTCAGTGTATGGAGCAGCCACCAACTGACCAACACCGAAGGCATTTACCATCTACAATATCCAAAGACACAGCATGAGAAGGATAGGAGAATTGTTCTACATTACAAGCATTCATAAAGTAGTTTAAATTTGTATTTCAAATGTCCTCATGAAAGTCCCTACCACTTTTTTTATGCATTCTAATCTCAATATCTCGAACCTCCCCGACATCTCAAAGTTTTTTTTCCCTGGTTCCTTAATGATATGTTGGGTTTTGTTGTCAGGGTTTGACACTAATGCTAATATTTACATGTAAGTCATGCACATGCACTAGTGAAAAATACAGTTTGACAACAAACTTTGAGTACATGTAGTACACTCGACTAATCATAAAATGTAGAATATTCACTACATTCACAGAAATAAAAGTTCCACGAATTCAACATCGAGTGAATAATTCTTTAAAAAATGATAAGGATAAATTGAAATATCAATGTTATGTGTGATTAGATTCGTTAACTCTGTCTGTGTTTCCTTGCAAAAACAAGAGGCCCAAGGGCCTTAACGGTCACCTGAGTATAATACAACAATTTAGAAGTTAAATACACTGATAGATGAAGCATTGTTGCCCTAAAGCAAGAGAAGTAGGAAGATCAGGATCAACAAAATAATTAGTCTAGTATTCAGTATCAACTCATAAATTAAGTTCTAATCTGTCCCCCACTTAACACTATCACCATGCAGACTATTAACAAACTATTAGTGCTTCTGTACTGTTTTTAAACCCATATTAAGACCTCTAGCATTGACCTCTCTTATGGTCTTCGAAGAACTTTTAATAAGATAAGTTATTTTTGTCTCATTTTTATTTATCTATTACTTACAGGTCTACCTGATTACTAAAACTAAGAAAGTACTTTTTTAATTATACAATAAACATTCTTGCATAATTATCTTATTCTATTAACCTTTCAAATACATTATTTACAGTGATTAATTATCAAAGATGAATGGAAAAGGGGAATAACTTCTCTCAGTAGAATACAAATTAATAGAGCCCTGCCCAGGACCAGAATGCTTAGACGAATGGTCCAGATGTTTAAAAATCTGGTAGAAATACGCTTACTCATATCATTTAAACTTTTACTCAGTTTGCTTCCGATATGCCCAGAAGCAGAGAAGAATTTCACAGGTACAATGCATTTCACTACAGATTCAACAAAGCCTTACCCTAACACCAGAACCCAAGACCAAGGGTCAAGAAATTTACAAATTTGGAAGAGTTACCCTCATCATCATAACTATGGACTTCAAAGAATTAACACTTTTCCACTATATTATCAAAAGCCCCCCCCCCCCCCCTCGTTATGCTAGAACCCCCGACCCTAGGACCACAAGATTTAAAAATTCTGTTCGAAGCACCCATTTTCATCACAGCTAAGCAATTTATTTATCAGCTCAACACTATTCTAAGGAGCAGACAGGATTAATTAATGATTAATTAATAGAATTAATGCTTTTTCACTATATAATCAATAGAGCCCCCTCCCCCCCCTCCTCAAGAACCCCAAAAACTGAGACCATATATTTAAAAATTTTGGAAGAGGCATCCTTGTCTATCATAATCATGCACTTAGTTTGTTTAAATAATCTCCAGTAGCAGAGAAAAAGATTTTCAAAGAATCAATGAATTTTCACTATATAATCAATAGAGCCCCGCCCTAACACCAGAACCCCTGACCCTGGGGCCATGAAATTCACAATTTTTGAAAAGGCATCCTTATGCATCATAACCATGCACTTAGTTTGTTTAAATAATACCCAGGAGCAGAGAAGAAGATTTTCAAAGAATTAATGCTTTTTCACTATATAATCAATAGAGCCCCGCCCTTACACCAGAACCCCTGACCCTGGGGCCATGAATTTCACAATTTTGGAAGAGGCACTCTTGCTCATCATAACTATGTACTTTAGTAACTTTATTTAATACCCAGGAGCAGAGAAGAAGATTTTTAAAGATTGCATTATTTTTTGTGGTTTTAGCCCCACCCCTCAGGCCCCCGGGGGGGGGGGGGGGGGGGGGGGCAGGCACCATGAATTTCACAATTTTTGTTCCCCTTCACCCATAGATGCTATATACCAAATTTGGTTGAAATTGGTTGAGCGGTTCTAGAGAAGAAGTTAAAAATGTTCAAAAGTTAACGCATGATGGACGACGCACGACGACGGACAAAAACAGATAGCAATAGGTCACCTGAGTGACTCAGGTGACCTAATAAAAGCAGTAATTAATATAGCGGAAATGTAGACTTTCTTCCTAATTATGCAGGTATCAGGATCAATCACTAATATGTAGTTGTTGCGGTTTTTAAAGCTTAATTGATAAATAAACTATCACTAACATTTAATACTATCGCCCAGTAGAGGTACGATGTAATTACAGTCAAACCTGTATTAAGCAGTCACCTGCGGGAACCATTAAAAGTGACCTTTATAGAGAGGTGACCTTTGAAAAGAGGTTCATCTTTTTTCAAGAAAAATTCTTTTCCAATTTATGTAAGTTCTGTGTTTTAAAATACTACATCATAGAATATTAAAGAAAGATGTGTTTTGGACATCGATGGTCTCAGTAAGATTTTTTTTTTAATTTAAATAGTCTCAAGATTAAGTTCAAGATAAATTTGATGACTCCAACAAAAAAATATGGTGAGTGTAATAGGGCATTGCATTATCCCCCCTCCAAACAACAACAAAACTTTCTTTTATTATAAGATTACATTATCATGTGCCATGAATAAAATATAATGTATTTTTTTAATCTAAACTGCCTCTAAAAAAACAAGTTTAGTTAGTCCTGATTATTGTATGTTTAATAATACCTAAATAGTAGCGTAATTAACAGACAAGTCATTTTATTCTCAGTTTATCGAAGCAGTGCATAATACAAATTAATATCAAATTCACAGGTGTTGTGAGCAATGAAGTGTGAGTAATTCTAACAGTTGTCTTAGCTAGCTGAAAATCACAAGATAATCAGGACACATTGAGTATACAAAACAGTTAATTAGGGTTTCTACAAATTATACGTTTCCTATGTGTAAAAAACGACCTGTCATGCGTTTACACAATTAAACCTATCGGAGCAGCTGGGCATGCCAAACGTGAACTAATAATTAGGAAACACCTAATTATTGTATCCATTAATAGATAAATAAGGATGCCTAGTGTATCACTCAGAATTTTCTAAACCAGATTCCAATTCAATAAGATTAAGATTCTCGTAAGTCCGTTTTCCTGATAAATTTTTCGGTCACTAGCACCCTTGTTTAGTTTTGTTAAAAAAATAAATAAATTATCCAATATTTTAAATGGTTTTAATAAGGCCAATTATTTTTTCCATGATATCGCTACACAAGACCAATTATTTATATCAGTGACAAAAATTGGGAGTCACCTGACTTTAGATCTGGTCACGTGATCAGACAAAATGGCCGCTATATACGAGGTAAAACGGTGATTTTACATGAAATTTGATGACCACTGACCGCTTAATATAGTTACATTATATAGGAAAATTCATTGGGAGAAAATAAAATGACCGCATATGACAGGTGACCGCCGGATAAAGGTGACCGCTATGACAAGTTTGACTGTACCTATAAAACATACATTGCTAATTTTCATCCGTGGGTATCACTCAGTCTTATTACCTTTAAACGAGGCACTTATGTATTAAAGACAATACTTTTACACATTAATTCAATCATATTTTGACTACTGGTACTACAAATGCTTTAGATTCAGAGGAATTTAAATATACTGCTGTAAATACTACTACTCTGTACTCAATTCAAAACATACCTATAAACGAACACCTTCCAAATGGCATTTTTTACATGAACATTAATAGGTTTGGATGTGACTTAAAATCACTTGGGCTTAGACTCAAATGTATTTCAAAAATACTTATTAAAAAAGAAAGAAAAAACAAGGGAAAGAAAGAAAAAGAAAATTTATCTGAATTGGTAACATCTTGACTTCAAATCAGCTAGGATTGGTCCTGTGTTTCGTTATATTTTATAGGGTTCAGAATGGACAAAGGAAAATATTACAGTGCTGAGTTTTAGTTTTTAGTTTTGCAAATTCAAACGACGGCAATTTTCTACAAATTGAACAAATCGCGATCTTTTCCGACCACAATTTTAACCTGCTATGCAGTAGTTCTTTTTTTGCCTTCATTTTATACAGTCAAACTTTGTTACCTTAAACTTTAATTAAGAAAGATCCAGGTTTACAACGAAACACAACATATCATTAATTAAGGCACATCCAGACTTACAGAGAGATTTCTGCTATTCAGGATGCCTTGAACTTGATTCAGTTCTTCAAAGTTCTGGTTTTCGTTGTATTGGGCCCAGAAATGTCCACATTCTACAACCTGCACAAGAAAATCATTTCATTACCTCTCCTTTCAAACAATTTTTTTCTATTTATCTTTCCCAAATGCCATTTCAAACTCTTTTATAATATTTTGCTGAGATAATATACAAGTCTTGTTTCATCTTTTCTCATATCAAGTTATGTCAAAGTGTCATATTCTATGACTCCAATGGTCAATTTTCCCTGAAAGCTGTGAATAAATCAAATTGCAAGTTTGGTACCCCAAAAAAGACTCTTAAAAGTTTCAAGTACCTGAAGTTGCTCAAAAATTTCTAACCTGGATACAAGACTTACACTGGTCATGGAGGCTGGGGGGTGGATTTATTGTGTATGTTTTGGATACCAGACTAACACCAGTTATGGGGGGGGGGGGGGGGGGGGCAGATATGTAGATTTTGGATACCAAACTCACACCAGTTATGAGGGGGATATTTATTGTGTAGATTTTGGATACCAGACTCACACCAGTTATGGGGGGGGGGGGGCATTTATTGTGTAGATTTTAGATACCACGCTTACACTGGTTATTGGGGGGGGGGATTTATTGTGTAGATTTTGGAAACCAGACTCACACCAGTTATGAGGGGAGATATTTATTATGTATATTTTGGATACCACACTTACACTGGTTATGAGGGGGACATTTATTGTGTAAATTTTGGATATCACACTTACACTGGTTATGGGGGGCATTTATTGGGACATGTATTGTGTATATTTTGGAAACCACAGTTAAATTGTTGTGAGAGGCGACATTTATTGTGTATATTAACAGTGGTTATGAGGGGGACATTATTGTGTAGATTTTGGATATCACACTTACACTGGTTGGGGGGGGGGGGGGGGGGGCATTTATTGTGTTTGTTTCAAATATCAAACTTACACTGGTTATGGAGGGGGTGTTATTGCATATATTTTGGATACCAGACTTGCACTCCTTATGAGAGGGGATATTTATTGTGTAGATTTTGGATACTACACTTACACTAGTTAAGAGGGAGGACATTTATCATGTAGACTTTGGATATATATCACACTTACACTGGTTATGAGAAGGGACACATATTGCACAGAGTTGTCTGGTAATGAGACCTGTGTCCTCTGGTCTCCAGATCCATCTTGACGGTTGGATCTCAATCTTCCTTTAGCAGCTCCCTGGTGTCTCTGGATTTCCTGCAGTAACCTGTGGGCTTCGTCTGATGAAAGCTGATCGATGGTGATGGACTGTCTCAGTTGTCTGTAAAACAAGGATACACAGAAGTACACATGATGCAGTATGTGACAACATTCATAACAATTCACAAATGAAATAAAGCAAGCTGACATACTGTTCTTTGGAGCAATATTTAAATTAAAAATTCTGCATAAATCAACTTCTCTTCTTATTTATGAAACATCAATTTGAATGATTTATACCAGTCAATACGCATGTGAGTTAAGGCTAGGTATAGGCGTTTTTATGCAAATGAGCTAATAAAAACGCACAAGAAGTATATTTATCATTCAGATAAAGTTTTGATTTATTTTCTTATGCATACTTAATACCCACGATATGTTAAAGCCAGTACACATTATGATGTCATATTATGACGTCACTGATCTTACCTACTGGAGGTAATAAAATACATCAACAAAACAGCTTCTGCACAAGGGATTACCCTATTTATTTTTACATAAAAATTGTATAATTCTAAGAAGAATATTCTATAGATTAATAAAACTACTGCACAAATCCTAGGCATTTTCTCATTTAATTGGAACTTGAGGAAACTTATACCAGACTGTACATTTTTACCCTTATTCAACTTAAGACTGTGCAAAGAGAAATTATACAACTGAGCTGTTGAAATTTGTGCAGCAATACCAGCAAACTTTGGAATATTTTGCTTCTAAATATACCTTGTTTCAGTTAAATAAAATAGAGCATGCCCTTGCGCCGAAGTATTTTTGTTGATGTCCATTATAATCTTGTGTAGTAAAGAACAATGATGTCATAATATGACATCATAATGTGTACTGGCTATCTCATGTCGTGGGTACCAAGTATGTATTATGCAATAAGTTTTAGCTTTCTCTGTATAATAGATATAGTCCTAAGGCATTTTAATTAGATTATTTGCATAGAAATGCCTATACCTAGCCTTAACTCACCTGAGTATAACTTTACCTTAGCTTGACAGCCATATGCACCCCAGGATGGACACGGCCCCTGTATTCAGGCTTCCACTGGAAACTGATGTATGCTCTACAATATCAGATAAAACCATTAAAAATAACTAATCAAAATATTGGAATAAATCATAATAAACCAAACTTTAGTGACTTCTATTTAATTATATTCAATACTTGGTTTCTTCAAAGAAGGCTTCAGGGTTAAAGCCAACATTCCTGAATTGATCCTCTACAGCTTCCTTGTAAAGCAGACCCTGATTGGCTGGCAAACCCTTCACCTAAAAAAAAAAAAAAAAAAAAAACTCTCCTTATTTTCAAATTGTGATAATTCCTAAAATTACCTATTTTTTTAGGAGCTAAAAGACCTTTTCATTATTTTAAAATAAGTCTAAAAATATTGGTAATAATCAACAACACAGTAGGTTTTATTATGTTACCATGACAGTGTTAAGTGGGTCATGTCCAGACATTTCTCTGAGGGCACTCTCTTCATCCACTGGGTCCTTTAGGAAGTAGTTAGGGTAGAAAGCACCACACATCACCAACTGTACAAAAGTCAGTGATGATTACATGCACGTGACAAATGTTTCAAAGGTATTCATACACATGTAACTCTAATACACTGAAATACCATGGAATAGTTTTTTTTGTCATGTTCACAGCATTAATTCTTTGAAAACTTATATAAAAATAAACTTGGCACCTTAAGTAGGAGTCTTTCTTGGTCATCACTGAAATGATTTTTATAATTAGGGCGATGTCCTGGCTTGCTTATGTTAAACTGTTGCAGTCTCTGTTCCAATTCCTTCACAAGCTCAGCAATCTGAAATTGTACACTATCAGATGCAAAATTCCTATGAACCACTGAAAGGTATCTTTTAAATCTTAAAAGTATTAAAAAAAATATTTTTCTTTTTTTTTTTTTTTAATTCTACATTTCTAACATTCAAAAATCTCTGATGTTAATATTGCTACAAGTTCTATTTATACAGAGTAAACAAGCAGTTATTCTTGATCATCTTTACCTTGGTTAGCAGGCAATGTGTGTGGCTTAATTTTTTTATGTTTTGATTTTATGCTTTGAAGGTTGCACGCTTTTAAATTTTGACTTTTCCAACAACTGAAATTTTGGTCACAAAGCAATTAATACAATGTACAGTTGAATATGGTATCTTTAACACTGATATCTTGGATACCATGGATATGTCAAAGTGATTTGGAAACCCCAACCACTTATTCTTTAAGTATTTTACCCTTGATATCTCGAATCCTCAGATATCTCAAAGTTTTATCTAAATCCCATGGAGTTTGAGATAACAAGGTTTGACTGTAGTATACAAAGGAAATGAAAATATCTTGTGATGGTATTTTTATGATTTTGACTGAAGTGCAAATTTCTGCCAAAAAGTAGATCCCTCAAAATTAACCTGCTAAACTGCATTAAACTCACAAGAAAAGTGATGATATTCCTTACCTCCCTAATTCTCCTTTGTTGTAGGAAGTGTCTCTTACACCATTCCCTCTCTGACACACCTCTTCTAAACTCACCCATGTTTTTACGAGCTTCATATTCCTATAGCACAAACCATTTCTATTACCAACATTACATGTATGAAGATATACTCAGAGATCATTTTTTAAGATTAGCTAGGATAATGGTTATTGGTAAACAATTATACTTAGGATGAACAAATACAAGTAAGAAAAATGACAAAACATTATTTTCTAAAAACTCAGAGAAAATTCATACAATGAAATTAACAGCAACATTTATCCTCTAATGGAATGCATTTAATTCATATGAATTACATGTACCTTGAAGGCATTCAAAATGGCCAGACTATCACTTTGGGATCCCCTTGACCAGTCTAGTTTGTGTCTGTAATGTATCATTCAAATGAACTGATAGAATGGCACTGATATAAAAAAAAATCTGTATAAAGTTATATGTAGAAGGACTACTATTAGCATAATAAATATATATTTTACTTTAAGACAGGAATTCTAGAGAGATATCTATTTAAAGACTTATTACTTGTATTTCTATTACCTGTAGGAATCTAAATGAGCTTTGTAAGGTTTGGAGAACAAAGATTTCAAAGACATTGCAGCACCTGTCAAATTATTCATATTTACATTTAATATCTGTGATTCGAAAGAATAAGCTGCAATATTGTAAGACCTAATGTGATGTAATATATATAATTTTGACAACATTCAGCTCTGCCATTGTACTGTATTCTATTGTGTACTTTATGATTGCATCTTTGCAGAAACATTATTTCAATTGTTTGTAAGACAGTTTCTGTTTTTAAAAACATGTTATGTATTTATCCTATTTATAGCACATGCTGATATGTGAATAATCTATTTTCTAATTTAATTCTGTATCTCATGAATTCGGTCACATACCTTTTAAAACTACATGTTTTCTTGTCATTATTCATGAACTGGGGGTGAGATGTTATAATCTTAAAGAACTGTAATAGCGCGATTTATTTGTTCTGGATACTCTTGTATGCATCCCGCTGCCATCTTTGTTGATGTGACGTACATACTAGGCAGAGTTTCGCATTTTGTATCTCTGTGATTTTATTGATTGTTTATTATTTGAAATAACTCAAATTATTGCTAGAATAATTGTTACAAACTATTTATTATAATCAGGCAGTCATTTGTACATTTAATAGCTTATCATTGTGCTCGTATTTGAAAGTACTTAGTTGACATCGTCTGCTATACGATTCAATGTTTTTATGACAATTATACATATTTCTAGGAACTGAATATTTACTTACAGATTAGGACAACATCCAGCATAGTCATATTAATTTAATCCATGTGTATTTGTTAAATCACAGCTTGTTTTTAATTATTTATTCTTTGTGTACGGCAAACTTGTTTGGCACTGTACGGCAAATCTCATGTTGTGCGGTGCCATACATTGCCACGACTGGTCGAATGTCACCGTACAATTATTTCATTCGTTAAGCCCTATCACGTGGTATCTCAGAAAGTCTATATATATGAGTCGATCAGCCAATAATGGCAGATAATCTTGTCTAAGTTCCCTTAGCGCTAAATTCAAATTCCAGCTTTCCATCAACCAGTATTAGGTGAGAATTAATTAAGACAATTATCTCCCAACACACTGGACACCTATTAATTATTTGAAAACATTATTATTAATTACTATTTAATATTTGAGTTGACGGTCACCTTGGTGCCCCGCCCCCTTTTTACCATAGCCCTGTACGGTAGACGCCACCGACCAAACTCATGTTTTATAGGCCTACCTGATGTTGTTATTGCTGAAATGTGCTTATAAATAAATTATTATTGTTACCTTTGAGAAACTCTCGTTCTGTTTACAATACTGAAGTTAACCAAGACTGAAGTACCACCGTACTTGTGTGTGTACAGTGTAATGTTATATTTTGTAACCCCCATTTATGAAAGGCCATCCGTGGGGAGCTTACAATATTAAAAGTATAAAGTAAATCTTGTCTTATCCAGATGTTGTGTATTCTAAAATCTTCCCTATTCTGTTCAAAAATTTCCAGTCCCTTTCAGTAAATTCAATAGTTTAAAATGTTGTCTAATCTGGAATGTTGTCTAATTCATTCAATTTCTTTGGAACCAGTTGTGTCTGTATTATACAAATTTTACTGTACACACAAATATATTGCAACGGTTCAAACTGTTCTGTAAATAACGTGAAATGCACTTTGTACCTTTTAACCTGATTTCTGCTATTTATAGTTTCTGTCCTTGTGCCAGGTATTTCATTTTATTTAGAGATTATGTTAATGAAAACTATTTATTCAGTTGCTTCTCAGTGCAGTGATTTAAATTTATCCAATTATTATTTGACAAGTAAATCTTTAAGAAATAAACTGTTTAACAAGTATACGTATAGACATTCACTGTGCTGACGCCCTTTGACATAACTGAATGTGTACCTGTTGGAGAGCGACGCGTGTTATTTTTCTATGGTAAGAATGTGTTATTCTCATGTTTTATGAAATCTGAAACATCCCAAATATTATAACTTTTAACATGAGATAATAAGTACCGGTATCTTCTTTGTCTGAGGACCACACACGCAGTAATAATTAAAAATGACTAGGTGTGGCACCGACATACATGTATTTTGGGGTATGTTTGTTTGATTTAATTTGAATGTACATACTGATGAATTCTTCTTTTATTTGTATTTTTGTGTTCTATTGGTAAAGTGAGCATGTATTATTTTCGTTTGTAGCTCATTGTCAATTTGATAATTTAATAAAATTTAAAATAAAGAACCTTAAAGAAAACAGACTTTTGTCGTTACAATATTTTCATTTGCTTAGTTAACTCTCTGTTTAACTCCAAGTAGACTCTGTATTGCCACTCAATTATTCAACATTATTGAAAAGACACACAATGCAATTATACATTTTACAATCATGATACATATCCCAAGCAGGTTTAAGTATTACCAATAATAAGGCATTCCTCCAGCACTCCAAATACATGTCCATAGATGAGTAACTTCCCGATCTTGATGTCCACCGGAAGGTCTGCCAACACATGACCAATAAACGTCAACTGACCATCATGACGATTTCCCTCCCCAGTAGCAGGGGTAGATAAGGCACCAACCTGTTAATATATATATATATATATATATATATATATATATATATATATATATATATATATATATATATATATATATATATATATATATATATATATATATATATAGCAAAACAGAACTGTATCTCATACTAATGATTGCTGTATCTTAATAAGTGAATATCAAAGAATTGTTAATTTGTATCAAAGTACATATACCATACAATCAATAATTCAAACAAACCTCTTTCAGCAGTAAGATAGTTTTCTCAATATCATCCAGATTAGGGGGCTCTAGAGCCAGGGCTAACAGTGCTTTAGGTTCTCCCATGTTGAAAACTTTGGCTTGTAGCACAAGCTTCTCTAGTGGACATCGCTAAAATCAAAGAGCAAAAATATTAAACATAATTAAAGTACTTAATATTCTACATGTATCTCAGAAATGAAACATTTATCTAATTTCTATAATACCTGCATCTCTGGAATTCCATAACTAGGAATGAATGATTCATAAAAGTTTCTAGTCACCATACGGTAGACACGCCCATTTGACACACGACCAGCTCGACCTGCAATCCAATGCATTTATTTAGACGTACAATGAAAAACTCATAAAAATTACAACTGGGCTGATTTCCATAGAAACACTAACTAAAAAAAGATCTTTAGAGAATAGTCTGAATTTTTGGGGGCAAAAAAAGTCCCAGTATATCCACTGTAGGCTTTATTTCATATAAACAGAACTACCGTATATACTCGCCTATAAGTCGGTTTTTTTGGAGTTAATTTTTGGTCCAAAACTCTATGTCCGACTTATAGGCGAGTCATCAAAAGCTTGGTATTTTTCTAGACGACGAAATGTAGTATTTTTAACATACATGTAACTTCGATGATTATCGTTGAGAAATGTCTGGACGTATTAATTTATTTATGTATTCTAAGATTATATATAAAGTGCAAGTATTTACACGTTTTAATGATTTTATTTTGATCTTAAGTTATGTTATTTATTTGATTAATTATAAACAAAAATATTTCTTTAATTAACTCATGACTTACTGTAAATCAATCGTTTGTCGGTAAAATTGAATTGCGAACCCGATATACCGGTAATACATGTACGTTCTGCATTAATGTATAATTATATGTACCGTCTGCAATGTTTTTGACAACAGAAATAATATTATTAAAAAATAATTCAGAATATTATTCTGGGGCTATTAAAACTCGATTGTTTATGAAAATGCTTCCCATGTGTAGTACACGATTTTCTCGGGGCGCGTGCCACTAAATAAACACGGTGTCAGGTAAGGGATACAGGTAATTAAGAGACAATAATTGCTAATAAAAGATCAAACATAGCGTTATTAAAAACTATAGATATGGCTTGGACATTGAGCACCTCCTAATTAAATATCATCAAAATGTTACTAGCCTCGTTACATAGTTCTTCACCATGCCAAAGAGACCGAGATCCGCCTATGATCGAGATAGGTGTATAAAATATACAAGACAAGGAATTTAACGCTTAAACAAAACAGTATAAAAAAGAAAACTAAAATGGTAGTGGTTTGGTTTGTTGAAAAATAAAAATACTAATTACCGATGTCATATCCTAACATATTATTTGAACACAGGTAAATACATTAGAGTATTAACATGAAATGTATAAGAGAAGACAAAAGAGAGATAAAATATCGGCGTAATTTCTCAAAATATTATTTGAAACACATGTTAAAACATTAGAGCATTGATTTGAAATTGTCCACCAATCTTGGCAAAAAGTTGTACCGACTTATAGGTGGGTCAATGGCAAATACCTCCAAAATAACCTCAAAAAACACAACCGACTTATAGGCGGACCGACTTATAGGCTAGTATATACGGTAGCACTGTCCTAATGGGATTAACACCCAGTGTGCGACAACTTAAGAAAGGTATACCTCCCCTGCTCGTCCCATACAGAGTTTGCCTTTTAAAATTTCTGAAATTTTGATATTCTTTTAGAATTAACATTTCTGAGACTCTCAAATTCTGAAACTTCTGAACCCTGTGATCTTATCTAAATGGCCTATGTTTGCGGTCACTGCATATCCTATAATAATCAAGTATGATCTTAAGTTTTTCTATTATAAATTATGGCATAGACAGGAATTTACATTTCTAAAGGTTTCTATTTCAAAATTATGTTTTTAGAGAATAATTTTACACTTCAAACTCATCTAAATGACAATGATGCAGGGTTATTTTACAAACTCTTAACACAAACAACCTAAGTGCTTTATAATCTTCTAATGCTTCTGCACTTTAATCGCCAAAGAAAATTTTTTACACTTCTGTAAACTGTGACCTTGAACTTGTCCAAATTATCCTGGTTAGGGCCAGGACATACCCTTGTGTTACAAGGAATCTTTGTCTCAAACATTAACTTTTAAATGTTTCTTCATTTTAAAGCTGTATTTTTACTGTGACATTGAACTCCTCAAAATAGAATTGGTAAAGCATTAGGTAGGTTATGCTAATTCTTTAATATAAATTTGTTCCAATTATCTTCACAATAGGACTATACATGACTGTTTATTAGATCAAAACAAATGAAATGCAGTGATATTTATTGATATGTATACACAAGGTGGGCCCATCATCTGCACATGAGGCAAGCTTTGCCATGCTTACTATGTACGTTAATTTTAGAAGATACATTAGTAAATACCATTGAAACACTCCCGAGTCATGGTACATTTAATTTACAAAATCTTTCAAGAACGTAGGATTCTAATAAGTTAAAGATATATAATAAGATTGATACATCGCCGTTGTTTTATAACACGAACTAACCTGTGACCACGTTGTGGGCGTAAAATCAGAGAACAAAAGCCGCCGTTCATAAAAATGGATTTTGATGAAATTGTATTTTATAAAGTTGATGAATGATTAAAAAAAAAACATATTTGAATAATATTATTGAAAAAACTTTTCAGTTGACACGACTTAAGAGGGTCGGTCGCGTTAGTTGAAACAAAGGTATTTTTTATTTTGGCCTGATATATTTTTTGTGTTACCTTTTCTCTGGATACAGTTGGCTTTAGAGGCCCATTCCACCTGCAGGCTAGTGTAGTTTGTGTCAGGGTCACTGATTAAATTCTTTGTCAAACAGAAATCTATCACTGTAAACAGAACATTACAAGAAAATGGTTAAAGTGTAAGAAACTGAAAGTAAAAAGTAAAAGCCTGAAGTAATTAACTACAGACATCTGATGTTATAAAATTTGTCTTCAATATGAAAAAAATGTTGCTGCACTACTTATACTCACCATATCTAATATCGGGAACTGTTATTGAACTTTCAGCAATGTTTGTAGATAGGATAACCTACGATAAAATAATACAATATCCTTATTTCTCTCAAGACTACTCACTTATTACACTATACTAATCTGAAACTCTTCTGAAATGCAATAAAATCAATTTTGTAATGTACATATTCCAACCTTTCTTTGACCATTTTCTGGCATATCAAAGACCCTAGTCTGCTCTTCTACAGTAATTGTGGAATGTAAAGGAATAATCTTCAAACTAAAATGAGTCAATTTTTTTTAATTAATCAAAGCTTACTATAACTGCACAATGTAAGTGTGAATTTAATAGGCTATAAAAATTTATCAGAACTGAAGGCAAAAACCATACTTACAAGAAGCCATATACATGTAGTGTAGTTATATATGTTTTTTTTTCCAAATCTTTTCAGCTTTTTCTTTTCATGAGGAGATGTACTTATTTCAAGACAATATCAGTATAACTCACTTGTTCCTTGCCAAAGGCATCAGATAGTCATGCATATCATCAATCTCCACCATACCTTAACAAAGAAGAAACCAGGTATTTCACATAACCTTATAATTGTGCTTAAACTTATAATAAATAAACTTATATAACTTATAAATAATAATAAATAGAACAATTGTAAAACAGGTTTCAGTGCACATTTCTAAATGTTAACATCAAAAGTCTGACTTACCGGGAAGAAACACAAGCACAGTCCCTCGGTACTTGGCGTAATTCCTTTCCTCAAATTTTCTACAACAAACATCAAATTGTGATATTATAAATACACATATATTATCAATAAATCAGCAAGGATAGTGGTAATCTATTAAATATTAATTTCTTCATGAAGCATCCAAATTGAAATTTTGGTTTTTGTAAATTTTACCAATTTTAGGAAGAATCAAGAGCACTATAAAAGAGTTCTTTACAAACTCTAAAGTATATTCTAGAGAATTTTATTGTATATACATGTATAAAGAAACTACATAAAACAATACACACAAAAAAGAACAAGAGGCCCATGGGCCACAACACTCACCTGAGTAACTTTGGCCCTTCTGTTCTTCACCTAATTTCCTACCTTGTAATACCTATTGTGGCCCAGCCCCCCCCCCCCCCCCCCCCCCCCCGGGTCATGATATGAACAATTTAAAATCTACACTACTCCAGGATGCTTCCACATAAGTTTCAGCTTTTCTGGCCCAGTGGTTCTTGAGAAGAAGATTTTTCCTATATATTTCAATGTAAAACTTGGATTCCGTATTGTGCCCACCCCCGGCGGTCAAGATTTGAACAATTTAGAACCTACACTACCCTAGGATGCTTCCACATAAGTTTCAGCTTTTCTGGCCTAGTGCTTCTTGAGAAGAAGATTTTTAAAGATTTTTACAACATATTTCAATGTAAAACTTGAATTCTCTATTGTGGCACCGCCCTACCCCCGGGGGTCATGATTTGAATAATTTAGAATCTACACTACCCCAGGATGCTTCCACATAAGTTTCAGCTTTTCTGGCCTAGTGGTTCTTGAAGATTTTTAAAGATTTTTACAACACATTTCAATGTAAAACTTGGATTCCCTATTGTGGCCCCGCCCTACCCCCGGGGGTCATGATTTGAACAATTTAGAATCTACACTATCCCAGGATGCTTCCACATAAGTTTCAGCTTTTCTGGCCTAGTGGTTCTTGAGAAGAAGATTTTTAAAGATATTTTCTACATATTTCAATGTAAAACTTTAATTCCCTATTGTGGCCCCGCCCTACCCCGGGGGGTCATGATTTGAACAATTTAGAATCTACACTATCCCAGGATGCTTCCACATACGTTTCAGTTTTTCTGGCCTAGTGGTTCTTGAGAAGAAGATTTTTAAAGATTTTTACTACATATTTCCATGTAAAAATTGGATTCCCTATTGTGGCCCCGCCCTACCCTCGGGGGTCATGATTTGAATAATTTAGAATCTACACTATCCCAGGATGCTTCCACATAAGTTTCAGCTTTTCTGGCCTAGTGCTTCTTGAGAAGAAGATTTTTAAAGATATTTGCTACATATTTCAATGTAAAACTTGCATTCCCTATTGTGGCCCCGCCCTACCCCCGGGGGTCATGATTTGAACAATTTAGAATCTACACTACCCAACGATGCTTCCACATAAGTTTCAGCTTTTCTGGCCTAGTGGTTCTTGAGAAGAAGATTTTTAAAGATTTTTACAACATATTTCAATGTAAAAATTGGATTCCCTATTGTGGCCCTGCCCTACCCCCGGGGGTCATGATTTGAACAATTTAGAATCTACACTACCCCAGGATGCTTCCACATAAGTTTCAGCTTTTCTGGCCCAGTGGTTCTTGAGAAGAAGATTTTTTAAAGACTCCATCCAATTTTTGTCTTTTCTTGATTATCTCCCCTTTGAAGGGGACTTGGCCCTTCATTTTAACAATTTAAACTCCCCTTTACCCATGGATGCTTTGTACCAAGTTTGGTTAAAATTGGCCCAGTGGTTCTTGAGAAGAAGTTGAAAATGTGAAAAGTTTACAGACGGATGGACGGACAGACGGACGGACGGACGGACGACGGACAACGGGTGATCAGAAAAGCTCACTTGAGCTTTCAGTTCAGGTGAGCTACAAACCAACTGACATACCCTTGTACCATAATTTCCATTTTGTCAAATTCTTCAATCAAGCGAGCTGCCAGTGCATAGGCTTCCTTTGATATTGTAGCATCATATGGATCTAATGGAGGAATCTATTAATTATATCAACATTGTAATGTAAACTTTACCATGAATACAGAGCATGTAAATCTACTTCAATATGAATATCATAAAAATTAACAGAAATATCAACAAGAAGCCTAACTAGTAACACTGTTCTAACAACTAGCAAAGGTAGAAAATCAAAGTACAAGTATGTGGAGGTTCAAAGTGCATCAGCTAACCTAGGCTAAGTAGTGTGCTATTGAGTTATCATACAAAGAAATATTGGGAAAATATGAAGAAAAAAAAAAAAAAAAAAAAAAAAAAAAAAAATGGAGCTATCTTAACATACTTTGGATTGTAAAAATCTTTATTCTTTAGATATGACACACATTCCGAAAAAATTATATAAACACAGCACAAGTAACCTTAGCATTGGCTCTTTAAACCCTCACCTTACTAGAACTAAAAATGCATCTTCTAAGGTAATGCAAATCAAATGCTATCCACAACTATCACCCAGTCTATCCAACATTGAAAGCTGAGATACTAATATTCTAACCTGACCCAGTCCTTGAAAGTCCTCAACATAATACTCAGAGACTGTGTGAGGGGTTTCATCTACAGTCACAACAGGGGCAGGCTCTAGCTGATCTCTCACCGGTAGGGCAAAATACTGAGCGAATAAGTCACAATCAAATGTGGCTGACATGAGTACCACCTTGACATGACGGGAGTTTGTCCTGAGGAGCTTCCGGACAATCAGCAGAGAGAAATCTGTGTCCTGATCACGCTCATGAACCTGACCAAGTTAAAAATCTGATAATTACGCTGTTATAATAAAATACCATTCTGACTAGGGTTGTCATGGTTCCAACATTTTTTTAGGTCTGGTATGTTCAGTAAGTTTTTGGTTTTGGTTTAATAAAATTAAACTTAAACTTTTATTACGAAAGTCTTAACAGCTGCTTAACCATGTTAACATATAGACATTTGTGTTTAGGACTACTAGGCCAACTATTAGCAATGACATGACTACTCTTACTCATTTCTATTATCCCATCCTTTCAGTGTTGTCATAGATGAAGTAGACTTCAATTGGGATGTATTTATCACTGTTTTTGCTTTGATGCCTTTTTTGGGGGTATAAATCAGACTCTAATATACAAACCAGACCCAAACCAAACTCTGGAAAAATGAAACCAAAACTGAACAATTTGGACCATGGTTTTCAGTTATTTAGGGGAACCGTGACAGCCCTAATTCTGATCATTTCAAATTTTTGGCTACTTGGATTATTGGATGTCTCTAGATATATTTTCCCTGTTTTCACTTTGAACGTGGTGTTAAAAAAAAAATATGATACACTGTAACTTAACTATAATGTACATTTAATAAATCATTATAGTTTTAATCATGTATTTTAATTTTTACTTTTTAATGTTTATTTGTTGTCATTCTTCTCCAGCATGGGATAACTTGTGAGCCCTTTTTAATATTTAGGAATATCACCTCATCCAGTACAACATGGGATGATTGATGACAATTATATTTTTAAAAGAATCTCACCTCGTCCAGTACAACATGGGTGTACTCCAGCATGTTTTTCTTGCTAACCAGTTTTCTCAAAAGCACACCAGTTGTGACATACAGAATCCGTGTGTCTTCTGAAGCTTGTTTGTCCATCCCAACCTTAAAATTTCATAATTTATAAGGTTATATAGAAAACTTGAAGTTCATGCATATTAGCAATATGCAGGAACTCTTTAAGATAAACAATCAATCAACTCTATTGTAGAATGTTTTTTGAGATTTTTTTTTTACCTGATAACCACAGACTGTTCCTAACTGCCATTTTCTTTCAGAGCATACTCTCCTGGCGATACTAATGGCTGCAATCCTTCTTGGCTGAGTGACAATAATGTTACAGTAGCGTCCTGACTTTGCATAGTGGTCCAGGATGTACTGGGGTACCTGAGTTGTCTTTCCTGATCCCGTGGCTCCTTGTACAATGGTGACCTGATTGCTTTCAATTGTGCCAATTACCTATTATAAAACACATCATTATATATTTAAGATGTCCATGAACTACTATGTTCAGTTGTTTTCTTCTAATTTTATTTTTTTTAACATATTAACATATATTGCACCTCCTCCCTAAAGATGGATATAATATGATTTAACTTAAGCCTACGATAGGAGTCATACAAATTTCACAATACAAGAAGTGAATATAATTATAAAACTTTGCTGTCCGTTAAAGCATTTTGTTCTGATTAACATTACAAGTAGGTCTGGGAAACATTGTTGTGAATCTCGCCCAGCACTGATATCAATACTTGTGTCATTCAAAGTATAAAAAATAAATATTAAATAAACCATAAATACCCTTAACAGACTGTAGCTTTACTGGTTTGTACTTCTTATAAAGTAAAAAGTAGCAACTGAACTTGAAAGTAACTCTTTTTCCTTAGTTTTATCCAGCTTTTTTATAACCTTTTTCCAAGTTTCACTAAAATCAAATCAAAATTCTAGTATGATTAGCATTTAAAAAAAAATACCTCATCTTTGTGATCAGCAATTGGCAAATTGCTCTCATATTTGTGTTCAAAATCATAATTCTTATAGACATCCATAGCATTGGAGGGTACAAGGTCATGTGGTATTGCCACTGTAGATGTGGCAATGCTGTCCAAATCCAAATGTTCCAAATCATTATTTATTGCTGCAGTTCGATTTTGTTGCTGAAATGAAAAAAATCAAAAGTTTGAATTCTTTTTCCTATTTGGTGCATTTCCAGTGATTTCTTTTGAAAACAATGTGTACATAGGACATAATGCTCAACTCAATCACACTGATGAGTATTGAAATTAATGTGTTCTCTTATGTGACAAGTTAGTTAAAGGTGCTTGCTCTCAACAATCTCCGTCAACATTATAAATTCATTCTTGTATATATAGTATCTATTTAATATCATACATGTGGATGTGTGTAACCCATTAATTCTTCCTCTTCTTGTTGTCGATACGCCTCTGCATAGGCTGTTTGAGAAACAGCTGGTGTCCTCCTGCAAAAGCAAATTCCAAAATTAAAACTGTAAAACTGTAAAAAAAAAAAAAAAAAAAAAAGAAAAAGTAAAACTGAGAACCTCCAAGTTAAATTCATTCAATAGTTTGTTTTACTACCATGCCTGATGGGATTATTATTAATTAAAAGTGTTTATCACCAATAAATTTGTTTGAACTGTGCATGAGTCAACAGATCAATATAAAATATGTAATACTAAGTCACAAAATTATCACATTCACTTAAGGGATGAATTTAATAGCTACCCAATTTATATGGTATAAACTGGCTTGGGGCAGTTTACACTTTATAAACTGCGAAGCAGTATATATAAAGGGGTAAACTCTTCAGTCAACAAACTATCTAAGTGCAACAACAGCACTACATTTTGATATATTTTTAATTTGACATACAGATTGTCCAAATCATTCATTTGTTACAAGTGTAAACAATGTTATAACCCCCAGAAATTTCGAAGTAGCTCCCTTGACCTACATCTTGCCCAGAAGAGCAGCAGTTATTTAGATAACTGTGAGATACTATTTACAATTAAAACAATTTCAGTTTAGCAACTGTATTTAATTTAATTGTATACTTTCATTCTCCAAATATACTTAACAAAAACAAAATTACCCTTTATGTCAAACCAGCTAGTAATTCTAAAACTCTCTGGTAATGTCATTTGCAATAAATAGATTGGATCAAACTGTTTAGTGTAACATTAAAAAATAATGATTGAGAAAAATACCGCTGTAGGTGGAAGGTGTTCTCAGTTGCAGCAACACGTGGTCGTTGAGTTGTTGTGTCAAAATATCTCCCTCCTGTGACACTTCGCGGTACCGTTTTTAGAGCCTGCACCGATTTTTTTCCTATCTTAAACCAATCGTCAATTGCATCCAAGCCTAACTCTGGCGTAAGGTCTGTCATGTTTATTTACTTTAGCCCTAGGTCCCTATATTTCTAATTTTCTCTTTCAGTCGTATCCGACGAAATCATTCTTCGTTCTTGGTCGGTTCTAATATCCAGCTCAAAAGAGGTTGAAATTCCGAAAAGAAAATGATGATTATCATATTACTTTTCTTAAGCATTGAACACAGATATTAATTTAATTCTGTATTAAGTACAAATTTTTAAAACTGTTGAAATAAAATTATAAAACATACTAGTATTACGGTCCATTACCTCATCTTTTGCTAGAAGGTGCAGTTACATTTTGGCGGGAAAACGTCAGTTTTCGTTTCGCACATTTTTCCCCTAGATTCTCGTTAATATGGTTTATTGACCAAAAAAGTATTAAGACAATTCACATAGGAGAAAAGTTAACGGAAAACGATATTTAAGAATAAAAAAATAATAATAAACCGAAAACTATAAGTACAATTTACTTTTGAATAATCTGATGCTTAGTTCGAATTTCCTTTACAAAAGTAAGGTTAACGATAAACATGCCGTTCCCACTGATAAAGCTTGTATATTTATTTGTCAAGCAGGTTAGTAAACCTGTGGCCACAAGGGTAACAAGTTATATGAAAGAAAAGCCGTTTATACGGAGACATGTAATGATTCCATTAGCGCAAGGTAAGGAATTTTACAGAAGTAGGGGATAGACATGCTAGAAGTATATACAGGATTAGACACTGTTGGAGAGGATGTTTATCAGATCTTTGTAAAATATGAGGGACATTTCTCTTTTACATAATTAAGAATATTTTTACTAGAGAATAATCAGTTTTGCTTGAACCTTGCGCTAAATTTTATATATTTAATACCAATCTCAGCTGAGATTAATTTAATACCCCAAATATTGAACCTAACAGTAATAAATGACGTAATTTGTTGATCGAATTATATAGATCTGGTACCGTTTTTCTATTAATAATTTATCCAGATCGCTCTAATCAGCTGTTTGGCTTTCTTACTTTTCAGAAAAACTTGATCAAGTTATTTTGATACATGTAAAACTTAAAAGTGCAAATTTCATGCAAATTTTGCATGAGTACCAAATGTTGCCAATTCCTGGTGATGTGATAGTTTTCTACATTCTTCTGTTCTTTGAATGATACATCAAAAACACTTTCAAAATGTCAGACTCTCCATCAGAAGATGCACAAATTATTTTGAGACTGTTTATGTAGGCGATTAATTAAATAATTGATTAAATATGACCAAACACTGAAACTCGTTGATTTAAATTATGATGGAGGCCAATTCTGGATAATTGTAAACAAAAAAAAAAAAACAAAAAAAAAAAATCATAATAATAATACTTACTGCAGTCTGCTATCTTCTTCATGCTATCTTGAATAATTTAATTAAACTGAACTATTTAGCTTTAATTCAAGCTTTGTGCAAGTAGCTCATGCCAGATATGGAGTCAAACTTGTTACATAAGTCAACTAATTGCATTGATTCATTTGATTGTATCTTTTTTTTCAGTCTATCACAGAACTGAAGCCAATCTTAGATTGATGCTGATGTATAATCAAGCTGGCCACAAAGTGAAAATAAATCCACTGACTGATGAAGCTGCAGTAGCTCTAGCCACGGACATGATGAATGATATTTTCATTTTTACAATTGCTTTTGTTGTGCTTTATCAAGAGTATGTAAGGAGTTCCAAGAGTAGTGCGGCAGAAAAACTTCAGAGGGAGAATGAGATCCTAAGCATTAACAACCAGCTTGATGACTTGGTGTTAATTACGGAGCGACATGATGCTCAGTTACGGGAGGCAGAGAGGGAGCGAGACCATCTTCTGACCATGATCAGTGACCTCAAGACATGGTCCAAACCATGCACAAAATTAATATATGAGAGACAGGAGTCTCATTTACGTGAAGTATTCAGACAAATTCGAAACTTAAAAACAATCCAGCTAACGGTACATAAAAATTCAAAAACGGAACATATTGACATAGCTGTAGAACAAGATAAAACTCAATGAGTTGCTAGTGCTACAAAGTAGTTTACTTTTTCCATCTGGTTAAATTAGGTTTTAGTTTTTTGATATAGGTGTATTCCATGGGGAAGGGAGGAGGTGCAACTGAAATAAATGTACTTGTAATACTTACAAAAAGAACTATGGGTGATAAGTAGGGATGTCAACAAATATTCGAACATTCGAATATTCATTCGATGAGTTGATATTCGAATATGAATTTAAGATTCGAATATTCGGTGTTTTTCAGATTTCATAAAAAGAAGTACTGTGATTAAGAACATTGCTGGAATCATCCCCGTTTAATTTACTATCGATCAATTTCGATCGCCTGATTTCCTTCGCTACTTTCTTATCTTATATATCTACTAAATTATTCTGTAAGTTTTGAGTAAGTTATTAAAGAATTATACATTAATGCTTTATATATATAATACAAAACATACTTTCGTAGTTTTTATTTGTTAAATACCATCGGATCTAAAATCGAGGACAACAAAATGAAAACCTTCGAATGTCTAAATGACTTGAAGAATATACTTATCAAAATAAATTTAATTGATCATTGAATGAATGTCCGATAAAACTAGTCTGTAGTTAATATTGTAAAGGGCTCAATTTCAGAATAAATGTGTAAAATCCTTGATTATCTTGGACTGTACATAATCCTGAATTTTATATTCATTATCAGGAAATTAGTTAATTAGCTAGGAAGATTGTCTATGGAAATGATTGTTTATATTTTAAAAACATTGTATCAAAGATTATAAACATATCTCTTACAGGCTGATAATTGTAATTAATTACACGTATTGAAATCTGAAAAGTATGCGACTATCCTTTCTTTGGTAAGATGACTGGTTCCTCAGTTGGAGCTACTATAAAATCATGTGTATCATTTGTTAAAATTAAACTTTTCTACATTTCAATCAGATATTTATTTCAAACATTGACAAATATCAAATGGAATTCCTTATAGTACACCTACAAAAGTCTTCATACAATTTTACTTCCAATATAAGAAAACCTACACTAAACCTTTTATGAAAGTAGGATGATGCATATTTAAAATAAACCAGATTTTATTTATTTTATCAAATATTCAAATATATTCGAATACTTTCATTGAATATTCGAATATGAATTATTGACAAAATTGACATCCCTAGTGATAAGGGTCTCAAGTGCCCCCCCCCCCCCCCCTCCTAAATGAACATTTTTATTTTCTGTAAAGATTTTATTTTACACAGCTATACAGATGACATTTATTCATGATTTTCAATTTGATCCAAATGCCCTTAATTTAGAAATATGACATCATAAAGTTCACCTTTTCGCGCAATTTTGACATATTTTGTATAATATACTAATTCTCAAGCAATTTTTCTTTCAAAAAATATCAAGGGCTGCCTTGAACATACATTATATTTTCATCATAGGTGTATTTATCAGAGACTAATTACTTACAGATAAATTTTGCTTGTTCAAAGCTGCACTCTCTGTTTCCAGCAGGAAAAATAATGAGAAAAATGAAGTTTTTGTCTTGTTTTGATTGGATTGCAAAAATAGCATCATTTTTGATGTCATTTACTGCCATTGAGTAAATGTAAATGAAAAAAAAAGGATGGAAGATGTATATGTAAACTCTTTTTTTCAAAATTACAAAATCTAACATACCTGAATAACTTTTGTAAATGTTGATGTTTGGGGGCCAAAATTGACTCTTATCATATACTGGGTACATTGTATAGTCCTTTAACCTTATCCAACTTCATGTGAATCTCAAGTTTTTGCACAAACTTTAACTCTATCAGTTCACTATGCAACATACCTCAGTGAACTCTACCACAAGACAATATTTCAGCCATCCAAATCAAACACTGACTACTGCTCTTGTTTTAAATACTGCTTGTGTTTGTATTAGTTGGGGCCATGGATATCGGCCTGGACAGCTCAGTCGGTAGAACACCTAACTAGTGATGAAGGAGTCCCGGGTTTGATTCCTGGTCCAGCCATTCATTTTCTCCTTTCCTGTCACATAATTTGGTGCCGTTGACCGTCCCTGGACTTGCAGGTAAAAGTTTTGCCAGGGGCAAAAAGAACTTGGGTTGTGTCTTTGAGGGCGAAGACAATTTAAGGAGGGAGAAATGTAATGGTTGGGGCTGTGGATATTGGCATAGATAGCTCAGTCGGTAGAGCACCTTACTAGTGATGCAGGAGTCCCGGGTTTGATTACGAGTCCAGCCATACAATTTCTCCTTTCCTGTTACTTGTTTATCACATGAGTGACCAGTTGACTACATGTCTTTAGAGGAGGTTCATTATCAAGGTATTTATTAGTTCTACATGGACCAAACTTGTATGGACAATCAATGCATCTAGAAATATATGCTACCTGACATGTCTCAGATGCTGCATCTGACCCTAAATTTTTGGAATGAGTTGCGACATAACGAGAAAAGAAAAATATATAGCTGGACCAGGAATTGAACTCTGGTGGCCGGCATTACTTGTCAAGTGCTCTAATCACTGAATAGTTGAGGCTAATATCCATGGTCCATAAAGGCCCAAACCACTCCATTTCTCCTTCCATGAATTGGCATCACATACCCTCTAAAACACACAACCCAGATTTCCTAGCCCCTCTCAGTACTTTCACCTGCAAGTCCAGGGGTGAACAACGGCATCAATGTTAACAATAAAGGAAAAAAATTATGGTTGGACTGGGAATCAAACCCAGGACCCCTATATTACCAGTAAGGTGTTCTAACCACTAAGCTTCTGAGGTCAATATCTAGTCTTTATAGCCCAAACCACAGCTATAAGAAATCTGTTTTTACAGCAGGTTAATTTCGAAGTATATACAACAAGAATAAGCCTTATAATGTAAAACTTTTGTGGAAAATCGTTATTTTATACATGTATATGCACTTGCTATCTATGATATATTCAAAATAAAATTTTACTGATGAGTTAAACTCAAGCATTTCGTTGAGCATCAATTTGTATGAGACAATCATCACAGATGACATTTGCCAAAGTAAACCTTGTTATTTTTGATAGTCGTACTTTGTGTATCTGATTAAATTGGGAAAGTTTAAACACAATTGTTCTGTTAACTGCATTTGTATATTGTCATTCTTTGGGCATGACTCCCTTTTACCATGCAATAAATTAGAAAAAGGATTGAGTCTTTAGTACGTCAGTATGTACTCCATGTGATATTTTGTTTTATATGTATACCAAACATTTGTGTTGATCACTTAGACTCTTTGTGAATGCTTTATGCTAGCTATCTTAAAGTTTGTTGAAGCATAATAATTGGAAAATTCTGTTTATGATGTGTGCAAATAAATAGTAGATGAAACATTTGTTTAAAATTGTAGTTGCAAAACAAGATACATGTATTGCATTTGATTCTTCTACACTTGTATAACTTCAGAAAATGGCTGCACAAAATCAAAACAGTGACAAATTAAGGCTACAGGTACCATTACAAACCAAATGTTTACCAAGGATGGTTTTTACAAAGGCAAACCTTGAGTTTTCTGAATTAGCTAGGGATGACAAGAGTTCCTGAAATTTACTTCCAAATATCTGTTTTCAGTATATAGCATCCAGACAATCCACTGTGTATGCCGGAGTCCATCAATATGTATAATATGATCACATGTGAGCAATATTTCCTCCTGAGTTAGATAAAATTTAAGTAAGTTTCCTTTTTTTTAACCAAAACAAAATGAAATTAATGAAACAGTACCCTCAACAATAACCCATCTTGGCAACTTTTTTTAATGACCTTCAAGAATGACCTTGACAAGACCTTATGTACACTGTGCCAGTAGTCACTGATGAGGAAAAATGAAAATCTATGGGTCCCTGAAAGGTATTTGGAAATAGGAAAAATCCCTCATTAATACCGTTCAATTGATGTTTGTGTCACCTGCAAAGCAGATTACATCACATTACTTGGTGTCTGTCTGTCACACCTTGTAACCTTAGAACTGTAAGAGGTATGGATTTGATATTTTGCATATGTATTGCTTGGCACTAAGCCTTTTGTAAAATACCAGGATTACCAATCTAGTGACACTTGAACTTTATAACCTTACTTTTCAAAATACAGTTGAACTTTGGCATCTTGAACACTGATATCTCGAATACCATGGATATGTCAAGTGATTTGTAAGTCCCAACTACTTATTCTTTAACTATTTTACCCTGGATATAATCTCGAAGTTTTTTCTTGGTCCCTTCAAATTTGAGCTAACGAGGTTTGACTGTAGTTCATATTGCTGATATGTAAGGAAGTCTGTTAACACTGAGCAGTTAATTTGTAGCTTTGAATTTTGAGAGGCAGAGTTTTGATTACTAGCATATTTATATATAATCATATGTATATGAGCTCATGATATTGTACTGTAAAACTGTACAATAAATAGTTACCACACAAACTGAAATTTAATTTCTTTGCAGGCAAATCCTAGTAGCAAGTAAATAACTGACCACTCTTAGATTTATTTACATTTGTAACATTGATATAAAGAGGATGACATATTGCATTCCTTGAAACACCAGTAATTTAGGATAGATTCCTGCCTGTATTTCAAATGTGTAGTTCTGGTAGATACAATAGAACAATTGTTTTCAAAGTTATAATCTCTTTTATGCGTGGGATCTCTTTGGATATAGTGAACAATAAGCAACAAGTTAAAATATCAGAATCATTTTATTATCACAGAACAAGGCAATTATAACAACTAAATAGCTGCAGATTCAAAAATGGATATTGCTTCAAACTGATAATGAACACAATCATAAATAGCATATATAAACCCTGCACACTGTTATAATCTTTATAAATAACTACAGCACTATTTGAGTTATTGCTGAACCCCTCCCTGATTCTAGCGGTGTTATAGCAAAATAAGAACTGGATTTCAATTAACCTCATCTGAGATTTTTCACAACCCTTGCTACATCTTTTTTTATAAATAATAAACAAGTGTTAATGATACTCTTTTGATTATACAACATAAAATAAAACAAACACATTATACTCAATTATAATAATAAAAAACAGATAGGTACATGTACTGATGAACACTCCCCACATTTCAAGTTCTTTCCCCAGGTATTTAATGCTACCCCATCAACTTAATTTTTTAAAAAAAAAGGACGTTTGTTCCTAGCATCTTATTCCTTCATTTCTATGAAAACCCTGTAATTTTAGACAATGTATATATTGAGGTTTTCATGTTGAAAACAATTTTGGGCTTCCTGTAGAATCCGTAACCGAGGTCCCATGGGAATTCCAATTTTCTCCAACCTTTCCTCAGTCATATATGGAAGCTCCAACATTCCTATGTGTTCAGCATCAAAGTTTGATGCAAATTTCTGAAATGGTAAAACCTTATTCAATGTTTTGGGAGATTAGAAAAAGGAGATATATATAAAAACTCTGATGGGACCTAATGTTACTATTGAGAAAAAAGGGGGAAGCAAGTTATTGCACAAGCAGAATTTTCAGAGATGATTCAGTTTTGGCATTATTAGTGAGAATGTTAAGATTGCAAAAATTGAATTTTGCAATAAACAATTTATTCCAAATCAGTGGTAAAAGTTACCTTTCATGACATTATAAAATCACTAAAATTACTTCTGGCTAAAAATTTACAACTATTTATGGACAAATCGCCAAGTTTTCCTCTCGCTAAAAATTCAACTTATATGGTATTCAAACTTCTATGTTATAAGGCATTTAATACTTTGAAGAAAAAAATCTTAATCAAAATATATAATAAACAGTCAAAAGCTTAGAACTTAAACTAAAATTGAACTTTCTCCACTAAAACCTGATATTTATTGACTCTGATTTAAGAGTTCTCTTTTCAAGCAATCAGTACAAGTCTGGAATTAAAAATGTTTAAATAACAATGTCTTATTCTTACCTCATACCCTAAATTCTTCAAGAACCATTCCATCAGTGGTGGTTCTTGTCCAAAAAACCTGGAAAAATATTGAAGTTAATCTATGTATCACTCGTACATATACCCAGTACATTGAACACTGCTAAAACATCTAGCAGTTAGTATGAAAAGTCAAAAATTAATATTTTTTCATAGAGCAAGAGATAGATTCAAGGGTGTATGTATATGTGAACTAACAAGGTCAAGAATTTTCCTGTAAATTGTATGCTAAAACTTACTGAGTTAATTTATTGATTCTCTTGGGGTTAGTCAGGGAGGGTCCCCATCCCCTGTTGTGTTCTAGTGAGTTGTGGCCTTGTGCAGCAGACTGGTGGGACAATATAAACTGCTGTTCCTTCATCTCTCGCACCTCTTTGCGTAATGAATCCAGCTCACTGACCATGGAATTATGGGAACGAAGCTCAGACGAAAGATGTGCAACACTTCTGGCTAAAGTGACCACATGGGATTCTAGTCTTTGGAACCGACGATTTATGGCTCTGTATAATAGTTTACACTTACAAATATAAACTTGCATACAAAAGAGACAAGCCAGATCAAAATGCCTGGTTATACTGATTTAAATAATATTTTGAAATGCTGTGCATCTCATAAACTGGTTTACCATTTATAAATAAATCACACTTGCAGTATTCTATCAAAGATAAACTTAAAAAAGAGATATCAATATTTGTACAGTAAAAGAAATTTAATGATGTCATTATGCTTTTGTGATTTAACTTGGTTTACTCCATTGCTACAGGGCCGAATATTTTTTGTGTCCCAAACAACTTTCACACAGACTATCACAAATGGGTCCTATGTGTATGATTGGCTAATTTAGATTTCATTCTTTGATTTACATGTAATTACTTTTCAAAATTCATTAAACATTTACATGTATATACAAGATTATTTTCAGGGGATTTATTGATTTTTTTTCACAATTTCATCACCATCTGACATTTTGAAATATTGTAAATTACCAGAGTTAACATCAACAATCTACTGGACATGATAAGATTTTTATTCACTGTGTAAAGAATATGTGGGAAAAATCTCCTTAAATACTCACTTAATGTCTTTGTGGTGATGATGATGATGGCTCCGGCTGTGGGAGTTGGAATTCCCTGCCTGGGGTTTGAATTTTCTCACTGGTCGTCGAAGTGAACTGGTATCAGAGCTGGCAAGACTCCACCTCCTCCTCATGTTTGGGGGATTGCTTCCCAACACACGTACAACTTCTGAATACAATCCCTCCAGATTGTCAAGTCTCTCACGCATACCCCCATCACCTTGGATATGCATCTTTTGAATTCCAGCATGAATTGTCTGCATTTCTGTATCAATGGAATCCACAGTTAAAATAGTATCTTCTATATCGAAAGGAAGATCACTGTCTGTGCCAAGTTCCCTCACATCACTCAACACCCCCGAGTCTTGCATCTTTTCATTAATTTGAGGAGGTGGGAGCTTAATCGAATGAGAAGATGACTTGAAGGAATGTTTTTTATCACTCTTGCTTGGGACTTGGGTCTGAGAAGTTCGTTTTTTCTTGTCCCCAGCGGGCACACGTGTAGTGGAGGTTACAACATCAGGATTTTTATGAGGAGCGAGGTGAGTAGAACTTGAGGCTCGAGGAAGAGGAGGACTTCCCACTGAGGAATCCGAGTCTGTGTTTGATAAGGGAGGAAGAGGGGGAGTCACTGAACGAGATGAAGCCTCACTTGGTGAAATATGATAATCAAAAATACTGACTTCAGGCTCCTGAAGTGTGCTGTCACTGTTTACACGAGGAAATGGTTTTGGAGGAAGTCCTCTTGGGTCCTTTAATCCAATATTGTCCTTTTCCATAGGCTCTGGTTCCTTACCTGGTATCGGTCTCCCTGAATAATCTGGATACTTTGAAGAAGGACCAATGGTGTGCTGGGAACCAGACAAATTCTCTGTCAAGGGTTTGTTGAATCCTGGAAATGAGACACTACTAGGGGAAGCCTGTGAAGAACTAAGCTGACTTTGACTTGACCCATGACCCTGTGCACTCTGACCCAATGGACTTGTTCTAAGTGTGGTTGGAGGAATTACGTTACTTCTGGAGTCTTTACCAGTCATATCCATATAATTATTAGTATTCTAAAAAAAAAAAAATAAAAAAGAGTATTCACACATTCACTATGATGAATCATTATTAAATTCAGGATCTTAATCCATGAATAATTTATATCAAAAATCAAATAAGGAATATACTGAAGGACCAAAGCAAGTACATTTCCCCAAATACATATAGCAAATACTCAAGGCCTTCTTTTAGTTTCCACAATTTTACACCTTACCTGGTGGTGATATTCAGACTGCTGTGGTCTGGGGTCACCTTGAACTGACATCCTTCCTCCATAGAGTCTGTTCCAGGCATCTCTCATCCCATCAGCTCCAGGGCCCCTAGACGAACACTCACTACTGTAAAATAAAATGCTATCTCAATGATAGTGTGCTCTACATAGTAAAATAAAATGCGATCTAAATGGTAGTGTGCTCTACATATAATTCTGTCAGCTCCAGGGCCCCTAGAGGAACACTCACTACTGTAAAATAAAATGAAATCTCAATTGTAGTGCGCTCTACATATAGTTCTGTCTGCTTCAGGGCCCTAAGAGATCAGTACTCAATGTTGATATGCTATATATGAAACTCCTTGAGATATACTGTCACTAGTATGTTTCATCTATTAACATCTGTTTGTGAAATAATTAATAATTTTATCAATATTATATATTTGCACTGAGACCTGATTGACTTTGGTCACTTACTCCTCTCTGGAGAGTCCTCTATCCCTGACTGGAGAGGATTCTCGAACATATCCAAGATTTTCATGTCCCCTCTTTTGACCCCATTCCGCTGAGTCAACACTAGGGGTGACAACTCTATTCCTTGTTTTGTCCCCGTAACCCTGATTTGATGTTCCAGGGGGTATGGCACTGGGATAGCTGCAGCTCTGAATGTAGGATGGATCATGGTATGCGGGCATGTTGTGGACCTGGCTGGGATTGTATGTGGAATGGACTTGAGAAGGTGCTGAATGATTCGATGAAGTATTCGGTTGATTGAGTATTGCCTCAGCTCTGGAACTATGATGTGCCCTATCATTTGGTCTGGACGGCTGGAAAAGTGTTGCAATCATTTTGTACTTCTAGGAATCCCAGCATATGACTAATATTTCTGTTCATAAAGCATATTTCACAAAATTTCTCAAGTTTTTATACAACATCTACATGTACTTACAATATAGGAGTTTGATTGAGAATTTGCAGGTACAGATGGATATCTCTGGTGGCTGGAGTTAACTCCCCCTGACAAAGGATTTCGTGGCTGAGGTGGGAATGGTACAATCAATTCACCATCATCAAAACTCTTGGAAGCCTAGATAGATAAAATAAAAATATCAGATGAAGATCGATCCAGTGTTTTAATTCTTACTGACACTGTTCTAACTGACACTTTTCCTTTCAATATGTGTGGTAGACACATATTGCATGTACCACACGTTATTTCTTTTAACATAAATTGTCATACTAGGATACTATTTTATAATATGTTAATTAATAATCATGCACATTCAAAGCCATACCAATTTTTTCTATGTTTACAAAGATCAAATTCATTTGAAACAAATATTTTATACATATATATCTATAAACATTTAGTGACCAGTGAAGTTTCACTGAAATTGCTATTTTAGATCAGATGATTGCTGAAGTATCATCAATCCATTTGATATAGCTTGATTGTTAAAATGCCAAATCTCTATATTAGAGAAAGCTGTTAATATAAACTCAATTCATAGCAAGTACATCAAGTTAGGCAAAGCATGAAAGAATGTGAATAAAAATAGTTGAATTAACTATAGTTCTATATCAAACACATAGTTTGTGTGAGAGTGTTGTGTATTGTGTTTTACCATGCATTAATGATCGATTGACAATCCCCTTAGTTCTAAGACAGCAGCTGAGACTTGCACAAATTGAAAGTATATATTTTTGACAAGGGAAATTGTACAAAGTAATAAATTTATGAAAAGAGAAAAGATAAAAAAGTTGTAACTTACACAAATGCTTAATGGCACATTTTTTAGACTTAGCATAATGTCCTTGCTACTTTTAATCTTTTTTTTCTTTTGAATAGTGAAACAACCAATTTTAAATTATGGGAGGATGGTATATGATAGACATATATGAGGATTCAAGATATTTACTCATAGACTAAAATACATAAAGAATAAGTGGTTGGGACTTCCAACTCACTTCAAAATATCAAAGGTTTCTGAGATATCAATGTTCAAGACACCAAGGGTTCAACTGTTGATTTTATCAGCACAACTATCAATTTATTTAAGTGCATTTGTCTCCCTTTGATTGTTACTTCTTCTGGCAGGCTTTCCAGGTGTAAAAGACACAACTGAGCTGTCAGAACAGTTCCTCTGATTTGAATACTTCAAACAAACGGGTAGCTAATCAAAGTACTCAATACACACTCTCTCTCAATATTAATACCTGCATTTTAAGAAATATTTAAAATAGGCGAGTATACATGACATTAGAGTTAAGCTTAAGCTGATACATTTATAGAGTAGTCCCTTTTAAACATGATAGCTGTTTTTGATGTCAAGGAAAACTTTTGAAATTTACATGTTTGTCACTCCTAGCTTCTACATAACATACATTAAACATGTCTGTCTCTGGCTTTTATAACTTACCACCTCAACTGGAGGCAAAGTCCAGTACATCTAGGTGCAAATAGGTCAGTGTATTTTTTTTTTAAATAAATGAAAATGATATAAAGTTCAAATAATAAATTACCGTATACAATATATTTGAAAGTGGATTCGTGCTGATCTGTACAAATTGAAATTAACATATGAGTACCCAGTACACAATCTCTCTTTGCTTTGAATTTACAATTATACAAGTATAGAGTGACTTTCTTTGCCTTTTGAAATAATAAAGATGCACACTAAAAAGAAATACTGATATTTATTAATTTAAGAGGGCATAGATATAATCCTTACACCAAAAATTTGCTGAAAAATTTACTTGACAGTATCAAAGCTGAAGGAGTGCATTAGTCCAGATATATTGAGTAAAAAGTGAATCACAGCAAGCGTGTAAATGTATCTACAGCTCTCACACAGACTTACTGGGGAGACCCGCTCAGAGGAGGGGCTAGAAATCAACGACTTCAATCGCTCCTCAACAGATGTAGCACTGGCTGGTCCTGGCTACAAACCAGGCAAGCAAAATATTCAACTACTTTTTAAAACAAGCATTAATTTTATTGTGCAGTGTTTATCAAGACTGTGTTTAAGTCTTATGACAGTGTGTTCCACGCTGTGCAATAATGTGCATTTTTTTCATGAATGATAATGTCCAAATTAGTTTTACATGTGTTTTATTTCTTTAAATACATGTACACATGTATATCTGTTGTTTTATAATGCAATATCATCTGCATGTATGTTTACTTCTACTTTATGTAATGTGGAGCCTCCACTGAACATGTTTTACTTCTGACATGTGATTCCATACTTATTTGGGTGCAGATTGCTTCTGCTGTACCCACCTGTGGTTTTTGGGATTCTGTGGACCAGGCATTAGAAGGAAGTTTATTGGTGGGAGTGCTCGGTTTGACTGTCGTCTGCTGTCTGGGACCACCTCCTCTTGACAACTGAGTACTATAGTTATTGTGAGAGTACAATTGTCTCCTCTCCTCAGCCCCTCGCTGGAAAACTCCTGTAGAACTCAGCTCAGTCATAGACTGTAAATTATCAATATCAAATTACATGTCCACAATAGTTTCTTTGCATTGTAGGTATACCAAAAGGAATGAAGTAGTAAAATCCTTTTTAAAAGAAAAAAAAAATGGGAACTTTAGAAGTAGAACTAGGTATTAGAATTTCCAAATTAGATTTTCTTAATTTTCTTCCAGAAAGATAAACCTTTGATGTCAAATAAAAATCAATAACACAAATTTTAATTATCTCCCGAAAACATCAGAGTACAGAGAGGGTTACATTATTGCAGCTAGTGTTGGTCTAACAGAAAAGAACCTCACAATTAGTGGCTGTGGCGGGACAGACTGAATTCGAGGGACTGTCTCCTCCTTCCTCAGGATCCCTGGGATAAGGTCATCTGAGGGTTGGGTCGAGATCCTCCTCTGTGGGGTCATTGGGTAATCTGTTAAGATTTTTACCAGTTATGAATCAACAATATTATCAAATCAAAAGGTAGTCCAACATAGTACCTTCAAAGCCTTGCAATCTCTTACAATTGTACCATAGAAAAGTATTTGAAATAAAAAGGTAAACACACACACACACACTCTCTTTCTCTCTCTTAGAAAGCAGGTAAACTTTCTTACCATTGACTCCAAGAGGAGGTTCCCTCATACCCCCTGGAAGAGTAATTGCCCCTGGCATTTTAGAGGAAGCTACATTGTTGCCTTCCCTTGATGCTGTGTTTGCCTTTGTCTTGCTCTCTGTGTCTGCCTAAAAATGTTAGAAAAAATATTTCTTCTTTTATTTTTCAGCATCATTACACCTGAAAGGATGAAGACATTGAGGGTAGAAAAATCAATATAGGTAAACAGAGGATATCAGGTTTCATTGATAATTGGTTCAATTTTTTTGAGAGTGGAAGCAGAAACACATTTTAACACATGAACCATATTGTATTGTATCTCAATAAAGCAAATACTTAGTCATGCATTTTTAAAATAAACAAAAAATAAAGCTGTTGCAAATATTTTCAAGCTAGCTACATTTATGACTGGTTTCTCATCAATCAATACACACATTATTCCAAATAAGCCAATTTGTTTATGACATTGTCTGCCAAAAGAGTAACTGTTACTAAGCAACAGCACACATCTTACCTCAACTTTTCTCTTGATATTCCCGATGAGGAGCAGGGTGGACTTTAAATTTCCATCAGCAATATCTACAGGACAATTAAACAAGTCAATATTAGCTTCAACATTCCATCAGCTAAATTCATGTTTTGCCTCTACCCATGCAGACTTGATTGCTATAGTTGTTGAAACAACATTGACACCAATTTGACAGATAGAACTTTATGATGCATAAATATTTGGCAATCATTCACAAATGAGAACTAATTATTGGAAACAGTCATTTAAATGTTGCAATACAATTATCAAATTTGTATGTAGTGTACCTGAACATTCCATCAGATGAATCCATAATAAGCCCCATCAAATCAATTTTTAAGACATTAACATATATGCATGCATGCATCAAAATTTTGAAAGATAAGAAAATATTACCCAGTTATTGCTATATTTCTTTTTAAGTTAGACATTTTTAAATTTAAAATCAATACACTGTATAAAAAGGTCTTTCAGAAACTTTTAAGGTTTTGGAACTGATTACTATAAAGAAAAAGCGTAATAAAGACAAAAATACATGCATATACATGCTCTTGTATTTCAAATAACCTAAGGTTCTAGTGGAAAAACAACTGATTCAGAATGCCAAAGTTTGATATCTTACCCTCTGCATCAATAGCGGTGAGATCCACTCCTGATGACTTAAGGTGACTCAGACAAACTTGTAAGTTGTTCACTCGGTCCTGTTTAGAGTTAATGTCTGTGTCAACCTCCTCAGGAAATTTTCCACCTGCAGAAAGCAACAAGCAACCTCAATTAGCTACGAAAACAAAAGGCGTCTTCTCTCAAATTTTGGCACGAGGTAAAATCAAAGATCAACAGTGATAATCCTTGTGAAATCGCTGTACACCAATGTTTAAAGTTACCCAAATTTAAGTCAGAAAACAATTCTGAAGAACAAAGCCCTTGTGCATACCCCAGGTGTGATTATCGAGGGAAGTTTAAAATTTCACAACTGACAAGACTAGAGTGGTGCATATCAAGAACAATAAATTATCCACACCAGAAATGATGAATTTTGTATGAACAGTTATTATATTGACTCAACATTGTAACTGCCTTACACGTCTGTGTAGAAGTTTACCAGAATTTACCAAAGAGAAAATTTGAAAATACTCTAATACAAACAACCGATAAATTTACAAAATGTTAAAGCAAATATTGCACTCCATAACACGCTGATTGGGGCCAGGTTTGTTGACTGTTGAAATTAAATGTATGCACAAAACTTCAATCTAAAATAGCTAATGTAATTGATAATCTAAACCTACATCTGGATACAAAGGTTCTTATATATAACTATTTTTCTTGCTATTTTCCCAACTTCTCAATGCTATTTTTATAAATTTAATCAAACTGCTATATATAGGCATAGAATATGTATTAATGTACAATTCTAAGTATTCTGTATACAAGTATGAAGGAACTTATAACAAATACACATATATAACATATATACTACAGTCAAACTTTGTTATCTCAAACTCCGGTAAGTGGGACAGAGAAAAAAACCTATCCGCGAGTTCAAAATATTGAGGTTAAGAAAAATTAAGTGGTTGGCTGACTTCCTTATCACTTTGACATATCCATGATATTCGATATATCGAAGTTGGAGATACCAAAGTTCAACTGTATTCTTATTTAAAAGTATTGACTCAGAGCTTGAAAATAAAATTTACATCAGATAAATCTCATCAAACTTCAATTTTAATATAATTTTTCTGATTATCCTTCATCAGAGTATATCCTATACCTATACACTCTAGTACCTATAACAAGTTCACACAGTTTAAAATTATTCTAACATCACTTACCACAGTAACCAGAATATATGTTATTCCCATAATAATACTGATGTCTCCGTTTCTTATGACTTAGCTGATACCTGTCTGGTTTGTGCTTGAATTGTAAACTTATCATTGTGTTTTCTACCTATATCCATCAATGGTCTAATTGCCCTTCATTACTTATTTATAGCCTGTGAACTGTCCAGGTCTGTTCAAGTTATTAGTTTTTCTTCCTGAGATTGCTAATTGAATTCTAGTAATCAAGCAACATTAATTAGCTCAAGATTACAAAGAGTGCAGAGAACACCTGTGATTTTTTGTTGCAAACATCTCATTAACTTGTTCTTAATGAGGCTTTGTCTAATACAGGTGTATTCATTATAGACCTAGTTCTCTATCATTAGGGTAGAGATTAAAGTAAGTGATGTGTCACTTCATTTAGCAGCCTTCATTTTTTTTTTCATCTACTCTGACATCATGAAGGTCAGGTGATTTTTTAAGGTCAAAAACTCTAATGTAACTTACAGAGAACATTTCTAAACCAATGTCAATGTTTTTACAAGAGGCAGGATCCTATTTCAAACCTGATATATCATATTTCTTGATACAATCTTTGTAGATCAGCTAAGAAAATTATCCAGTCAGGAGTTCAATTTGCTGATTTTAAATTGTTTTATAATTGAAGTAGAGTTTTTTTTTTCATTTCAGAGGTGATCTACATAATGTTTCGTTCCCTCTCTGTGGTAGTCCACTAAATGCTCTAAATGGCAGGTCTGTTAACAAAAATTGTGTGTGATTTTCATCTTGGAGTTGTACAATCTGGGTGGTGCAGTCATGTCCACACGGCAACTTACAAAGTTATCATAAATCAGGTTGCAAAAATACCACCATATCTTAAAAATGGAAAGACTTCAGAAAAAAGGACAAAAATTTTCTGTGTTGTATAACTGTTTATTTTGCTATGTGCTAACTTTTGAAGTAATTAAGTGAAAGAAAAGTTTATGGGAATATCACTTTTTATGTTACAGGTATATTTGCTTATAAAATGATTTATTAACCAGTTTTGGGATATGCATATTTCTTAATTGAATAAAATTTATATAACATAAAACTGAAAATTCCTGCTTTGAAGATTTATTTTATTTCATGCAATATATAACCACTAAAAATGATTATACTCATGGTCCATTATTAAAGAAAGTGTGAATCAGTTTTTGAAATATCAAACCTTAACAGGTTTGACTGCATCAATGTTACAAGTTATATCTGTCAGGCATTTTCAAGTCCTTACAATCTCCAAGACACTGTTGACCCTAATTCCTTAGACCTGTTATTGATGTATACATACTACAATTTTTCACTAAAATCATTAAACATCCATTACAATAAATTGATTCTTTACAGAATGTATATCATGTGAAGTATGCACAGATAGCCAATACTAATAAGTACTTACAAGTTTTTTCAGCTAACTGTACAAGTGTAACACCATCTCCCACACATTTTCTTAGATCCACCACAGGTTCTGTGCCAGAATCCTTGAGAATTTTATTCACCCATGTTGTCAATGACTGCAGGAGATGAAATAAAACTATTAGTAAGTCCTATATATGACATTCTTTTTGGGTACAGGTTTAGTAAATGATAAATAGGGATTAATGTATCACACTGCCTTTTGTTTAAACATTGTCTTACTTTATTGGTTTCAGAGTAAGAGAGGCTAGCATCTTTACAAACCAGAGCATTAATGCTAATGAAATTGAAGTTTTACTATATTAAACATCAAATAATATAATCATAGTTTAAACATTCATTTAACATATGAACATTGCTAACAATGCCATTTAGAAGGCCTGGACATTATTTCCCCTAAAACTAAAACATAAAAAGATCTCAGTCTGGTATATTGTGAATGTCAAAAGGTTTAAAAAGAGTTTTACAGAATTATTCAAGATTGTTTCTCCAAAAGTTTTAACCCTTATCCTTTATACATGTACTATCAAAATAGTGTCGGTAATAATCACTCTGTCATACCACTTCTCATCAGAGATCATGGCTAGGAATAACAATCCCAAGTCAAAATGCTTTTAATTCTCTTTGAAAAATCACTTGAATAAATCTCCTTGAGATTTAAATAAAATTGACATAAAGTTTTATTTTCTAAATGAATGATGTCACATCGTAACCTATAATACACCAGCATTTCACACTTCATCCCTGACTTATTCACCTTTGTCATACACACTTAAGTCATTCATCAAATTAATGGGGAGAGAATTCTTATAGACACCCATTAAAAGAATTCCTGGATATTTTTTACCCCTATTCAGTCTGTTTTATTTTCGTCTTTCCTGTTTCATCTAGAGAAAATTTAGGTTTAATGTATAAAACAGGTGTGTCTATTCCTTTAGTGATAAGATAGGAAATTAAAAATTATTGGATATGTAATTCCACTATTGATTTGGATTACTCCTACATACATCAAAGGCTTTATCTACATCAAAAGTATGTAATGAAAACCAAATAGTAAGTTTAAATAAAATATTTCCTAGTATGCCAATTCTTAAATTCATGGATGATAGAAAAAATTGAAGAATTTAATGTATATATTACACCTTTTCAAATGATTTCATGACTATGGTAGAGCAACATTTTAGATGTATACAAATGTACTTCGGAACAGAATCAACGAAAATGTCACCTGAACTATACCTTGTATTTGTAATATAACATAATTTCATTTTATTAATATGATCTCCTGTATACTTTTTAATACCTACCTATATATACATTGGTAAATCCTGCGTAATGCTCTAATACTCTCCTAATAATGTTTCCTCTATTAAGTATTCCAAAATAAAACAGAATTGTATCTCATTGAAATGTTCACATTCCAGTTATACCTATCTAATTTAACCTCCTTCACCGTCACTTTCTCTTTAAACAGCAGAATTTGGTGACAAAGACAGAATGTGGCAGATCTATGTAGAGAGAGCAGTTCCTACTTAGCGATTATGGATTTAAATATGTGACATGTCTACGCACGACCCATCACTCAGCACTACCCATACCCTAATGTAAATGGAAAACAGATTTAAATGGCTGTGAATGAATTTGTTCAATACTTGTTTAAAAGCAGGATCCTGAATATAATTCTTCCATTGTGTAGAATTAACCTGAATTAGTAAGTTCCCTATATCAGAATTGTTAATCACTCCATCTTAGGGAGCTAGAACATGCAAACATCTCAAATTTACAATTCTACACAAAAATACTCCGCACTTGTTGAAAGGTATTTTAAAATAGAGCAAACATCTAAGGTCTCCATTGAAGTTAGTAGACAAAAGAATGGAGGATTTGTTTAAGAGAAATAATTTATGTTTATTACTCATTCTTTTGTACATAGAAATATTACACATAGCATTCCATTACTTTAATTATTTTTACAGGAACAATATATTATGGTCTTTTTGGGAGTATGCCATTTTGTGAGCTTTTTACCAATTTTTTAGCCATACAGTAAAAGAAATGGCATAAATTTTTATTATTTTTAATATTTATTTTCCTGCATGCAGTCTGAAAGCAAACTTTTAAAACAAATGTTCATAAGAAAATTATGAGCCAAATAAATGCAGATGATTTGCAGTATTTTTCAGTTTTTTATTTGAATGAAAAAAAAAATTAAAATATATTATTACCTAAGAAGGATATGAAGAGAGTGAAACTCATAAATTGAAATTCAAGACTTATGAAATATTTTAAAGAATTTCATTTCATATTCTGTATGATATATGTATACAGTCATTTACTGTTCAGGTTTCAGGTTTAGGCCATTCCAAGTTTTTTTTCTCTGTTTAGAACACACCCTTCTTTCAAAAAGCTACCTATCTATTCGCAAAAAACACACAAGCCAAGCAAATACTGAGTAAAACACTGACTTTATAGTCATAAATATAATGTCATTCAAAGGACTTAATTTCATTAATCTATTTTTCTCGTAGAAAGATATATTCTTTAGCAAAATCAATGTATTAAATGCTTAAAACAAACTTATATGGCATATTGTAGACAAATATTTGAAGAAATGGACGGAATTCGAAGACTTTGACAAGAATAATCAATTTCAGGACTCTTGATTTTGTAATTTTTTTTTCTGATATGGGGTGTCAAAAACCAAGGTGCAAGCGGACCCTAAACAGTGATAGAAAAAACTTGGAATGGCCTTATTAATGATGAGGCGGAGTTTGGGGGGGGAGGGGGTGATGGCTTCACACATATGTTTGAATTGCACTATAATTCCACATCTTGACCATGCTTGAACATTGAAGTAATCCAATAGATAATGCAGAGATATGAACTTGAAGTCTTTGACAAGACCATATAGCTCTACTGGTTTGTACTTATAACACAGGAACTTCAACTTGACTTATTTGTGTGGCAAGTTTTATTAGAATCAGATTTAAAATGTAGAGCAGTTGCTTTTTTAAAGAATTTCATAAAAAAATTCTTATTTTAGAAACCATGGCAACACTTTTTATTGAAATAATAAAAGGATATATAGAATTATGTATCATATAAATGTACAATGTTGTTACTTGTGTACTAAGTTTTATTGAAATCAGACCAAAAGTTGTAGGAGAAGTGTTTTGAAAGAACTTCAAAGAAGTTTCTAATTTTAGTAACTTTGGCAACACCCATTGATTGAAGTAAAAAAATTAATACAGAGAATTAGTGTAGACTCTCTGTGAACCAAATATAATAAAAATGTGTATTATTTGAGCTTTCGCACACATGTGATATGTACCAGCTGTACATAAAATGTCACATGTTTTTGACCCCAATCATGGGTTTACAGCAGTGCACCAAAAGTCACAGGAAATGAAATTTAGTCCCATATTTTGAATTGTTTACTAGAAACTGCTATTTTTCTTCAATTCCCACTCTCACAACACCAGAATTTCTTTAATACATGACTTACACTGCTTAGTTAATGTAAACAAAACATGATCAAAGGTGTGAAACATTCCTGCGATAATTACATTGTAAATTAAAATGTATCAAAGCTTTTTCTTCGGCTGAATATTGTTTTTATAAGGTTTTTTTCAACTGTAACTTGTTAAAATTTTGTCAGTAGAAAGACAGTTCAGAGAGAAAACGGCTGCAATGACCTTTTTTGTTCTGGTTAGGCATAAGTATTGTCCACTCTAACACAAAGTAAGAGAAATGGTTTTAGTATCATTAAAAAAAATACAGATGACTGGAGATGATCAGACTCTCGCATAAAACACTGTACTATGGAAGTCTCTTTACAAAATTCAGCATTGGTCATGGGGATTGCTGAAATTCTAAAAGCTGCAAAAGAGTGAAATGAGTACATGTAATTTCATAAAACACTGCATGCAGCAGTAAACATGTTCATTTAATAAAAAATGAACCTCTTCCATTGATTTTTGGTCGATATTTTGTACAGTTTTGTACAGTTTTTTGATGAACAATGTACAGTATTTTCACCTAAACTCCAGTATTTTGAAGACTCCTGTACAGTATCTGGATCTGAAAATTATCACGTATGCTTTTGATAATTATTTAATTAATTAAAAATTATATTATTGATCAAGAATTGAAAATAAAATCAAATAAATTGTTGCACACCTAGTTTTGTGAAAGAAAAACATACTCAGGATTTTACATCAGTGCATCGAATACTTTTCTAAAACACAAATTTCACTTCGCACCTGATTCTATAAAGGGAGAAAACAGACTAATCTCAGTTTTTATTACCTGATCATTTCAGGATCTTTATCACAGGCGCTTGTTTCAAACAGCACACCTGTATACTATTCAGTAACAAAGGTGCCTGAGGAGAGGGCCCCTCCCCCTCTTCGATGTATCTAAACGGCTAAACGTCTATAGCAACTTGTGCTGTTGTACAAGCAGGCAATGCTGATCAATGAATTTTTGACAGATGGTCTCATGAAACTATAAACCTAGTCGTTTAATCAAGAGATATCATAGACTGAATATTCATTTCATTATAATATATATCCTGCACAGCATTTCAAAACAATGTGTGATACTTTCCATTCTATACACCGGAACATGCGTGAAGTGTGTAAAATCTTAAACCTATATCGTAGTTCCGAATTACGGTTCGGTTCATAATCATGCACAAAATATTCAACAGACGTCTGTAGCACCGATTTTGCGTACTTTTCTCCCTTTCCCGTTATAGCTACCAACAAAGTCTTCTATCATCAAAAACAACCAATGAAAAACTATTATTTTTTTTAACTCTAATAGCAGGATGACATCTATTCATCGATGTAGGTGAAAGCCTGTCCACTTCTCTAAAGAGAATAGATGACATCGTCACGGGTTATATTTAAGGAGCTTTAGGCCTACCACAAAAATCGTCCTATTTAATCGCAAACGTGTTATTTTCTGATTAGCTAGCGGAATAAAATGAAAATTGTAAGAAACTTCTGTGTGTCTTTAAATAAGTAAACGGCAGGGTGGTCCCAGAAACATATAACGAGCATCAACAGCTAGCAAGAATTCACTATCCCTTTAAATTCTAATTTGTCATGTAATATATATATCGTAACATGCAATAAATCGAATTCAGGGCATAGCAGAGGCACTCTTACGGTGTTTGTGACGCCAAACATATTTGTGGGGTATTTGGTCCCCGAGAGAATTTGTTTCTTTGAAGTGAACAGGTCAGCGATTAGCATAAATGGAATCTGGATGTTCAACAAAGATTTTTTAATGTCAGAATTCACGTCCTAGTTCTCCGTTTTCCATTTGACACTATATGTACGTATTTACAAACTTTACTACAAAATGTTCCATGTCCTTTCAAAAAAAATATATACCATATGTTTTTAATTCACGTGCATCCTTTACATACCTCACATTCTTTAAGAGCCCACTCCCCCGCAACAGTCATTCGAACCGGTGTCCTGTTATAACGCGGTCTTGTGGAAGTATTACTAGAGGACTGTTGGCGATTCTGACCGATCCTGGAGACCACTCCATTAACCGTTCTACCCTCTAATGTATTATCCTGCCCTCTCCTTTCTGGACCACGCAAAATGCCCCTAACTGGTGATGTTGGACCCAAATCGCTGCCATTGTGCGTTGCTCCGTTCCGTGTGGGGGGTATTGCACTAAAGGTATTTTCCCCGGACCAAGCGATTCTGTTTCTGTCTGGCCCCAGCCTCTGGAGAATGATATCATCCTCGCTCGAATCGCTTGGCTCGGGAATTCGAGGCAAGGAAGGTACCCTTCCTGATAACTTCTTAATCAAACTTGGCATTTTTGTTGGCTTTGATGGCTTGTCACATCACCGTATATTTAAAATTAAATAAATCAGGCTCACCAACAAAATTCATCATTTGATCCGCCACTCAAAAATACTTTGTCTGATCACTGACACTGTCTTTGATGTGTACTCCAGGAACTACATTCGAGATTTATTTTATTGAATGGACCAGTCCATCCATTAAGAATACTAACTGACATATGTCGGTAAAAAGCCAATTTTTACTATACAAATCTACATACAATAAAAGATTTGTATTTGCCACGCACAAATGCCGCTGAAATTGGATGCGTTCCATTTAAACAGGTAGATGAAAACAAACAGAAAGGTGAAAAATCCTTTGTCGGTTCCTGTCCAAGAAATTAGAAAATCTGAGTTGTAAATAAGTAAATGCAAGAATCTTCGTCGACGGACAACAGTTAGATTGCACGACCAAATATTTGTCCCTTCTTCTGGCGCCACTATCCTGCGCCCCGCTAACCAGCTTCGCGCACTCCTGGTAGCAGCTTAGCGCTTTGTTTTGCTTTGATTACGGAATTGGACCAAAAGCGTGAAGTTATTGATTGAAAAAAAGATCCAATGACACAGAATCGACCAGCTTAACGCACCCTTTCAAATGTTTTGAATATATTTCATTCCATTTGCTGGGAGGTGTGTGACGGTAGCTAATATTCCATAACACAACCTATTGTTTAACTGTCCGTGATTAAGAATTCTATTATCTAGGCTCCAGTCAATCAAAATCCACATTTCACCGACCCTCCGGAAGGAAATTAAAGTCTATTGCCATAAATAAGATAAACACAAAGTTTGTTATTGGTCAATGAAAGCTTTATACATAACTAAGAAGCGTAATGGCCAGGACAAATAAAACAGAATTAATTAAGTGAAGCTCCCGTGATACGAGACGCTAAAATGGGGGGATCGATAACTCGAACCTGGACGGACGGAGCACGCAGGTGTTTCGCCTGAAATCAATTATACCTGACGTTAAATAAGAAGCAACACGCGTGTTGCGCAACAATCGCCAATGATGGAAACCAATAGGATTATCCTCTGTACCTATTAACAGAATAACAAGTCGGTCACAATAACATCTCTCAATTACATTCTCAACAATCAGAAACCTTGCATTGCAGTATTTTTTTCCAGATTGGTGTATCTGAATATAGAGTGGTTTTGTGTTTCGGTGTAGCTATATATCGTTTTACGATACACATATCCAGATTAAGGACTAGTTACGTGATAAGTACACAGGTTACATAATCACTCAGGTAAGCATAATGCTCCAAGATCTAGTGGCTTAGCCGCCAATGATAACTTTCACTCAGTCAAACATTGATTTATGGACAGACTAAAGAAATCTATCCCACAGGAAGGATTTAAGATAATAATTGTTAGAATCAATATTTTTTTCATACCAGTCAATGACTTGGGGGTACATATGTGAAAATTTAATTTCAATATTTAGTTTCCCCGCTGATTAGAGGATGCTGCAATTGGTTGGTTTGGTGAGTTTAAAACAAATCAATAGCTAACCCGCACGTTCAAATGAAAGTTATTCTGTACCCCTTTTCACAAAAAATCTTCCGGCCAATTTTTGTCCAAAGAGAAATATTACAGTTTAATTCCTTTTCACAAAAAAATCTTACGTGATTCTTATGTGTAAAATTTGTGGCAACTTTACGAGAGCTCCAACCCTCTTGCAAGTTTCTTACAGCCGATTTTAATTTAAACACATAACAGATCAAACCTTAATAAAACTTTTTACGCATCTTATAATAACATTTTTATTTTCATTATTTAACAGTTAATTTCGAAAAATTAAATGAAATATTTACAATGACAGTTTCTCTTAAGATTTTCGTATAACCTATTTTTTAAGTCAGAATGTGTGCTTCACAATCGATTGCACTCGTTTTTTGTTATCCATAATTTTTGTTTCCCTTAAAGTGCTGATAACTTTGCTTTATTTTTTATTCCCTTTCGCCTTTCTAGGGATTATAAAGCATATTGAGGCCGTTGCTATGGAAAAAGTCGTAATTAAAATTTCAAGTTCAACCTCCTACTAATGCGTTCGTAAAAAGTACTTAAGATTTTTCGTTAGAGATTTCAAAATTAAAATTTTACGCAAAAACTTATAATATTTTGTTTTAATTCAAAGGGCTACTGTCTGCCCGCCCTTCTGTCAAACTACTAGTATCTTTATCCTCAAGTTCATCTTACATGTTTAGCAATAGACAATTCGTCTTTGTATGTGCAATAGGGTTTCAAAATCTGGGGTCCAACTGAGGGACAAAAAACGAAGTTTTACTACAAAATATCCTTCAAACTCTTTTCACATTAAGCCAATTTATCTTTGGGAATATGTTTGGTGGTGTCCTTTATATGTGCAATGTTGCAACCACAATTTGGAATACTAGTAATAAGGTTTTAAAATTTACATTTTCAACCTGGGGTCAAATGAGGAAGATATACATGTATATTTTACATAGTAGCCATATTATGGTGTCCTGTAGATGTAGCATAATGTTTTAAAAAATTCATTTCCACACTTGGGGCCAACTGGAGATCGAAAAACGACGTTTTCCTTTTCCTCTAAAAGTATTTGCACATTCTCACCGGTAGCCATTCCTCTGAAATTTTAGACAGTAGCCAATTCATCGTTTCGAATATGATTGGTGATGTCCTTTAGATGTGCAGTACACGGTTTGGGAATTTTCATTTTCATAGGGGAGGCCATTTGGGGACCAAAAAAAATTTGGGAGCCAAAAATAACTACATGTATGCATGTTTCCAGAATGTCTTTTATTTTACAAAGTAGCCAAAACAAATTTTAGAACATGATTGGCGGTGTCGGTGTCCTTAATATATATGCAATAATGTTTCGGACTTTTCTTTTCCATGTAAGAGGCAAATTTTGTTGCTTTTAACACAAAAACTTTCCTTTCCTTTTAAACAGTGTTCATTCTTGAGTATCAAAATAAAATATGTACTAATATATACAAGAGGCTCATGGGCCACATGCTCACCTGAGCATTTTATGCACAATTTGATACATTTATGTTCAAGTAAATTATGAAATAAGTTTTGTTACTTCTTCACCGGTCAGACAGGTACAAAGAAGAACAATTTTTGAGGCAAACACCTGCGTGCGGGTATTACTGTCTTCATGGCACCATCTAGTTAATTTGAATATCAACATATAATTATAATTGCTTCTCTCGTTATCAACATAATTGATAAAAAATGGCATGTTGGGCAACGGTCTTTGTTGACATAACGGTATTGTTCACTTTTTACTGAATCCACAGTACCGACTCTTAGTAAATGCATGTGCCATGCAAATGATTTTATTGATGATCAAGTTCAAGTTTAAACACGTGCATGTATGATATTTCGTTAAAAAGTGTTGCTCTTTAAATATTTTTAAATAAAAACCCTGATTTTTCAAAGCATTTTCATGATAGTATTTTAGTGTATAATATATATACAATGTAAATGTATTCTAGTATACAAATCATGATCTTGCTTTTCGATGCACTTAAATACTTAATAACAAGTAGCATAAACCGGTACTTGGTTTCAAGTACAGAACAATCAATGTATTAAAACTTGCAAAGTCACACCCAACTGTGACAATCTAGATGAGTAGGGAATATTGAGGAAGATCATTACTCAATCAGGATTTCCTTTTAACAACACGGGAGGGTAGCAATCGAGCATCTGAGAAAGACACGTCCTGTACGATTTCTATAGTTGTTTATAGGGATCACAATCATATCTATTTCCCCCATCTCTTCAGTTATATTTTACCAATGCACTGCATATAATGCTGTTTCATATTCTACATTTTGATTTCTTTTTAAACCCGATTATCGGATTATGTTTTGCTCTTATGGTGTGCTTCTTTATTCTGAAGAGGGTGCAGAGTCGTCTACAGTCCCTCCCCGGGCCCACAAGATGGCCAGTTGTTGGAAACATTCCGGATCTGGCATTTACCCGCCAAACCTATCGTCGTCTGCTGGAATTTCGAGATAAGTATGGAGATATTGTCCAGCTGAGACTCGGTCCTAGTTTGACAGTGGTCGTAGTGTTTGGACACGAGTACCTTAACGAGCTTTTGGTGGACAATGGGGACAAAACAAAGTTTAGGCCAAATTGGCTCCATTTACCCAATAAGCTTTTTCAGAAAACAGGTAGGATGCATCAATATTATGCTTATTCATTCCAACCATTGGGCTATAATCTGTAGTATCATCAAATATTATAGGTGAGCTGTCGAGTTTGTGTTGAGTTAGGGTTATCGTTAAACTAAGGTTAGGGTTAAGCTGAAAGGGGGTAAGGACCAGAGTTAGGATTAGGGTTAAGCTCTTAAGGTTTGACTTAGGGCCAGGGTGAGGGCTTAGGGTTAAAGTTGAAGCTAGGGTTAGGCTTACAATTTTAATACGAATAGTTACTTAATTTAATTACTAAGATATACTTTGTATTTAAGGGGATTCAACCCCCCAATAATGACAATTAAGGAACAAGACATTGCTATAGGTGGCCAAAGTATTATGGACACGAGGTCATGCGCGGATCTAGAGGGGGGTTGGGGGTTCCGGACCCCCTCCCCTCCCCTGAATTTGCAGAGTTATTAAAAGTATACACTGCAGCAAATAAAAAATGACTTTGGACCCCCCCCCCCCGAAAATGTGGATCGCCACCACGAAATAGGTGTTTTTCACGTTTTGAAAATGGAATTTACGTTTTCTCTCTCTCTCTCTCTTTTTTTTTTTTTTTTTTTTTTTTTTTTTTTTTTGGCTTATCAACAAATTTTCTAGGTTTTTATACGTTTAGGAAGGGAATTTAGGTGTTTATTTTTTTTTTATTATTTATTTTTTACTCGTCAAGAAATGTTTGGGTTGGAATTTTCTTTTTTTTTTTTTGACTGGGTTGGACACCCCCCCCCCCCCCCCGTCCCTTGGAAAAAAATTCCTGGATCCGCACCTGGAATTTGATCTATTTGGACTACGAATAATATTTTTTTTATATTATAATGTGAGATTCTATTTCTGAGATTTGATTTTTTGGGTGTCCATTTTCATAGAAATTCCTGCCCCAATCTTCCTCACGGTGTATTTATTATATGTCTAAGTTAGAGAATAGAGCGGATAAGATGCCCCTGCGTTTTGGGTTTTCCTGAAGAAAAATGCCCCCACCCCTCCTTTGAAAAAGCTCAAGTATTATGTACGTATGTTACTGGGTTATAAATGTGCTCTGTCACTTTATATGTATGTGATACTTTGAATTTTCGTTGATGCCACTATAAACTCTCAGTGTCTGACCTTTTCGGTAGGTGTTTTATGGAGTAATGGGGAAGAATGGTATTCTCTTCGAAAGTTTACCATGAATGCTCTTAAAGAACTTGGATTTGGAACAAGTAATATAGAGGAGAGAATCCTAAATGAGGCTGAACACATAATCAAAGCTATTCAATCATCGAACAAAGATGAAGTAGACCTCAGAAAGTTCATACCAAAGGCAGTTTCGAACATCATATCAGGAATTGTGTTTGGAGACAGGTAAATAGCAGATCGGACGTTTTCCAAAGCGTCAAACAAACAATAGAAGTAATAATTTTTGTAGCTTTGTCCGTACTGTTCAGTGCATATCAGATATGAAGTGGTGAATCTTTGATTAATTATGGCTTTTTGGATAGATTCGACTACGAGGACAAAGAATTTAAAGAACTGCTGGAGAATTTAGACTACATCTTCAAACATTTTGGCTATCAGCAACCGTCCATTTTCTTCCCAGCTTTGGAGTCGGTGGATCTTAGTGCACAGGTATATGTTCTTACCCCCCCCCCTTTCACCTCTGATCATTAGTGAACAGAGGTTAATTAATTCACACAGATGATTTACCACACTAATAAAACAAAAAAAAAAGCTTTGAAAAAAAAAACTACTAATCTATAATCGCTTGGACGCCTTGAGAGATATTGTGACGTGCCCTTGGTGTCGGGGATGGCGTTTTTCAAGTTTAACTTTTTTTTTTAAATCCTCTCACATGCAGCACCCATGTCCATTACATCTTAGGGCAGGGCGGCCAAGTATTTAAATAATTCAGATTCAGCACAACCGTCCATCTGAGCTTAACGTCAGGTCAACGTAAAATTTTATAATCAGACCCCCCACCCCCCAATCCCCGCTTACGCCTCGCCCAATATGCATTTTTTCAAGGACCCCATATATTTCCGTATTACCCCTCTAAGTGTCTACATAACTAACAATACAGTATTCTTCTAGACCAATGAAATTTCAAGATTTTTATCAGAGGCAAGATAAATTTATTTATTGCACACAACAACTGCTCGATTTACTCAAAGTAATATTTTATAGTCAGACCCCCCCAACCCCCAACCCTACTTGGTTTAAAAAAAAGATTTTTAAGACATGGCTATCATATTCGGTATGTGTATTTCTCCGTGTATTTAAGTTGTTTCTTTAGTGGAACACCTGTCAGATTCAGTACGCATACCCATCAAGTTCAAAATAATTTTTAATAATTTGTTTGCTTCTGAGGCATAACTTTAAATCTCGAGACTCATTTTCACAATCGATTGTATTTTTTTTTTTATGTTTCAATGTTCATATTATATGGATGGGAAAATGCACTTTTTGGTTAAGTTTTCTAAAGCTATAATGCCTGCAAAGTTCTTATTTTAAAGAAAGCTCATTACTGGAAGTCGACAACCTGCGTGATTTCTGTCGACTTGAGCTAGACAACTCTTCGACTATTTTTTTTAACGTATGTTTACAATTCTTTACATGAGACTGGGCTGGGGAAGGGGGTAAGGTAAAATTTCCCAACTTACAATTTATATAGTGTTTTGTTACAGAATATACTAAGTATAAGACATTTTGCTCATTTTGATAAAAATGTGATTGTTATTATTTAAATTCCTCACAACATATAAGTATCTGTTTTTAGGGAATATGAGAAAAAGGAAAAGAGAAAAAGTAGGATGCGAACCCTGGATCTCAAAACCGAATGTAAAACACTCACCATTACACTATATATATACTTGACTTTAAAATCCATTACTAATATTTACATATAGCTACATTTAAAGTTGTTGTTTGAAAAGGATTTAAAAAAAAATATTTTCAATTCCTGTCCATGTATTGCTTTCTATTTCAACCTATTATTAAAGTTTTCGGCAAAAAGGTCGGAAAGGTACTTGTGCATACACTGTACCAGTTTTGTATTTTTGAACTGAAATGAACGACGTGTCATATTAATTTTTGAATATACCAGGTGGTAGTAAATACAACTGTAGTCATATTGTAGTTTTTGCAATTACTACCACCGGTTAAATAAAAAAAATTACTATATGACTTGATGTACGTATTGAAGTGGAAAGGGTTTTATAGTATAAATTCAGGCATAATGGCAAAATAATGACAAAAATTTCAGCTAATTCTAAACATGTATTTATGCATGTAAGTGTTGACGAATTATATATATGTATAGAATAATTAATTGATTTCATACTAACCCCCCCCCCCTTTTTTTAAAAAGATCAAAGTTACCTAGGAATTTTTTTCCGAATAATTTTAGCATAAATTGTACGAAAGAAAAGTGAAAATAAAAGAAACATATTACATGCAAAATTACACCATATGCAAGTCCAACAATTACTATATTGCTTGGTCCAGGTAAGTATGTACATACATAATTATATATTTACAAAGTAAATATATGATTTAATTAACTTAAACTATAATTATCATAATTATTAATTTATGCAGAAAATATCAGAGAATATGGACAAAATTTATGAATACTGTCAGCTCCAGATCAAACGACACCGGGAAACATATCACCCCCAGATTATCCGCGATTTTATTGATATGTACATCGAACAACTGGACACGGGGGTTGGAGAATTATCAGGTAGGGTTTAGACTATAGTAAGTACTACATGTCGTAAGTGGACGACCAATTGATTGGGGGGGGGGGGATAATATACATGTAGTTTGTCCTTGAACATTTTGAAATGAATAATCTGTCCTCCACTGGCAAGAAAAAAAAATAAATCTGACTTTGACTGATGCTGTAGTTGTGTTGAAAAATACCTGTTTTTCTTTCAGTGTATTTTTTTTTTTTGTTTTGGCCGGACTACATTTCTTTTTTTTTAATTTTGTCTGCACGCTTGCCGTTTTGTATTTATTAACAAACTAGCCTTTGTGATTATGACGACCACAGGCCTTTGGATCACTTAAATCAGACTTTAAAAAATTGGGGTGTATAAAAAAGATATTTTTTTAACACCGTAATTTTTTTAAAAGCGATCTAAGGGCCTGTGTGACGACAGCTGCAAAGAAAATAAATCATCTGTCTCTGGTCAACTAAATATTCTGTTCTGTGAAAGCATGAAAATTACCGTAATAATATGATTCAACAGAAATCCCCCCTCCCAACCAATTCAATGGTCATGCCCTACGTTAAAAGATTATGGAAGGGTGTGGTTTATTCTATTACAAGTGTTTATTGAAAAGGGCATAAACTTGATCTATTTATGTTTCCTCTCAAGAGAGGAGTCTTTTTCAGATAATATTTGACCTTTATGCTGCTGGCTCAGAAACCTCTTCAACAGGTCTACTGTGGGTAATTTTCTATCTCATCAAGTACCCGGTGGTTCAGAAAAAGTGCAGATCAGAAATTAAAAGGGTGAGGCAATATAGGAAAGTTTATAATCTAATGATTTGATGACATCACAAATTCAATAAATGTAATTTATTTAAAAATAACTATTTTTGATAGGTAATTGGGCTTGATGCCACTGTAAGTTTTTCAGACAAGGAAAAACTACCATATGTCACCGCAACAATAAACGAGGTACAGAGGATGTCCACCTTAGGTATAAGATACAGAAATCTTTACAGTGTATTTGAATTTACCACCACAAGAGAGATAACTCCCTAATTAAATAAGGAGAAGGAAAAGATTCAATAGCTCTCAAAATGTAAAAAAAAAAAAAAAAAAAAAAAAAAGTGGTGATAATGAGTTAATTAGAATTTCCAATTTAAAAATAAAGCAGTGATATTGAGATTGAAACTATATGACCATTTTTCAGGTGCCCTGAGCCTCCCCAGAACTAGTTTAGAAGACGTGGAGATAGATGGCAAAGTGATTCCCAAAAATTCCGTCATTATTCCACATATCTACTCTGCTCATTATGACACAAGATACTGGCAGAACCCGGAGGAATTCAAACCTGAACGCTTTATTGATAAAGAAAGACATATCATCAAACACAAAGCATTCTACCCATTTTCTATTGGTAACACATTTAATTCTTAAAAATTAATGAATGACCCTTTTTTGTTTCTTATGTAATCTATGAAAATTAATAATAATATTTTTGATAACTTTGAACATAGCTTTCTATGACTGATAATAGTATAAATAAACTATATGAGAAAATGCAGTCCGTCTGAATGAAGAAGGTACATCATGTTTTAATTTTGATAAGTTGTATTTAAAATTGTTCACAGGTCCCCGTGCTTGTCCAGGTAAACAACTGGGAGAAATGGAGATGTTTATCTTTGCTGTTTCTTTAATGCAGCAGTTTGAGTTTAGCTCGGTTATCCCTCCTGAGGACCTCAGTACAGAGGGGCTCCAAACAGGGGTCACACTGGTACCATCTCAATACAGTGTCAGAATCAAGTCATCATGAAGACATGATAATACCAATAACTGAACATTCAACAGCAAAGGACTGGAGTTAAGCTGACATGAAGTAGTGACACTGAACTAGTATCGAAATGGTTCTAGATACTGAAGTGGTGAAATTAAAATTAATTTACTGCAGTAAATCAAAGCACTGTTTCAGTTATATGATTTTGAGAATTGAATTTTTCTGTTTTAAGTAGCAATTATAATTTTTTCATGATGAATATGAATAAATTATTTTTTTGAAAACCAGTGACTGGAAATTTTGTTGTAGTGAAAAACAACTTGAGAATTTAAAGTCGGCCAGAAATGTCTGTTGAAAATTTTGTCCGAAGAACTCGATCAGGCCAGGGTACCCTTTTAAATTCTTTTATTTTTAAACAAAAGCTACAATATAACTGTACATCCAAACCTGTCAAAAAATTAAATAAAATACCAAAAAATGACAACAAAAAATACCCCCGCAGATTCAGTACATGCATAAGCATCATCCCTTGCCATCTAAAAGTGTTTTACATGTATATGTATTTAAAAACTAAATTCAATTTCTGATTTATTGCTTACCATAGAGGAAATCCCTTTTTCAAATGTGAAAAGTCAACTACAAAATGACATACCGGTATTTGTACCTTTAGACCAGTAAAAAAAAAAAAAAATGATGATGATGAATTTTGAATTTCTGTCCAATAAGACTTGCAAAATTAAAAGATGAGTTGGAGATGTATACAATACATCAAGAAAAATACTGTTTTGTTTATCATGTGCAATCTAATGAAAGAACAGAAATACTGATGTAGTGTCCATTTAGAATAAAAAACCAAGTGTAGCTTGTTACAGAAAGATTATCTTAAACTAAATATCCTCAATCCAGCTGACTTGCTAGGACAGTAAAAAATATTGCTCTGAAATAAATATCCAAAATTTTATTGACACCCAACAATTCATATAACATGATATCAACATTAATCTAGCTGTAGAATATTATGGAAAATGCATATAAATATGAAAAAATTAAACCCACAATTAAAAATATTTGACTTTAGTATATACAAACATCTTTTTTATGTATCTATATTTAATTTTTCAAACAATAACCACATTTGTTATTTACATTACATGTATCACAATATCATTTTAATATTAATAGCCTGCCCAGCAGAATTTCTCTTTATAAGTCAACATGTTCATTCTAAAAATGAATACCTGAGTCAAGGTATGACCCACAAATTCAGATATATTTGTCCAACCTCAGAATGTCTTCACAGAAGAAGTTCAGTTGGCAAACATTGAATTCAACTTAGTACATGTACACTTTCTCCTTATATTTGTCTGGTTTTGTACATCCAAGTGTTAAAGCAATCCAAACTGGTTTTAGTTGGTAAATTTACTGTAATTTAAATTTCCATACTGTCTGTTTTGTTTTTGTTTTGTTTTTTCCTTGCAGTTTTATCATTCCAACATATACAAATGATGTTCATATGTTTTTTTTAAGTCATCTTTTCTGACAAGAAGAAGAAAAAATTCTTCTTGAACACAAACTTATACAATTTTCCATCTTTACTTTTAGACAAATGTGCTGCATACAAAGAATAAATGTGTTTACACTTATTTTAATTATGAAACTTGCAGTTTCCCTATGGTTTAGAAAGAACTAGTCATTGTGACATAAGCTATTGACTAGACTGATCACATGACCAGCAGAATGTAAAGTTTCATGCTTTCAATGCCAGATATAATTTTTAAGTCAAGATAAACAGTTTTTAACTGGTAAATTACAGAAGCATAATTTTATCATCCAATTAGAACCAGCTATAAGCACACTTAATTTAAAATGTATCTACATTTATTTAATTGAAAATCTGAAGTCAAAACCTAGGTCTACAATGAAATGATGTATGGTTGCAACTTTCAAGTTTTGGTAAGTTGGATTTTAAATGCAAGAATTCTTACCCCAAAAAAGAGAGGAAAAAATGCCATACTAAAGGTAAAATATCAATGGAATTTAAATGGGGATTGGTCAATATCACTTCACACAACAATACATTCAATATTTAAACAAAAAATGTTGGACATCTCTTGGAAATTATTTTTTGTGTATTTTACAAGTCTAGATTAAATGAGTTCTTTCAATCAGATCAGTCAAAATTGTGCAAAATCCAAAAGAATTGTAAATTCATAAAGAGATATCATATCTTGTTCAAGTTAAACAAAAACAGAATTAATTTAACTAAGAGAAATTAACCATGAATGTACACAACAGCTGAGCCACAACATACTATACAGTGGTTTAACAAGGTTTCATATCAGCAATTTCAACATTAAGTACCAATAGCGTAAATTCAATGGGCAAATATAAAACTTGTATATAAATGTCATTTGATTATAAATTCTGAAAGAAACTCAGAATGAATGCTAGCAATTAAAAAAAATCCTACTCCTGGTCAAAATAAAGCACTTGACTGTAAACAAATAATAAAAAAATACAGTGAAACTTGTCTAATGCGTATGCTGTGTATTCCGAAATCTTGTCTAAAACAATGTAAACTTAAAGTCCCTTTTGGTAAACTCAATTATTTTAGATGTTGTCTAATCTGGAATGTCATCTAATCGACCAATTTCTGTGGAACCAGTGGTATTCAGATTAGACAAATTTTACTGTATAGTGATATACATGTAAACTTACAAAAAAAACACATTGCATAATAAAGATGCATATATAACAAGAAAGCTTCTAACAGATGATGGAGTTATCCCATTTTTAAAATTTATACTGTTCTCAGATCTCCCTGAAGTAAAGCTGCATTTTAATCTTTAAAAGCTTACCTGGTATAAACTCACTTTAAATACTGTCTAGTTTTCTCTGTATTTGACAACTTACTGTAAACCAACTATTATTCGCTTCATCTTTTATTTGTGATTCTTCAGTTTGAAATCAATCTGCGATGATTAATTTTCACAATCAAAGAAACATTCTCTACATATACACAGCAAAATAAATGGAGCTAAAAAAGGTCGCAAAACTTGTGAACATTTCTCGCACGCAAATAAAAGTTGGTATGCAGTAATCTACAACTAAAACTACTATGTGACTGAAAAAGATATCAGATGTTTCTGTCATAGATCTGTGGGATGAATTTTAAAAACGTAATAATCGTATTTTGATGGTATGGAATTGAACCATAAAATATAATGGAAATAAACTTGCATTTGCGCCAAAAAAATTCACCAATTAAAATACATATATATTTTTATGAACATTTGCGTTTGAGATAAACATATACATTGCACAAGAAGATTTAAATAAGAAATATTCATGAATGAGGATTCATGATTGATAAATAAAAGTGGGTGTATAATATTCTTTGTTTTCTGTTTGACAGTATGATCCATTGCTGCAACGTTGGACACAATGTGCATACAAAACTGGTGGACAATTTATAGATCTAAAATTCTCTGTAACCATTTGCACATTCACACATATATTCATCTAACCAATGGGCACACACCGTTCACAGTAAGTAGATATGGAATGTACATTGAGCACTGTGAAGATTGACTGGTCTATACCAATGTCAGCTGTGTTTATTTCTTCCATGAGTACACTTCTGTTACCACCCAGCTCTGAGAGTCTCCCCCACCATTACAAGGCTGCAGTGTCAGTTTCCCATTTGTTCCATCCAAACATTTGTTGTGATATGTATTCTTGATGACTCCACTTGCCTGCTCACATAAATGTTGGAAAAACTATTGCAGACAAAGTCATACTTTGACAGTGATTATAAATTATCATACTCTATACAGCATGTAAGGCAGTATGGTACTTAAGGATGAGGAATAAGTACAAATAAAGGAAAATAAATCAGAAATCTGTATATACCACATTTTATCTCATACGTGTGGTGGATATTATCCATTAGATAAACCTATGCTTTATCCACAAGTATGCTTTATCAGTAGCACTTCCCGTTTTGACACAATCCCCTGCTTCAAGATGTCAATTTTTCGAAACTTCTACCTGTGAAAGTTCTTGCGTTATAAAATAAATTATAATGAGCACAAATGTTCATTTAAAACAAGAAAAGATTCATTATACCTACGAAATGTCAAATTTAATCAATGCATTGTACTGGCTACTGTTATGACAGATGTTAACCCCACCCCCAAATCGTTCTCATAGGTAACTCATTGCCAAGCAGTTAAGTTTGTGGAGCAAGATTCTTTTGACCATGGAGGAAAATCTAGCTTTCTCACATTATGCTATAAGCAGAAAAATTACCATAGATCTATAAGTAGCACTATCGCCATACACAAAATCATGATATGATTAGAAATTCATGATTCCTTGGTCCTTAATCTTCTAGTTTTACTTCCAGTCAAAAGTTTATATAAAATAAATCTCCAACAGATTGTCACATATGTTTCAAAAGACACAGCAGACCAAATATCCTTCCAAATTTTCATATTTTATATCAACAAATACTGTATAGGGGATTAATTTCACAGGTTGTAATTTTCATGTTTTTCTCTCCTCTGACACAATCGTGGTTATAATAAAAGTTACCTCCCTTGTCTATATCCATAGCCAGGATGTTACAAATTTCATCAGCGTTATGTATTCACTTTATGAACAATACTTGGGGAGGTTTAAATAGAGTGGTTAGATTTAGTAATTAATTTACGAGTAATCAAAACAAGTGCCGTTAAACATCTGTGACTATAAACGTCTGTATGCTATTACAATGAGTGCATGTACACCCCAAGACCTTTTTTCCAAAGGGATAAAATCACTGGATGATAATAAATGTGTTAATGTACGTTGACGAAATAATATCCTTCCATATCTACAGCAAGTCTGAGAGCTATTTGAATAATTTTTTTTTAAAACCCACATGTTGATAAAAACTAATATGCATGGTCAGGTAACAAATACATGTGGTAATGTTAGTTATGCACAGGTAATCAAAACCCATTTTTTTGATTGATCAAACTCAAAGTTTTGTTAAAAACTAAAATCGTATGAGATAAATAGAACATCTATAATTGTGTGATTTTACATTTGCTTTATCCAACTCATTGAAATTGCGTAGAATCACTTGGCTTACACCATTTCAACTTGTTGGATAGAGCAAATATAAAATCACACAATATAGATATCCTCTATACAAGTAACTTATCCTTTTGACTAGATTAGGAGAAATATAATGCAAAAACTTACAAAAACATAAAAAAGAAACATACATAGAGAACATATATGTAGATAACGATTAGATTACCTCATCATAGTCCCAGGGGCCTGTAGGCTGCACCTCACAGTAGGCCACATGGAGAGTGTTTCCATTGGGTGACTCTATACATCGCTCACCAACTCCTATCTGTCCTTTTGTATTGATTCTGAAAAGCTGAATCAAGAAATACATTCCCTCAAAATAACAACTGAGTCAAATAATAATTACTTTTTTTTCCTGGTATACTGATATATACCTTTGAATTAGGACAAAGAAAAAAAGTTGATAGATTCTAAAGCCCCAGTGAATTAATCTAAACCTGCCACCTTTATTTTTTTCTTTTGATTCTATGGATCTACTGACTCATTCTTCTAACTGTCCCTTTAACCCCAAACTTACTTGACTACCCCCAAAGTGATGACAGTAGCTGAGGCCAATTGCCCCTCCCCCAACTGCTTGGCCCATGGTGTCCATACAAGAAGAGCCTTTTCTTAGTTTCACCTGTAAAAGTAAAGCACCACTCCATACTTCACATATGTACCAAACATATGCTCAATCTTGGAAGGAGTCTCACAAATAATAACAAAATGTGCACATATTTTAGAATATCAAAATTTAGTATAAACATGTATGTAGGTCATGATCAAAACAGCATAAATGAATTACCACTGTCTGCTTTTTTTTTTATTAGTTGTTAAATTGGTCAAAACCTAGTAATAACTGGTTAACTGTGCCTTTTTACAATGGAGTACCATCTCCACTGAGAAGAAAGACTGACCCCTTCTTACTTTTTATCTTATATTTGCCATGTAGATGTAAATACTATTTATAGATACTTAATACTTTACTAAATTCTTCACAGATACAAAGGAATACAATTTTTAATTATTTCAAAACAGCATTACCAGTGAATTAATGCAAAGAAGTTTTCAATACAACCAAGCCATGTACACAAGGTTCTATTTTTCCTGGGTAACCAAGTATTCAACTTTTGGAATTCAATAATCAATCATCGTTGGATACCCACGGGTGATCTCGTCTTTTACTTATCACGTGATAAGTAAAAGACAAGATCACCCCTGGGTATCCGACAATGATAATCAATAAACTAGTTCTCACTGAGTCATTGGCAATCCTAGTTTTTTTACATTCATTATATCTAGATGAAATTATATTTTGGCAGTAATCCTGAAGTACTGCAGGATAGACAGTACATGAGGCACTAAAATATGAATTCCTCTAAAGCAAGTGTACACATGCATTATTCAAATGTAAATAATATTCTCTCATTGCAAATATCTACAATTTTACATACATAAGACACAAGTATATTACATACAACTTAGACATGTTTTCATGGCAACACCAAAAAAATTAAGAAAAAAAGGAACTCCTGATTTGACCTACCTCTCCCCATGCTTTATTGGGAGGGAGTTTGGGGAACCTTTCGTAAACTTCATAAGCCACGTTCTCCATGAACCACTTGAAGTCTTTACATTTATGTTCCTCTTTAAACTTCAGCTGCTGAGAGATGTCTCCTATAGGATAACCCCTAACACCGGGCTCTCTTGTGTAGAAGAATTCCTTATGCTCCCTGTCTAACCAAACCTCCACCACACGCATGTAATTCTGTATACAGAAGAAAAAAAAAGAGTATATAGAGGATATTCAATGTTTTGTAGATGAATATGGAATTTATTTCACGAGTGGGACAGGATTTTTTTTATATTTTCACGAGTGCGAAGCATGAGTGAAAATATCAAAAAATCCTGTCTCACGAGTGAAATAAATTCCATATTCATCTACAAAACATTGAATTTTCTGTTTATTACATTTTCTTTGATTTTCCCTTTGCCTCTGTCTTTTCTTAACAAAATGTCATAGGCTTGACGTCATAGTTGAGCGGTTGAGATGTCACAGCTTAGCAGTTCTGAGATTGAAAACATTACATAGCATGGCTTTTAGCAACATATTTGGGAAGAAATTTGCAGTTTTAGCTCTATCAAGTTACTATCTCTATCTTATGACAGTCCAGAAATTATTTTTTACTTACTTTGATATCCTTTCACATTGTGAGAGAATATCATTTTGGTATCCTTTCACACTGTGAGAGAATATCACTTTTATTCAATAAATAAATCACAGTATTTCACTGTTGAAAATGTAATAAAATGTAATACATATTGCTTTATGTGATTCACAATATACAAGAGGCCCAAGAGCCTTGAATCACTCTTCTGATAAACTGTACAACCTATCACTTCTATTTGAAGCCTCTAAGTATCCTGTATATTCAGATAAAGCCTTGAAATTCCAAAGGTAGGTCATCACGACTTACACTTTAGATGAAACACTCTGAGAACCCAAGATGATTCTAAGCCAATTAGTACCTGAGAGTAGGTCATGGTGATCTACTTATCACTTGTCATTCTCTGATGACACATGGTGCATCAACTAAGTTTGATGATTCTAAGCCAATTAATACCTAAAATATTTTTAAAATCATAACCATAAAATTTCAAAAGTAGGTCACAGTGACCTACTTTTCAGATGACATACTTTGAGGACCCAAGATGCATCAACTGACAAAGTTTGATGATTCTAAGCCAATAAGTACCTGATATATTTAAATAAAGCCATAAAGTTTCAAAAATAGGTCACAGCGACCTCCTTTTCAGTCGACTAACTCTGCAAACCCAAGATGCATCAACTGACAAAGTTTGATGATTCTAAGCCAATAAGTATCTGAAATATTTAATTAAAGCCATAAATTTTCAAAAGTAAGTCATGGTGACCTACTTTTCAGTCCACCTACTCCGAAGACCTAAGATGCATCAACTGACAAAGTTTGCTGATTCTTAGCCAATTAGTACCGGAAATATTTTATTATAGTCATATAAATTGAAAAGTAGGTCACGGTGACCTACTTTTTAGTACACCTACTCTGAGGACCTAAGATGCATCACCTGACAAATTTTGATGATTCTAAGCCAAATAGTACCCGATAATATTAAATACAGCCATAAAATTTCAAAAGTAGATCATGGTGACCTACTTTTTAGTTGCTGTACTCCAAGGACCCTAGATGCATCAACTCAGTGTTCAAAATTAGCGTCGGCCCGTCGGTCCTACGCCGACGTACAAACGAAAGGACTCACGAATAGTATGACTAAATGGGTCCTTGAAATAATTTTGGGCCGATGATTTGCCGGGAAACACAAGTTAAAGTCAATCACATCTTCTCGGATCTTTCCGGCGAGCTTGAAAAAATACACCGTTGTTTTTCTTTACCGCTTGTTGGAAAGGCTTTAGAAGTTGCGATTGAAGTTAACATATATTGGTTTATGCATTTACATTAGCTTTTATATCTTTCCTGCATTTTATTTGGATATATTAAACAAATTAACCAATGAACGTCTTTAAAAGAAATTGGACTTAAGATGGGTAAAACTTGACAGTTGTTATTTTTATCAAGATCCAATCAATTCTTCTTTTCATGTGCATATTAAATAAATACTGAAGATTTGATTTTTTTTCCTGCGTGGAATAAATTTACGCTATATGTATGCGGTTACAAACTTTCCACGGAAAATTGTCCAAGTATACTTAAGTACAATTTATCAACATATTGTGGCAATCTAAGAAACCTGCATATAATTTTCTACCCGCCGATTTTAAAAAACAGAAATTGTAATTCCGAGGAAAAATCTAAACACATGTTAAACTCTTTACGTGTTATATATGACCAAGTAAGACTGTTTGACGATTAATGTTTTACCGTTTCATATTGTTAATGCTTGCGAGTTGTAGTTACCCTTTATTAAATTGACATATTTCATATGAAGCGATAAACTTACCGAGATCACCAATTCGTAAAAGTTTATTTTTCCCAAATATTTGATGGTATTATTTTTGGGCCTACGCTGCCCTGGAAGGACTCGTATGGTCCCTTTCTCTGTGGGTCCTTTGGACCCATAGAAAATAATTCTGAATTTCGAACACTGCATCAACTGACAACATTTGATGATTCTAAGCCAATTAGTACCTGAAATATTTAATTATAGACATATAAATTGAAAAGTAAGTCACCGTGACCTACTTTTCAGTTGACGTTTTTTGAGCACCCAAGATGCATCAACTTACAAAGTTTTATGATCATAGGCCTTAAAATGTCCAAATTATGCCTCTAAAACGCTTTGAAATTGAATGCCTTCAAAGTTCAAAAAGTAGGTCACTGTGACCTACTTTTTAATAAATATGTTTTATGGCCTCAAGATGCATCATCTTACAAGATTTAGTGATTCTAAACCTCTCAGTATTCGAATTAATGACCTTAATTGTTTTGAAAAAGATTAGCCATAAAATTCAAAAAGTAGGTCAAGGTGACGTACTCCGAGGACCCAAGATACATCCACTGACAAAGTTTGATGATCATAGGCCTTAAATTGTTCAAAATATTCCTCTAAATCATTTTGAAAAAGAATGGCTGCAAAATTTAAAAGTAGGTCACCGTGACCTACTTTTGAGTCAACATGATATGAGGTCCTTAGATACATCAACTGACAAGATTTGATGATCCTAGTCCTTATAGTAAGCAAAATAACAACATTTTAATAAAATGTAATTTTTTGATGCCTTGAACAATTTTTAATCTACAACATATCTTCATCCTTTTGTGTAAGTTTGGTGATAATCTGCCCAGTGGTTCTTGAGCAGAAATTTTTGTTAGCAACCAGTACTTTTGTTTCTATTTTCCTAATTATCTCCCCTTGTTTAAGGGTCACAACCCTGGTTTTAGTATAAAAGGGAGCCCTTGGGCCAAGGATACCCTGTGACAAATTTGACAATAATTGGCCAAGGGGTTCTTGAGTTATGGCCCATATTCTAAAAAGTTTACGCACACCGCACAAATGGCCATAGCATTAGCTCTTTGAGTCTTTGGCTCAGAAGAGCTAAAAATACAGTAAAACACACTTACAATGAAGAGCCAAGGATGAACAATTTTGCTTTGTTATAAATGTAATTAATTATATCTGCTAAGTTTACAATACATTTAAAGCCACGGGAATAAAAAATCACTATGCTGTAAGCATCAATCCTTTATAAGCATGTTTTACTGTACAAGCAATAAAAGGCAATAAGCAGCAACTTGTTAAATCATATTTTGTATAATAATAAATGTTATCCTACTTTTTTTCATATGAACATTGCCATGAAGAAAATTATTATGCTATAAAGATCTAAGTAAAAATGTAAGATTTTAACACTTACCAAACTGATAACTGGGATTTTGACATCAATTTTCCCAAATCCATAAGGCATGTGGTTCCTGTAAACATGACCAACTCTAGAACATGGCACCCATTCAATGCTTCCTCCACATTGCCAGATCTATCAATCAGACATTCAACTTATGCTTAATTTCATAATAATTATACCCCTCACAAACTAAGTTTGGGAGTATATAGGAATCACTTTGTCCATCTGTCTGTGCAATCTTTTCTGGCCTATAACTTTGTAATAGAAAATCATTGGAAGTCCATACTTGTTAAAATGATTGTTTATGACTTAAGGGTGTGTCATGATCTTTATCCAAGGTCATTCTGTCAAGATCAAGGTCATTGACAGAAAAAGTGTAAGATTCTTGTAAGGACTTTACCTCTGTAGTTGGAGAATCATTGGAAGCTAATACTTGGTGCAAAATTTGTTTATGACCTTAGATACTAGCATTTTTTAAAGAGTAAAAAAGCAATATTCTCAGAAAATCTGAATTGGAGGTAGTGTGTGTCATGACCTTGCAGGGATAGACATTAACTTTCAGATTTACTTGCCCTTCGGGCAAGTGATCTCAAACTTTGACTTGTCCGAACGCAAAACTTGGTTGTCCAAAATAAGGAAAGAACTTCAGAAGAAATTTTTTTATTACTGTAAATATTATGACAAAAAAATGTGACCAATACACTACCATCAATTTGGTAAGGTGAGGTACCTGAAAAAATTTCGATGCTGTGTTTGTACATAAATGTATACCACTGTCCTTGTAAATTTAACCTGTTAGCACATACTGCCATATAGCAATAACCCTCCGTTTTAATAAAATTCATATTTGTAAAATTATTTTCGGTAGGATTCTTTTGTGAATCGTGATTTTCTGAGATAACTGTGAAACAACGCTGAAGGAAGATAGTTGCTACGTAACACACATCGATCTTTACCTTGATCAGGATACATCGTGTTAAACTGTACTTATATTCTGTAAGTGAATAAATAATCTAATTTCCAAATAAGAAGTTAACAAAAATGTTAGACGAACAGCATATTTACCAGGGGAAAAGAACGGAATAACGATTCCGATTTTCAAATGAAAGGTATAATCCAGAAATGCTGACAAGGAATTCCGAATACAAAAACAATGTCAGTCAGGTACCTGGCGGAAATCAAGTCTTCAATTTATTGTCTTTTATATAAATTAATGTAAACTAAATAAATATGTACATTTCTATGAGGAAAAAATCACTTGCCCGATCGGACAAGTACGTCGCAAGATTCACTTGCCCGAACTGAGAATTTACTTGTCCCGGGCAATCGGACAACCGTTAATGTCGATCCCTGCCTTGACTCAAGGTCATTCTCACAAGTTCAAGGTTACTTGCAGAAAAAGTGTAAAATTCATGTCAGATCTATAATTTTTTACTTGGAGAAACATTTGGTGTTTATATTTCACTCAAAGATCATTATATCCAGAGGATGTAAGTTCAAGGTCACATTAAAAAAAAAATGTGAATGAGCACTTTAAAAAAAAAAATTGCAGCAGGGGGTATTATTTTTTGAGCTCACTCACAGTATTTCTAGATGATGATTTTGTTGTTGTTGAAAATTTGCAGAAAATTTATAGGAATTTTATGTAAAAGTTTTCAGATCTGGAATATTTAAGACTCAAAGAGGCTCTAAACACAATGGATAATGTTTTGTTGGATTGGACTCTGAGAAAAACACATCATGTAAAGGTAATTTATCGAGTTGATTTTCAATGTAGGGTACCTGTCATATTTCCCCTGGAAAAATGTTCAAATACAATTAAGTCTTAGTGAACAAAGATCACTATTGCTAACTTACATACTATTAGTAGAAATACATCCAAATCCACTATTCAATACAAGTATAATGTTCAGTATTCAGTACCTAATATAGTGTAAATCACTTTTTATTCTCAAGAACTTTATTTTTGTGTAATTATGCAAGACCATCTGCTCAAGAAAATTTAATTCTCACATATACTTGTATCAGTACAAGTACCGTATGTACAAGATGGCGGGATAGGGTGCACGCACTTCAGGAATGTCTTCTTGGTTTTGTGGATTAAAGACGTTTTGGACGCTCTGGAGTGGTGCATATTATGGGTAAAAAGCGGAAATATAGTGGGCAGCAGAAACAACCAAGAAATAACAAGAAAACAAGTGAAAAAGACCACAAATTTGTAAGTAGTAGCGATAACAATAGCAGTGGTGATAGCATAAACTTGAGTAGTACTCTGGCCGAGTGTAATTCAGTGTTGTATGGCGACGTATTGAAAGACTTCATATCAGTTACAAATACTTCTACACCAGTGTGTAAATCTAATTTGGCTGAAATAAAAGAAAACATGATAGCACAGAATGAAACAGAACCCTCTCCCCAAGCGGACATCTCTGCAGTCCAACCTACAACACAGTCAACTATGCCCCCTCCGCCACAAGTGAATCCACCCCCTTGGTTTGAATTTATTATGAAAACTATGGGTACCATTGAAGCAAAAATCACACATTTAGATAACAAAATTACCAATGTTGACCATCAAGTCAAAAAGTTAGACCTTGTTGAGAAAAAAATGTCTACATTTGATAAGAAAATAAATGATATAACAACGGACTTGAAAAGAGGTTTTGAGGAGAACAACAAATTCATTCGAGAATTACAAGAAAGGTCAGATGGTATGGAGTTTGGACTGGGTAAGTTGGAAGAGAAGTTAAGTAAACTTGAAGAAGATAATAAGAAACTAAAGGATGAACTAGTGGATCTAAAGTCACGTTCAATGAGGGATAATCTGCTTTTCTCAAATATCCCAGAATCCGAAAATGAAATGCCAAAAGATACTAAAAAAATTCTTCGTGATTTCCTCAAGAACAGTCTGTCAATGAGCGAGACACAGGTCAACAGCTTGAAATTTGACAGGGTGCACAGAATAGCTGGAGGTCAAACGCCAAGGGTCATCGTTGCGAAATTCAATGAATACCAACAAAGACAACAGGTAAAGGGGATGTCGAAAAACCTTAGAGGTACAAATTATTATATCAATGAACAATACCCGAATGAAATTGTCGCGGAAAGAAAAGAATTGATCCAAATCATGAAGAAACCAGAAGTCTCTGATGAGACTGTAGCTCTACTGGTCTGTACATATACAAGTAGCACATGGATTTGAAACTTTGCAACATACAGCAATAAATAGAATTATATATCTTAATGTAGTCTACTTGTGTGCCAAGTTATATTGAAATCAAACAAAAGCTGTAGGAGGAGTAGCATTTTAAAGGAATTTCACAGAAATTTCTATTTTTAGTAACCATGGCAACACCATTCATCAAAATCAAAAAATCCATGCACTGAATTATGTTTCTTAGTGTAGTCTACTTGTGTGCCAAGTTATATTGAAATCAGACCAAAACTGTAGGAGGAGTAATGTTTTAAAGGAATTTCACAGAAATTTCTATTTTTAGTAACCATGGAAACACTGTTCATAGAAATCAAAAACTGATGCACTAATTTATGTATCTTAATGTAGTCTACTTGTATGCCAAATCATATTGAAATCAGACCAAAACTGTGGGAGGAATAGCATTTTAAAGGAATTTCACAGAAATTTCTATTTTTAGTAACCATGGCAACACCGTTCATCGAAATCAAAAATCGATGCACTAAATTATGTATCTTAGTGTAGTCTACTTGTATGCCAAGCTATATTGAAATCTGACCAAAACTGTAGGAGTAGCAGCGTTTTGAAAAATTGTTTACAGACAGACGGACAGCTAGACAGACGGACGGACAGACGACGGACACCTCACTATCACATAAGCTCTTCTGGTCTCTGACCAGTGGAGCTAAAAAAAAGAATTTGTACTTTTTAGCTCACCTGAGCCAAAGGCTCAAGTGAGCTTTTCTGATCAAAGAGTGTCCAGCGTCTGTCTGTCCTCTGTAAACGTTTCACATTTTCGACTTCTTCTCATGAACCACTGGGCCAATTTCAACCAAACATGCCACAAAGCATCCTTTGGTGAAGGGGATTCAAGTTTGTTCACTTCCTGAGGAAGTGCCACACCCTCTTTCAAGGGGAAATAATTAAGAATTCGTGAAAATTTGGTGGCATCTTTTAAAAATCTTCTTCTCAAGAACCACTGGGCAAGAAATGATAAAACTTAGGTGAAAGCTTCATTACATAATATAGATTCAAATTTGTTCATATCATAATCCCTGGGGGTAGGGCAGGGCCACAAGAGGGGGTCAAAGCTTTACATAGGAATATATAAGAAATATCTTTAAAAATCTTCTTCTCAAGAACAGCAAAGCCATGATTAGTCATATTATTATAAAAGTATCCTCAAGTAGTGTAGATTATAGTTTTTTCCCAACCATGACCCCTGAGGGTGGGACACGGCCACAAGAGGGGGTCACAGTTTACCAATTGAAATATATAAGAAATGTCTTTAAGAATCTTCTTCTCAAGAACAGCAAAGCCATGATTAGTCATATAATTACAGAAGTATTCTCAGGTAGTGTAGATTCAAGTTTGTTCCAACCATGACCCTTGGGGGTTGGGCAGGGCCACAACAGGGGAGTCAAATTTTAACACAGGAATATATAGGAAATATCTTTAAAAATCTTCTTCTCAAGAACAGCTAAGCCATTATTAGACATATTAATACAGAAGTATCCTCAGGTAGTGTAGATTAAAGTTCCAATCATGACCTTTGGGGTTTGGGCAGGGCTACAACGGGGGGGTGGGGTGGGGTGGGGTGGGGGGTACTTAAGGAGGTTCGATCCTGAGCTTTTGAGCAGCTTTTGGTCAGGACCTTTATTTCTAAAATTCTGCATCATTTTTATGTTCTAACATTGAATCTGGATTCTACAATGCAAATTAAACTATATCCAATGAAAAAAACACGATGAAATTCCACTAAAATAGGATTAAGCCAGGAACTATATTTTGTGGCAGAAGGATTTTTAGAAGAAAATGATCAAATTTTTCCCTTTTGAAATATATACAGTACTGTTAAGTTTAAATTACTATTTTTCCATGCTGGTTGCACATAGAACTGTTTTTTGTAGTGAAATGTTTTATGCTGGCTCTGAAATAT